AAAAAGGAGTAACGATACACAAGAGGTGCAATAGAGGTGAGGTTGTTTCAAGTAACCTTTGCCCCATCATCTAGAGTTGTCCCTAAAGACGGCAACCTGTCAACCCCAGCAACAACAAACAAGTACAAGAGGAGGAATGCAAAAGAAAGACGCCAGAGCTGAGAGAAGCTGACCCCATCCCCTTCGAAAGCCCTTTCACGCCAGCAACAGCAACAACAAACAAAACAAGAAAGGTGGAAGTGAAAACCTCAAAGAGCAACCTGTCCACCTCAGAAACAGCAAACAACCACAAGAAGAGGAGTACAAAGCAAAGAGAACAGTTGAGAAGCTGGCCCACCAACAGCAAGTAGATAATGATTTCTTCCTCAAAAACAATAAGGAGATACAATAGACAAGAGGTGCAAAAGAGGGAACGTTGTTTCAAGTAACCTTTTCCCCATCGTCTAGAGCGTGGCTAGGTCAAAGAAGTTTTGCCTCATGGCCCGTAACGATGGCAACCTGTCCACCCCCAGCAACAACAAGCCAGGACACGAAAAGTAATGAAAAGGAAAGACGACACAGTTGAGAGAAGCTGGCCCCTTTCAAAAGAATTTCCACCCCAGCAACAGCAACTGGAAACAAGACAAGAAACATAAAAGAGAAAAAAGGAAATTGAGTACTGATTCTCGGCCGAACCTTGCGTAGAGAGCAAACCCTTCCAGCCCAGTAAGAAAAAGGAGTTACAATTAAAAACAACAAAAGACGGTAAGTTGTTTCAAAGAACCTTGGCCCCATCATCTAGGCTACTTGTAAGAAGCGTTGCCTCATACTGTAGTCCCTAAAAGAGCAAGGCAAGACATGTACGCGAGAAAGGTTGCTTGTCGGCAAAACTTGTTTAGAGGGAAACGTTTCTACCCGGGAAACAAGAAGGAGATAAAAACAAAAAACTCACAATAAGTGAAACAGAGGGAAGGTTGTTTCAAGTAAACTTTGGCTCATCATCTTGTCTACCTACAATGAATATGTTATGCAGGTTTTTGATCGTCAGCATGGCTGAAAAAGCCCGCCGCAGGGACGTGCCCAAATAGACCCTGTTTTTTCATGCCACGGGTATTCCCCCGATAGTCATGACTTGATACTGAAATGGTACCCTCCCTTTTTGCACAGCCGTTTGGGGTTTATTCATCCAGGGTTGAGATTATCCAACATGGTCATTTTGGATGTTTCGTTTCAGAAAAGGGGACCTGAAGTTGTTTACATTTGTTTACATTACCATATTGAGCCTCCGGTACCAGGCTCATGCTACCAGGGCACCTTTTTATCTTTTTGAGGTCCACTCTCAATGGTTTCCCACCTCTGCATGTCTAGTATTCTCTGGTTTCACTTCTCCATGGTTGGTTTTTGCCCAGTCAGGTAGCTATAACCTTCAAGTCGTATTTTCCCTAGGTATATTGAATGCTACACCTACTATACCGTTATTTACGGCCCTTGAGTACCCCTAGTCTTTTCGTTTTATTCGCTGTAAACTTTGGATTGGTAGGTTGATGGACTATACAAGTGTATTTGACCAATGTATTGTGGGGTGGCATCCATGTGCACATGTACATCCTCAAAAAACATCCAATGGCCAATCTCAAGCACCTTTCTTCTTTGCATATGGGCTTATCTGAAACTGGGGAATCCCGAAATTCATTGGCTAATCATCATGTTCGCTCTCAAATGGCGATGTTATGACATGTTGTGCCATTTTGGAAGTATACCCAATCTTCAGACACGATGCACTGTAGTTGTTGTACCACACGCACACACTGGTCTGGCATATGTATATATATATATGTACGCATGTTATATATATATATATTATATACATTGAAATTTTCAAATATTACTATACACACACACATTATCACTCATCTATCTCGTTGAAACCGTTGTCATATCTCATTCATATCTTATTTATATCCCATGTATATACTATTCCATGAATATGCCATGAAATCCCATGACAAAAAAAGCAGGACGGCACCCTGAGCCAAAGCGACCTGCTGGGCGCTCTAGATTTGGCCTCCAATAGCCTGGCACCGTCGGGGACTCCCAGGGTCCCAGCGCGATCATGGGTAAAAATTTGAAGATTTGTTGCCCATATCTCATATGTACCTGAAAGTTGACAGTGTTCAACAAAAATCTCCAGCTGTTTAACGGATGAGCTGATTTTCTGGCTGGCATGGTTTACGAAGATTGATGAAACTCATAAAAACTCCGTGCGAGGAATCAGGGGGCACTTTCCATTTCCATGTTTGATAGGCGGTAGTCTTCCAGTTTAGGGCAGTTTTTCATTGAGAAAAAACACCCTGGGAACTGCGGCTGACATTCAGAAGCATCCCGAGAAGGGTGGTTCCTATCTTCAATGGCCATTTCAGGAACCTGAATTGGAGGTACCTACCATATATAAGGCCTATGTAAGGCCTATGTAAGGGAATATCCCAGCAAATATGGCCTTATATGGTACAGTACCTCCATTTTAGGATCCTGAAATTCCCATTGAAAATGACATGGCACCCGGAATTTGCCACCTTTGATGATAGACATGGAGGATTTCGAATCAAAAGACCTTACTGGAGGACTTTGGCTGGTGACTTCACCAAATGGCGAACATTTCATTCATTTATTTCACCCGGACCAGTCCGTGTCGACAACACAGGGTACTCACTCTTACAACACATCCCCTCCTTTTCCAGCAGTGTGAATACAGTGTGACCCTGGCTATCTGGTTATGGAGGAAGCTGTTGGGAGCTAACAGCTATGAGCATCTATATTCCTGGTTGGTGGTTTCAGTGGTTTCAAACATGTTTTATTTCTCCATATATTGGGAAGAATATTCACAACTGACTAATAATTATTTTTCAGAGGGGTAGGTATACCACCAACTAGGCATGCATATTCATTTCTCCATATATTGGAAAATGACCCATAGAAATAGATGCTTTACCGTTCTTAAAAATGGTGGATCTTTCCATGGCAAACTGGCAAACTGTTAGTCATAACCAGATGGGTTCCGCCCAAGTGAGTCCACTTCCAGCGCCCAGGTGTCTTTCCAACACTTTCAGAGTAGGTATACCACCAACTAGGCATCCATATTCCCATATACCCTCTGGTTATGTCAAAATAGCTATTGAAAATGGCCATTTATAGTGGATTTTCCCATAAAAAATAGTGATTTTCCATAGCTATGTTAAATTACCAGAGGGTATATCCCCAACGTTTATGGCCATGGCGAGTCAGTCGTCCACAGGACTATGGTCGCTGCATCGTCCCTGGGGCAAAGGGCACCTGTGGCAGGTTGGGAAACTGCGAGGGTTTGGGATCCGAAACGAAGCAACAAAAAAACGCCGAAACCACCGAGGATTAAATAGGTTTTCGGGGATTTCGTCCATTTAGATCCATTTAGTCAGTTGCAGTTGGTGGTTTCCTAAAATTGGGGCTCCTGCAGGTCAAATCATCCAAGTCGGACCATTTCATACCATTTTCATATTGAAACATTGAAAAACTCATGATTTTGGGGTACCTCCATGACTTTTCGGAAACCTCCCATCACTCCCATATAGGTCACTGGAAGATGAAATCCTCAGCCGCCCCCCAAACATCGGTGACGAAATATGGCAGGTCCGGATGCCAAAGCCTTGAAGCAGCAACTGCTGGTGGGATCGCCCAGGGGACTCGCAGGATCGCAGCAACAAAAAAGGCGGCATGGAATGCCATGGAATGGGAGGGATTCATATAATCTGGGTAAATGGTTAATAAGGGGAATCATCCCAAAATGGCCTTAATTCAGGTTAGTGAAATATTGTAATTTACCCAGAATGATCGTCTTCATAATAATTAGATAGATATAGATAGATAAAGATAGATATATAGATAGATATGTGGCGATTTTTGTTTGATGTTGAAGATTTTGAAGTTGATGTTTTCTTTCTGCGCTGATAAATTGATCTTGAATGTGCAAAGGTATGGCTATCCCATGTTTCAGGTTGATGCTGTTGAATTCTTCCGGGGGAAGGTTCGATGGTGGACCAGTCACGGCTGAAGTGACCCTGAACATTACCAGTTTGTAGTGGAAACTCATCTTCCAAGCCCTATCTGGCAGGGTCGTCATGTTAATTTACTGGACGGCAGATGGGCGGATCGTATGAGTCAATCAACTTAGCAGTTCATGCTTTCTTCTAGAGGCCTTTGTTCCTGCCCTGGGCTGCCCAGGTTTCAAAACGTTCCCTATTTCCCATCGGGAGAACAGGATGATGAGTCCCCAAGACCTTGTTTTTTGGAGGGGTGGGCTGTAACCACCCCAACTGCATCTTTCCCGGACTCGGATCAGTTTCATTGACTCATTGACACCCAAAAAATGTTGCCCCAGTAAACCATCCCAGAAACCAACCATTTGGGGCACAGATCATCCCACGTCACTAAAGGCACCCTCCGGCCTCCAGCGGCCCAGGTGAAGTGGGCCACGCTGTCCAACGCCTTTGACAAAATGGATCTGGATGGAAATCACCGGCTGAGCCGTCAAGAGTGGGGATGCCCAATTTTTGTTGGGAAGATCCATGGTGAATCAGGGTGATGGTCTTCACTCACCTGGTTTTTTTTGGTAGTTTAAGGGATGTTGTGCCAATTTAAACATATTAAACAAAAAGGGATTTAGCCATCACGGAGATTGAATCACCAAATATGATGAGCACTGGGTTGATCGAAGTGAGCATATAGTCGAAAAATGTCGCAAACATGGATTAAACATCCCAATAGCAGGCATTTTCAATCATTTTCATGCATTTCCTGTATCGCCTGAAACCCAGTCTGGGCCCTGGGAATGAACATTTTGTCCTCCCAGTCGGCTTCATTTGTGAAGTTCAGGAGCTCGGTTCGCCGGTTGGGAAAGCGCCCCGAACATGTTGGCGGCTCCATGCGGCTCCAGCACTAAGACGTGCCCGTAGATTATCGTCCTGGCTGTGGAGAAAGCGTCCGCCGCCATGGCCGTCGCTGCCCAGAGCGACCCAGCGGCGTCTCCCGCGCGGAAGACCCCCGAAGATCTTCCCGCGGTGCGGCCGGTGGCACCGGTGGCCAACGTGGCCGTTGCCAATGTGGGCCAGGTAGGGGTTTTCAAGTCGCGTTCTCCCGGTGTCCCCGCAACAAGTTGGCTGGTGTGGTTTGGAACGTTTTTTATTTTTCATATATTGGGAATGTCATCATCCCAAGTGACTCATATTTTTCAGAGGGGTAGGTATACCACCAAGCAGTTGGATTATTTCATAATTGTTCATTCCTTTTTCGCATTTTTTCGCCATTTTCCTCCCAAATTCTTGGGGCCCATCCTTGGCCGTGCAGTATCCACAGGTGTCCAAGAACTTGTCTGAAGAGGGCAACGAGGTCATGCGGCCTGTTCCAGTGCGGAGCATCAAAAAAGTCGTCAGGACGTCAACTAGAGTGGTGCACACAGGAGCTGGGAAGCGGGAAAGGTGGGGGTATGATGGATATGAGATATTGATGCTCCAGGTGTACATGACCTAGGAGTATATTCAGCACAACTATGTCAGAGATATGATATATGTACTGTACTGTAAGTGAATGATAATGAACCTCATGAAAGTGCTGTAGTATGTGGTCAGTTTTGTGGTCTTTTTTTTTCAACCTTTAAAGTATTTGAAAGTGCCGTAGTCAAGGCATCATGTGTGCTCCACCCGCCAGAGCCATTGAACATTCTCCTTTTTTTGTAACCCCCCCAGCCCCCCAAAAAACAGTACACCTGAGACCCAGGGAAACAGTTTCCACCCCCGAAGCGTGGCAGTACAAACACCACTGGAGAGAGAAATCGAAAGCATCGAGGGTCTTCGCCAATTTTCGCAGAAGCCACCCGCTGAGGCGCGTAACCGTGGTTTTCCACGATCCTTATGAGTTGAGCCAACGAGTTGAGCCGACCACCCAAAACATTGCCATTTTACTGGAGAACTAGAGAAAATGATGGTGAATCTCTGGAATTAGGGGCACCTGATTTTTAATTTTTAATCATGTTTAATCCAAACCACATGAATATTAGATTGATATCACTTCTATTGTATTGTTATCATTACTTTCTATCAGTACTTAATTACTCTGGATTACGGCTCACCATTGCTCTATCATGCTCTATCATTATCATTGCCAACCATTAGCATTGGCATTCTTGCTATATACTATTCTAGTAAATACATATTATATTATCTTGAATTACATTACAATTTTGTTATATTATACCGCATCATGTATTATAATTATAATATGTATATTATGTTATGATATTACATGCACTGTCACTATTTTTTTTGGGGTTGGTGGTTTGGAACATTTTTATTTTGTTTTCAGAGGGGTTGAAACCACCGTCAGGTCTCAGGCCGAGTATCTGTCTTGACGCCCACCACAGCGTCCCGAGCACCTGGGATAGGAAGATGTTGGTGGTTTGGAACATGATTTTATTTTTTGTCCCATATATTGGGAATAATCGGGCCCCAACTGACTTTCATAGAATGATGATCCCAACTGACGAACTCATAATTTTTCAGAGAGGTAGGTATACCACCAACCAGAATGTATTGGACATGTATTGGACATGTGGTTTCGTGTCAGACATCCAATTTTGGGGACAATTCCAGGTGGAACTATTGGAAATCAGACCGGCATGACAGAGCCCCCATTCAGACCATCAGAGGATGAGCCATCAATTAAACCGGGGTTTTCGATTTCACCAAATAAGATTGGTTGAGTCCCAGAACTGGTGGAAAGTTTTTTAAATAGCAACAACCCTGTATCTTTGATAGGGAACAAAATCCATGGCGGATTCCGGTTACCCGAGATTTTTCGAAACGTGTCTTGAGGCGCGTTTCCATGAGCAGCTGTGGCAGTGCTTCGTGGACCAGACTTGGCCTGATAAGGAGCAGATGGGTCGAAGATTTCGTTCACTTACCCTTTGGTTTCTTCTCTATCGTCCATTCCAGGATATGGCTAGATGACAGTGGATGACTAGATGATTGAGCTGGCACAGCTACAAAGATGGGTCATTTGTTCCACTGTTACAGTATGTTAGAGTTTGCGAACTGGAGCAGCACCATTCTTAAATAGCTGAATCACCATTTTTATCATGAGTTGTTATGGGCTAATTTCCATATATTATTTGAGTAACCGACAAAATATTGTAATAATTACTAATTTAGTTTTTGCTTTGCCTTGGCCTTTCCGAGGTTGCACAAAACCTTCATAACCGGTAGGGGATGACCCTATACCGATACCCCATTTGTAATACCTCCGGGAATACTGAAATCCTCACAACCGATAGGGGACGACCCTAATTTGTGCATGGCATCAATTTTAACATATGATTTTGTCCGCGCCGGGGGGGTATAAAAAAGATTCAGACGGAACCCATCATGTTAAATAACCGGAGGGTATACGCCCAGTTAAATAACATCCATATGAATCATTTCTGGTTGGTGGTTTGGAACATTTTTTATTTTCCATAATGTATGGGATAATCCTTCCTATTGACTAATATTTTTCAAGATGGTTAAAACCACCAACCAGATTTGTAATGTCAACCCAGATGCTAACCATGATTCATAAACTCTGCATGAGCCAGGGTTCCCCCGCGGTTCTGTATCAGGTGAGAGGAAACGCTCTTGATTTTTTTTCACTTTGGGCATCAGACAGGTCTGTGGTGGATACCTTAAAAAAATGCAGGTTTCATGTGGGAAAACCTCCAAAAAACCTTGGATGAACTACGTTCAATCCTTTGGGTTTTTGTCTACATGAATAGATGAAACACCACCATAAACAGCAAACAGATGATATATATTTTTTGTGGACTACCACAGGTTGACCATGAACATGATGGATGACCCTCTGGTAACCATGGCAGATATTTTCCCATTTCGTTGCCAAGCACCAGTCCATTTTGGGCGATAGGATATGATAGGTTACCCGGTTACCCTAGGGTAAACTAAGATAGATGTGGAAAATGGATGAACATAGCCCATTTATGGATGAATTACCTATTAAAATGGTGACTGTCCACATCTATTTTAGTTTGCCCCAGGGTATACCTCAAGATATTTGTGCTTCTAGATATCATAAACCTCCTTGAGCTGGAATTGCCATTGACGACTCGCAGATTTCGAAATGAAGCACAGTAGACATTTCAGTAGCAACCTGTATTGGGAATACAATTGAAGCACGAGGTATACACGTGACTAATTTTTCATAATATAAGTATATGTATGTACAGTGTATATATAAATATATATATATACTATGTAGGTGTCAATTTTGATTTTGTATGTACATAAATTGTATATTTCTATCTATATTTTCATCTGTGATTATGTTCATGTATTTTTTGCATATATTACCAGTTTAAACTTCAATACTTCAGTCCAGCGGTAGGAGCTGGTCGTAGTGGAAACCTACACCAAGAAGGAGAAGCCTTCTGAAGTCTTCACCAAACTAGTCAAGGACGGCATTAGACGACAATGCAGCGCTGATTGGGTTGCCATTCCTGTTGAAGTTGGCAGATGTTGGCAGTGATGATGGATTGATGGGGTATAATGACTTCCAACATCATCGATGTTGATGGATTATCCATGATTATCCCATTATGACAGGACATCAATCCAAGTCATTGATGATGGATTATTCCTCGAAGTGATGATGGGGTATAATGGGATTGATGTCCTGTGAAAATGTCAATGACTTCGAGGGAAAATCTCGAGGAAAGCACGGTCCACGGGAATGTTCCTATCAGCTAAACCAAGCAATGGATCAATGGGATGAAACCAACTTCGAGTCGGGTACTGTACGCCCAAAAAAATGGCAAGAACTTGAACTTTTTCCAAGGCAAGTCCTTGCCCCTCGGTTTTATCGAAGGATATCCACTGATTATCATTGGAAGTCGATCAGTAAAATCTTGGATGGTTGACTTGTCGATCGTTGATTGGGGGAATGATCCCGAAATCATCCCATGCCGAAAGGGCCTGAAATGTTAAGTCTAACAGCTATGTTCAGGTGAAAATTATTATCATTCAGCCAGAACCTATAGCTGGTTGATGCTGGTTGGTAGTTTAAATCTGCTGTTTCTTCAACCATAAAAATTGAAGATCATCATTATCCCACTGGTCATTCAGATATCTTTCAGATATTGGTGGCTCAAGCACCAATCATTTTCCACTAAGTATGTCCATCATTTCTATTCCCATCATATTTCCATTGCCATTCCCCGAGCACAGCTGCCGTTAATATTTCCATGCTGGGGCAATCATCCAGGCGAAGGAACCGCGACTGAAATATCTGGGACTCCAAGTGGAGAACGAAGACTTCACGGTCGGCGCCAAGCGATCTTGGGTTGATGAGATGGAGAAAATTCCAGATCGAACTCTATGGCTGCTTTCTTTTTTGAGCGATCTAAATTATGTATGAATAGATTGTTTATTTTTTCAGTGACCGATCTACATGCATATATATATATATAGATAGATAGATAGATAGATAGATAGATAGATAGATAGATAGTATACGACAATATGTAGTATAATGATGTATAATGCATATATATATATAGTCATGTTGCTGTACTGTGTGTAGATCCTGCTTGCTGGTGTGTAACTTGAATGGATCGTGAAATTGTAATGCCCGTTGCCCATTAAAACTCTCAAGTCTAAATGGTCAGTGCAATGAAAGTTGTAAGTATATATGCGTATAGATGTATGATGATGGTGATGATGATCATGATGTGCGCACGCAACTGTACCTACATACATCTATGTATATTTGTTTGCCCATTTATCTGTCCATATTGCAGATAGAAGCACAGGCACATCCATGTAGAAATGCATATGTAGATACGTTGCGCAGCTCTATCTACCTGGGCAAGAGCACACGCACAAACATAGGTCAATAGCAGCACAAAAGCGCCCATGTGAATATTCACTATTATGCATGTATATACATATATATCTATTTGTCCATCCCTATTTATATATCGCAGACTTGCACATGCTCTTTCATTTTGGAAAGAATGCTGATGGTGACCAGAAGACCATGCGACGGAACATCCCATGGATTTTTTTTTGAACGGGATTGATTCAAGAACGGTGAGGGACCTGAACCTTATTATTGTTAGCAGTCACATTTTTAGTGTTAGCTTGAAACTGAACTATCAGTTTCCTTCAAGATTGGAGCTGCAAGTTATCCCATGACGTTTGCGATAGCTGTTCCCTTCGATGTTTGTGGCGTGGAACGTCGACAAGGGGTTTTAGCACAACTTCTTGGACAGAACAGCAGATCGAGGAAAAGCCAGGCGCATCATGGAGGCTTCATGATGCGATAGGCTATTCCTCGATCTGCTGTTTTGTCCAAGAAGGTGACCTTGATGCCATCTCTCCGGATTAAGCCCTGGTGGTTTTGGATGCTGCCGGAGAGGTTGTGGCGGCCACGTGCCAGGCACTCAGACCATCGGGCCGAGCTCATGGCCCTTGCAGCACTCACATGGGGAGCTTTTTCAGCTGTTGAACTTTGTTTGTGGTCGGACTCTCAATCCACCATTCATGTAGCCGAGCACATCCAGAAGTTCGATGAGATACCAGAGGGTGCCTCCAACCATGATCTTTGGCATTTGGTGCAGCAGGCATTGCGTGACAGAGCAGGTGTCTTAGCATGTTTTCACGGGGTACCTTCACATGTTCCAGCGTCAGAGGCTGAAGATCCCTTCGAGGAATGGGTGATTCACTGGAATGACTTGGCTGATCAGTTGGCCGTGCACACCAACTACCAACGCTCAGCTGCTTTCAAGCAAATGCATCAGGCATTGAGGAACCCCCTGCATCACTGGGATATTAGACTCCAGCAATTGCAGCAGTTCTTTTTCCTGGTTGCCGACCGTGAGTCCAGGACCATTGATGGGGACAATGAGACCATTCATATTGAGTCTTCAGATGAAGACGACATGCTTTGGACGGCCATTGAAGACAACCTCCCGGTCAACTGGCAAGTGCAATGCCTCCACAACCATGCTGCTGTGCCTGGAGCTTTTTTGGTGGGGCTCATTAACTGGCTCTGTGCGGCTGAGCGTCTGAGAGGCCCAATTCATGGTGTCAGTGAACTTGAATTAGTTTTCTTTTTGCTTTTGGACAAGGATTGTGCATTGCCTTTCCAGGTAGATGGTTCGTTGGGGGTGCACCTGAGAACACCGGACAGCCTTTTCCAACGACCAACGGTAGGTCACATGCTGAGATCTGTGCAGCATGCTCTCAAGAGCATATTTCAGCTGTTTCCTTTTTTTGCCATCAAGCTGCCACGGGCTCCAGCACCAAGCCTGGGTGTACAAATGCAATTTGCGGGTCTACGGATTTCTGAACCTAGCCTGCTGCGGCAAGAGATGATGGCGAATTTGAGGCGCTTCACGGCGACCAGGCCGATCAGGCGTGTTTCCGATTTAGCTAGGCCAGTGACCTAAACCAGACTGAGCTGTACAGCACTGCATTGCCGTGCTTGCAGCCTGAGAAGTCGTCCGAGCTATATATTGCATACTTGCACGTGCTCTTTCATTTTGGAAAGAATGCTGATGGTGACCAGAAGACCATGCGACGGAACATCCCATGGAGTTTTTTTTTTTGAACGGGGTTGATTCAAGAACGGTGAGGGACCTGAACCTTATTATTGTTAGCAGTCACATTTTTAGTGTTATCCCATGACGTTTGCGATAGCTGTTCCCTTTAATCATTGTGGCGTGGAACGTCGACAAGGGGTTTTAGCACAACTTTTTTCCATGGCGAGCTTTGTGGTTTCTTCGAAAAGTTGCTGGGTGGTTCTCATATGTTCTCATGATGAGCCAAGCAGACCATGAAACTCTCATCATGAAACCGATCTTTCTGTTTTTCCGCTGTCAAATGCTGTTGCTTTTCCATCGCCACTTGATATGATGAACCCCGGTCACCAGGCCTGGAGAGGTTGTTCTCTGCTTGGCGCTCAGGAAATATGACAGTGCTCATGAGCAGCGGACAGACACTCGCTGCATTTGGAATGGCTGGGTTAGTGTTGGATGGTTACTTTCGTACATTTTGAATCATTTTGATACATAATCATTACATAATCATTGCGATAAATGATTGGATTCCTACCAGCCAGGGAAAGTTCAGAGATTTTTTTTTTGCCAGGTACCGTTCAGATGGGGCATGGTGATAAAATCATCGCCCTCAGAGGTGGCACATGTCATTCGCCCTCGTATTCCTGGTAAAAAAACATCCAAAAAGGCAGCCAGCACAACAATCAAACGTCCAATTTTGTCCAGACGGCATTATTCTGTTTGTTTATACATGAATTTATATAATCATATTATATATATATATATATTATATAGACATATATACAGTATATATACAGTATATTTTATGTGTTTGTGTGAAAATAAACATTTTTAAAAAATATATACGCACTACATATTATGTGTCCATTTGGACGATCATTTGTTCCTCACTGACGAATCTTCGCCATGCAGCATGGCCCGGCCCTTCATGACTGCCTTGAGGGGTGTTTCCCGTTGCTCGGTGGGGCCCATATGATACTTACCTTCGGCGCTCTGGTAAACATACAAAAAGCGACATGGAAAATGGCCATTGAAATAGTTGATTTACCCATGAATAGCATGGTGATTTTCCATAGTTTTCTGTAAACGTTTACCAGAGGGTAAGACTTAAGATCCACCCAGCGATGCTGCAAAGGTACTGTGTGAACTTTGATGATGATGACTTGTATGCCACTGTCTATGTGGAGCGCATGGTGAACGAGCTTAGACAGAAACGCGGTTGCAGCCAGCCTTTGCAATGCTGACAGTGGCAGTCGCAAATGTTTTCCCCGCTGCGCAACTTGACATTTAATGTGACTTTCTGTGCCAAGGGAAAATGCAATGCTGTCGCACTTGTGTTGTTTTACCGAGGACGAACTGACTTCAAACTGTTGATTGGCAGGATAAATGGGGATAATGTGCCAATGATTTCCTTCACGGGAGACGGCTCCGAAACTGCTTGACTGGTAGATACGGTTAGTGCTTGGACTCGGGACATAGCCTTCCCAAGATGATTCAATATGATTCATATGGACACTCTCAAGATAGGTGAACATGCAGAAACGAATAATTGAACAGATGCTGCTGCTGTTGATGATGATGATAATGATGGTGATGATGGTGATGGCGATGATGATGACCATGGCAGATCTGAAGAGTGCAGTGTCAGTTCCTCTCCTCATACCTTTGCCGTTTCTTTGTTAGTCATGAGCAATCCTCCGTAGTGATTGCTGGTCGAAAAATCAGACAAACCTCACATGGATCGTCGACTCTCAGTGAGAGCTTACCCAATTCATTTCCCCGCGCTCAACTTTTGGTTCATTCGCCCATATTACACCCCACCCCTTTATGATGTATCCCCATTATTGTCAGGTTTTTGTTGGTCAATCTACCATCTTGTTTCTTTGGTGAAGCCCCTGCCTGCCTTGGGCTACTTATATCACTTACGGCTTACAGTATATTACTGCAATCATGTTATTGTTGGGTGGCATATGTTGGATGAACAATGATGAACATTTATTGTTGTTGGTGGTTCCAGACCAGCTGCTTGCCTACACAAGAACATTTTTCTAGACCCTGTATGGGTCTCACGGTGAGAATTGTTGGCCAGAAGCACCATGGCTTGAGAGAGATACCCATTCCGCATGTTTTGTCGGCAAAAAATCCCCTGATTTCTCGTTGCCGCATTTTATTAGTACGCGCCGTGTGCGTGAGGGACCGTGTTTTTTTTTTTTAATCAAGATTGAATCAGCATGAATGTGTCATGTTTGCCTGCAGCCATTTGGTAGGTTTGTGTAAGTGTATCGTATCATGTCGTAATTTGATATAATTTATGTAGCCATAGCGTCTCAAAAGCATCAATGTGTTCAGGGAGTAGAACATAATTTATTTCGGATTTGAGTGGCCTTTTGTTTCATTAAGTTAATTACTGTATGTAACATGGTCCAATGTAGTTACCCTCTGGTAATTTAACATAGCTATTGAAAATGGCAATTTATAGTTGGTTTACCCATTAAAAATGGTGATTTTCCCAATGCTATGTGGCTGTTTACCAGAGGGTAACGGGGTATAGAACAGCATATAAGAAGCAGAGAGAATGCCAATGGAAGTTGCTTCTTTGATGATCTCGTCTTCCCAGATGCCAAGGAACGTTATTCGCCCCACCCCAACCCCCATGTGCCTGGGAAAAGTGAGAAGACGCTGCGTATATTTTGATGGTCCCGGAGGCACACAAGGCACACAGTACCAATTAGTACAGCAATCCCAATCGTTTGTTGCCTGAGTCAGTGATAGTGGTTGCCCCAATGTCTTCCGAGATATTCCGAGGTGCTTTGCCAAAGAAAAACCATAAACCGGTGATGCTCCTGCAACCGAACAGGGCTGAAAATCCCACAATTTCCCATATGCATATACACTGTCTCCCATTTAGTATATTTAGTTGAGGGGTTTCCCAGCTAGCCATGTTTGATGACAGCAGAGGGTAAAACATGATGAACTTCCCAAATTTGAATGGTTTGTTGAATCATGTCCGTCATAATCCGATTATTACTTTATTTCCATTATATTCCCATTTTGGTTGGGTAATCCTGCTAGTGAAGTTGGTCCCAATCTTGCCGCTTAAATCACCAAGAATTTTGTGGGTGAAATTCCCATAACTTGGCAGCTGAAAAGTTCCCGAAAAGTTCCCGTTCCGGGCCCCTGAACAAACCACAGCTCAATGGATTGGTTTTTCAGGAAACACCTATTTCGGAAATCCCCATGATCTTAATGGGAAAATCAAAAAAAATCCGGTGCCCAATCCGAAAACCACAGCAGCCCAGGAGAAGTTTGGTCGCGCTGACCCTCTCTGCATGGCACAACTTCTTCGAGTCCAACGGTCGCTGTGGATATTCCGAGACTCGGTCGTATGGTCGAGCTCCGAGGGCTTTGGGATGCGGGAGGTTTGGGATGTTTTTAGCTGCAAAAAAAACATGATTTGATGGGATTTAATGAGATTTTTCATGAGATTTACCCTCTGGTAAACTAACATAGCTATTGGACATCACCATTTTTAATGGGAAAATCAACTATAAATAGCCATTTTCAATAGCTATGTTAAATTACCAGAGGGTAATGGGATTTTTCATGGGAATAGCATGGGCATATCATGCTTTAATCATGTTTAATAATGATGAATGTGGGACAGCCAATCATAAACTACCATTTGGGGATGGTTTGTAGCACCAATTGATGGTGAATTTCGGGGATGGTTTTATTGGGTGTAACACATATCTTTTCATCAATGAGAAATTCTAACTGACTATTGCTATTCAACCAAACATATGGATATTTTATGGGAAATTGTGGGGATTAACTAGCCATAAGTGCAATTTGATAACTCAAACGTATTACTAATGACTACTATTCATGAATCATGTGGACATTTTATGGGAGAAAAGGGGGGGGTAGTAATACATCATAAGTGAAATTTGGTGGGGATGAACTAGCAATAATTGAGGGTGAATGGATGGGGGAATCTTTGACAATGGAGACATAGTGGGAGATATCATGGAATAACCCTTTTCTTCCGAATAGGGGTTTAAGAATTCAACAACATGGAATTAAGATTGTTTAGCGATCCAGAAATGACATGGCCACACACCAAACGAAGTCGTGGTTTGGTATTGGATCTATTCAGGAACTGGGGTACCAAAAATGTGGTGGATTTCAATATTAGCAGGGATGGGGTTACAGTGGCAGAGCCAAAAATCAACTGCCCAAAATGATTTGGGGGATACAAAAAAAAATGCTCCAGAAATAGGACTATGGATTTCGAGTTAATCAATGGCCATTTCAGGTACCTAAACTGGAGGTAGGGTACAATATAACACCATGTTTGTATGTCCCCTCACATAGCCCTTACATAGACCTTATATATGGACCTCCAATTTAGGTTCCTGAAATGGCCTCTGATTCTATGGCATTGCATTTGCGATGGATATGGGGGATTAAATCTACCTGAACTAACAAAGCATTCCTCCAAGTGACCAAGGGGTTGAGTATGTACTGGTTTACTTACCAGAGACACAACTGTTCGAAGGTTGCGTTTTTTTTTATTTTACGGGGTCTTAGGTTGTCTTAGGCTACCCTTGGTAATTTGTTACATACCTATGGGCAATGACCAATTTGGTTTGATGATTTCCCGTTTTGAAAACTGGTGATTTCCAGTTCGCAAACTGCAGATTTCCAGTTCGCAAACTGCAACCAATTCCCAGAGGGTAGCCCCAGACATGGAGCTTTCCTAAGTCATGGGGGTACCCGTACCAACAAATCATCCAAATCATCAGACCATGACTTAGTGACTTGAAACAACCATGGTGACGACTGGGGCTCCCCACTTTGAAGAACCCCCCACATATTCAGGGGTCATTCTGGGGCACGCAGCATGTTCCACTCCCTCCGACCCCCTTTGCTCAGACTCCCGACTGCTGGGACCCCGAGGAGAGAGTTGTTGGGAGGGGCTGGACTAAAGCCTGGCTTGTTACATAGCTTTGAACAGGGCCATTTGCCAAAGAAAATGGCGATTTTCCAGAGCTATGTTGGTTTACCAGAGGGTCATCTAGTAAGGGGAATCATCTCAAGATGACCTCATTCAGAGTTCGGACATCTTAAAGTTTGTCCACATGGTTGGTGAACAGGGTAGCTTCAGGATGTTTCAGATATTGTTGAACACACTGAACACCCGAAATTTGCCACTTAGCAATCCTCAAAATGGCATGGAGGAGGGCGATTTCCGCAGGATGCCCCAAAACCTTTTTTGTCCACTGGAATAGGCCACGTTTGGTGTGGTATATGTAATTCTGATGGAGCAACCGGCTGGACACCTTTACTGGAAACAATGTTCATCTCATTCCAGCATATTTTGACTCATGTTTTGGGTGTCTAAAGCTCCTCATGGTTCAGTGGCTAGCAGCTAGCTGCAGGATCATGAAGAGTACGAGGGCATCCTCTATGGTTATGGCTTTAGCTATGCCTCCTTGACTGCGGAATGGGGGCGGTTTCCGAGCTGGCCGCGCTGGCCATATAGATGTCTGGAGAAGCTTTATCGTCGTGATGGAATACGGTGCGTGATTTCGTTTCTTCCTTTTTCTCGAACTTATACACACACACACACACGCATATATATATATATATACATACACAGTATACGTTTATGATTTTAGAATTATACATTTTTTAGGCCTTAATACGTCAGTTGTCCTCTTTTCCACGAATACCGGTTCCCGAGGTTTACCTCCGGGCCTTGGCGCTTTCATTTCCATATCCCAACTTAGGGTTCGCAGAGGAGCCGCAGGGCTGGGCTGAGGATGGCCGCGCTGGGCTGAGCAAATCAGGGTGAATCAACCAATTTTCATTGCACATTTTGGAGTTATGAAATTGAAAATTTAACATAGCTATTGAACATGGCCATTTACAGTGGATTTTCCCATTAAAAATGGTGATTTTCCATAGCTATGTTAAATTACCAGAGGGTATGAAATTGAAATTGAAAAAACGTGTTTGTTTTTCAGGAAGCCATGAATTTGGGAGTTATGACTATGTATCTGTCTATAAAGATGCTTCGTGATGTTTCCGAAGTTTCCTAAAATGGGGGGGTACCCCAAAACCATGGGTTTCAATGTTAAAACGGTCTAATTTCAGATGATTTGGGGTAGCCCGGGTAGGGAAACCTCCACCAAGATCACCAAATTTTTGATCGATTTGGGATGTCCAGGATGCCTGACAAATATGGTGCAGAGTATCATGTGCCTGACAAAAATTAGGAACCAGAAATAAACATTTGGCATATCGGAATGATTTAGTCATGTGCTTTTCGAATCTTTTGGATACCTGCCGATGGATTCATTGGAATTCCAGTGTAAGTTGCTTTAATACCCTCCGGTTATTTAACATAGCCATGGAAAATGGCCCGTTTATAGATGGTTTACCTATTAAACATGGTGATTTTCCATGGCTATCTTAAAATAACCAGATGGTAATGGGGCAATTTTCGAGACGCCAGGATGCACCCTTCATGTTGGGGCTTCGAGAGAAGATGGGTGCCATCCGAGTCGGGGGAAGTTAAAAATGGCTTCACCATTTTTCTAATTGTATCTCCTAAATATCTCTCTTACTTGTGTTTTCTCCTTCACTGAGGTATCCAAGGTTAAGTTATGCCAGTATGCAGAAACACCCCTGTGCCTTAGGAGTTAAGACACATGGTTTGGCATGTTCACGATTTCAGGGACCATGCGTGTACATATTTGAACATGCATTTGCCGTATAATATATATGTACTTGTGATGTAATTCATAGGGCATGGCTCCAGACTCTTAGGGCGCAAGCGTCTTGGACCAGCATCCGCAAGCTGTTCCAGCTTCTTGGGACACTATGTACATCTGTGAAATCATGGTTACCGCATGTTACAGCCAAGGCCATAGTTGTCGTAGTTGTACTAGTTCTACCAATTACGAAATACATCGAAGTACTATATCTGTAGTAAAACTTCAGTCATTGAAATCTGAAGAATCTGATGAGTTCGGGGTTAAACGTGAAATCCATCAACATATACATCCTCCAGTACATTAACATAGGCCCTGCCAGATAGGCTTTTGGCAGATTTTTTTCCACTAAAACTGGGTGATTTTCAGGGGCAACAAATTACCAGAGGGTATATAGTATAGTAAGCTCTGGTAATAATCATATCCCAGAGGGTATATCCCACTTATTACAACTTATTACCAGAGGGTATAGCCACTTATGGTATATCCCAGCTATGACTACATATCACTTGCTAACTACGATCACCTCACCACCCAGCACACTGCACGCAGCTGCACGCAGCTGCACGCACCGCTTGCGCAGGTCCTGGCCGTGTAGGGCTGAAAGAAGATGCGGAGGGACTGTGCCTGCACATAGCTCCTGGGACGACAAGTTACTATGGAGCATGATAGCATAGAACATCATATTGAAAAACATATGTATATATATAGATAGAGATATAGATACATGTGATATAAATTATTTATGATTTATATGATTATGTATGTTTGTAGATGATTGTTAATCTCGTCATAATCTAAGATTCTTCGTTATATTACTCATGTCTAACATGTATTATTCACAGATCGATCACACACACGGAGTTTCTTCACGTGCTTTCTGATAAATATAGTAGACTACGGTGGATTAGAGTGATTGACATCTTGAAATATCGATCTACCATCACCTTCATGGTAGTTTGCAGGTCATCCGGGACATGGTTGGACATCATCATGAGATGCTGCTCCGAAGCAGTGCACATGGTCCCATGGTGCAGGTACATCCCAGCAGCAGCACACCAGACCCAGAGATTGAGACAATGCTTACGGAGGAGGAATTAAATGTCCCCTGGCACGACCTTGGAAACTCCTGCGGATACTTCGGGATGTCCAAGCTGATGAGAAAGCGAGTTGGCCGATGTTGGCTTTTTGCTGGGCATCGAATTCACAGGTTTTTTTTATGGTCAATTGCCAAAATAAGTGGCTAAACTCTCAGAGATGGCGATTTGAACATACTTTATCATTTGGTAGTCTGCCATGCGGCAATCTGCCATGCGAATGGACAATTCCTTATCTGGTTGGTGGTTTCAAACATTTTTAATGTTCCATTTCATATATGGGATGTCATCCTTCCCATTGACGAACTCATATTTTTCAAGATGGTTTTTTAACCACCAACCAGTTATTCTCTAGATGATTTCCCTTGATTTTTCCAATAAAATAAGATGTCCCGTATTCAGGAATGACCACTGGATCCAGTTTCGGGGGTGAACCCTGCCAGGGCTTAGTGGTGTCGGATTCAATGGTACCATGGCACCGGGACCTCGGGCACCGGGATCGGAGACGCGGCCGGGGCAGTGAAATAAGGTGGAGGATTCGGAGTTTTTATGTCGGTTGAAATGGGTGTTGTTTTGATTTTGTGGTCGGGATTTTGGATGATTTTGGATGATTTTCTGCAGATTTCATTTCAGATTTTATCTGGATTTCATGGAACTTTCATGTGGGTTGTTCTTGCGGGTGTCACGAGAACATGGAGATCTGACTCACCAAATCATGGTGGATTTCACAGGATTTCAGTAGTATCTTATAAGGACCAGTGGGGATATACTGTAAGCAACAAAGGTTGGAATTCATTAGTTGGTTGCTGGTTTCAATTTTTAGTTACCACTAATTATCGGCTCGCCCGGAAAGAATGCCCCCGGAAAGATTTTGGCATCTCCTTCCGGAATTCAGCGGTCAGCTGGCGAGTGACTGGGTATCATCGTAAACAACACCCAACTCAGGTATGTGAACAGATAACCTGGCAACATCCCCACATTTGATTCACTAACAGCAACTTACATAATATCTACTACATTTCAGGAGGTTCCAGGGCCATCATCTCGAAGCACGGGCGGGCTGGGCCGAGGCATTTCGACTACATCTCAAGCGGCCTTGGTTTCCGTCTCTTGGGCATGGCGTTCTCCAAAATATTCATTGAGATCATCTAATTAGTATGAATCTTAATCAATCTTATTGTTAATCAATACTAAGTACGTACTATTCAATTCAACCTTATCCTTTCTTATCTCATATTTACTCCTGTTACTCTCTATGACTCTCTCTCGATTGCATCCCGCTGTCTTTCATACTCTCTGTTGGTGTGTGAGGAGGATACGTTTCACATAAGTTTCCCCATCTTTAGCTCAACAGTTTCAAACCGAGGTAATTACTGTACGTATGTTTTTTTTTTGTTTTGTTTTCTGAGGTCGATTTGGTCCTCTTGCTGACTCCCTTGACATCACTTGGCCTATTTTGCACATTTATCGCCGAGTGAAGCCTGATCCGTTGAGACTTTTCCGCCCGGCAATGGCCGGAAGCATCTCGCCACTCATTGGGGTGGCGGCGGTGAGGAAAGCACCAATTGGATCGACAGCGCGGCGTGGAAAAAGCCACTGGATGACGAGTTGGATGACTGGCAGCTGCTGGCCCCTGGTAGAGAGTCTCTGTTGGATCTCTTGGCTTGGTTATGCTTGGTTTATTTGCAAGCCATTTGCACCTGGGATTTTTTGATATTTTTTGGCCTTGTTGATTGAGTAAGTCCCTCCGGCTTTCAATGGGGAGAAGTGAAGGAATTGAGGTTTGTTATAACACAAACACCCAGTTCACACGCCTTTGTTTCCTGGTCTTATATCATCTAACTGCGGTGAAATCAGACGTTACTCACCAGTGTTTTTAAATGAAGTTGACATACCATTCACTCCGATATAGGTCATCAGCATTTTCTGAACCTTGGAACTGCAATGTACTTTTTTTTTTAAAAAATCTTGAATCTTTTCAGGACTTTCACAATCTTTAACATCTACGGTATCTGTTCAACAGGATCAGATTGGCCGTGCCATCCCGTTGCATCCTTTTTTGGCTCCAGCCCAGACGCGCGAGCCCACGGGAACGGAAAACCTCCATGGCTGTGGCCAACGCGCTGCAGAATGACGTGGTGTCGTCTCCCGTGGCCAACGTCGCCACGCCCGAAGACCTTGCCACGCGCCAGGTCAACGTGGCCAATGTGATCACCCAGGTGCGGGTGATCACGGCGCCGCCTTGGCAACTACACATTTACCCAAGAGACGGAGGGTCCTAAGATGTTCCTAAGCATTCTAGTATATTCTAGTACTTCCAACAGCTCACAAACAACGGTTCAAGAAAATCCAAACTTGGTCAAGTTTCTGTAGGAAGGGCCCCCCGTGGTGATGTTTAAGTTGGTTTATAAGTTAGCCATAGTTAGCCTATCTAACTACTGTGACGCATCCTGATACATGATATCCACCATAAATGTCCATCAACCATAAATGTCCAGTGAAATACACCACCCTAAACCATCATAAACCACCCTAAACCATCACCCATAGGATCCATGTATGCTATATATATGGTAACATTTACCATTAATATACCCCAGTCATGTTAGCATATATACCAGCACCATGGATCCTATGGGTCATAGAATACCATTTTTACCGCCAGACAACCTGTCGCCTCAACTGTGGTCACCGGAGGTGTCGAAGAACGGGGCCGATGAGGTGAAAAAGGTTAGACCTGTGCGACCCATGGCGCTGCGGACCATCAAAAAGGTGGTGAGGACGTCAACCATGGTGGTGCAGACAGGACTGGGGTGGACTGTGGATGTACAATATATAATGATATACATACGGTAAAAGAAGGTGTATGTTTGCACTTAATGTAATGTAGTGTAGTGTAGTGTAATAGTGTAGTGTAGTTTAGTGTAGCATCATGTATTGTCATGTATGTGTATATATATGATATATATATATATGCATGTGATTATATGCGCATCTAGAGGTATGTTTATCATTCCGAGCAATGCGTATATCAAGATGTACTTAAAGATATTGACATTGTCGAGCTGTCGAGCCAGAATTGGATGACCCCAAGTGACCGATGTGTTTCCAGATCGGTTGAAGCCACAAGCCAGATATTACATGATATATAATTTATATACACATGATATTATATCCAAATATCGTAGATGATATCTTGTACCATGTATTCTTGCAGCTCTAAGAAGCTTTGAAATCATTTAAAAAGAGGGTTAAAAGTTCCTTTTTCCCAAGGCTTTTCCACACTTTTTTCAGTCACTTCTCTAGTCGTCTGGCCACTGGCGCAGGACAAACACCACTAGAGAGAGAAGTCGAAAGCATCGAAGGTCTTCGCAGATTTTCCCAAAAGCCTCCCGCTGAGGTGCCGTTTGGAAAACCAGCTGTCCCATGGTCCTCCAAGAAATCCAAAGATCCAAGGGACCATCTCAACCGGAAACCGGAAACGATTTCCCCATAGATGTTCCCATTGATTGGAATTGGGAAACCTTAATTCCATTGAGATAAGTCAGACAAAAATTCAGGGTCTATTTGAAAACAGACCACCCCAGACATCATCAAGACGGCCACTGAAAGTCTTGCGGATGAGAGGGGGCTCATTGGTACATCTAAAAATGATGATTGATCTGGCTTTCCTTTGCTTCTGGGCGGCAACCGCCCCTGTTCGGATTGACTCCCCGCTTCCTTTTTCACCATGAATGGCCAAGTATCTACTGTGAGTGGATACTCAAGGCCAATCAAAGCTGCAGTGTATGACTTGATACTGTAGTTAAAGCATCCAGGTTCAGTTCAAAAGATATTGAAGAACTGTTTGAAGCAAGGGATATTGGCCCTACCAGGATGGTACTTTTCCATGGCCAGATTTCTTACCTCCCAATATCTCCCAACGACACCAGGCTATGTCCCAATGATATATCAAGTATCCACCTTAACTCGATCATTTTTTTGTGGCTTCATCGTTGTCTGAGCTATGCTGCCTTCATTCCTCCAGGAGTTGTCTTTAGGAGAATGATACCACGCCACCATGATGTCGCCATAGATGCTCTCTAATACTGTAAGCAGAATTATGTACCCCAACATCATCACATGTGAGGGTGAAGAGTTGAATAGGATTCTGCTGGATTTCTGCTGGGCGAAGTATATCCGAAGTATCTCCCAATTCTGTGCAATACAGCAATTTGTTTGTATATTCAAATGTCAACCACTTGTATCGCATTCTGACTACATATCCCCCAAATTGTTCACCAAGGCCATTTGTTCAATGGCCATTTCAGGAACCTAAATTGGAGGTACCTACCATATATAAGGCCCATATAAGGCCTAAATTTCAGGTAATATCCCCCCAAAATATGGCCTTATATGGTACTAACGTACCTCCATTTTAGGATCCTGAAGATCTCCCATTGATTTGTATGATATCTAGCTTTGTGTGAAGATAAGTTTATAATTACCATCTGGTTATTTAACATAGCTATGGAAAATCCCTTATAAATGGAGGTTTTAATGGGAAAATCCTCTATAAATTGGGCCATTTTCCATGGCTATGTAAGAAATAACCAGAGGGTAATCATTTTCTTATGAAAGTTGTCATGGTGTCACAGCAACGTAGCTTCTGGGCCCAAACCTCCCCGTGGTGAAGCCGGAAGGAACTTAGGGGGGTTCAACCAATTGGGCCATGACATTTCCACCATCGCCGGTGTCACATACAATAGATGTGGCAAAAGTCTATTCAACCAGGTCTGAGATATGCCCCTGCAATGGATTTCATACAGCAGAAATTCACAATCGTGCAGTTGTGACGATGGCAGAACATGTTGTGATGATTTCAGGTTTGGTACGGAAGGATGGCCTTTGCAATTCGAATGCCTTTGGAGGGAATCGACTTAGTCCACGAAAGTGTCCCCATGACATTGATGATCGGATTCAAGTCAGAATTTCCATGGATCAGTGGACTCATGTGGTGTCGAAGTCAAGTTACTTCATTGTGATTCATGCACGTCTCATTGACGGAGCATTGGATGCCACAGTGGGAGGTGCCGGTGTTTTGGCATCACCCACATCCAGGTTGAGTACATCTCTTCAAGGGCAGCTTAGTACGTTTGAACTCTTTGCTGGTGGATTCAGCGGGTGGACACACAGCTTGAGACGGTTGCAGCAATTAGGATACTCCTTCAGGCATTTGTTTGCACTGGATTTTGATCTGGATTGTGCTGAGATGTACTGCAAATCACACGGATTTCAGCATACCTTGGGGCCGGAACACTTCCAGTGGGGATCTCAAGAGCTCTCTTCTCATTTGTTTGTCATTGGCGACATTTGTGAGTATGGGTGGTGTCATCTTTTGTCCAATGAACAGTATGACATCGCTATGGCAAGTCCGCCTTGTCCACCGTGGTCCATGGCCACTGCATGTCCAGGTTTGCTTCGACATGAAGGCCGTTTGACTTTGCATGGCCTAGGATTGATGAACTTGGTCAGACCGAAGGTCTTTGTCTTGGAGATGGTTGCTTCCATGAAACAACATGAGCACTGGCCTCTGATTCGACAGTTTGTGCAGTGGATGAGGTTTACCATGCGGTATGCTGTGACTCTCAACCTTGCTGAGATTTTTCCTCAGCACCGGGACAGGCTGATTTTGGTCTGTACGAATGATGACTTTGAACATGAGCCACACAGATGTGTGTCATGGCCAGCAGTACAGCGGCAGAATCTGGAGTCTTTCATGAATCTCATGAGCCTGACATCTCCTTGGGCGGAATCAGCGTCCATTTCACCTGAGGTATTGGCGATGTACATGGATCCAAACATGATTCCAAGATCAATTTCTTCCAAGAAGCCTGCAGTGAAACGATCCAGGAAGGATGTTGAAAGTTACCGCTTGAAATACCCACAGTCGGTCTTTGGATGCATCCTGGCCAATTACTCCTATGGACATCTGTTACCCGACCATACCCTGAAGAATTTTGGTCTTTTCGGGTCCATCTTGGCCCTGCCTGAAGGACTGAGATTCATGTCTTTGCCAGAGGTGGCCATAGCTCAAGGAGCATTGGTTGAATTTTGGTTGCCAACCGAACACCGCAAAGCAATGAGGATGTTGGGCAACTGTATTGCGACTCCACATGCATTGGTCGGCATTGTCAACGCGATGTGCTTCATTCGTGAAGACATTGTAGGAGTGGAGGCACAAGAGCTCATGATTGCAGCACTTGCGGGTCGTTTTACCGCTTTCAATTTGCGATTTGAATCGAAGTGGGATGGATGGCAGTTGACAAAAGATGATGATGCATGTCTCCCAACTTTGCAGATGCATGCTACCTACAAGGTGACAGTGAAGACACCAATGGATGTGAGATTTTTCTTTGCAGAAAGAGAAGTGGTGATTCATGATGCAATTGCATTTCTGACTGGTGACTCGGCTCCTGGTGACCTTGCGTTTTTGCCCGGGGGAAAACTTGAGCATAGGATCACTCTGCCAAGCCTCATGGATGTATCTGACGAGCCAGTTTGTCTTTTTGCCAATGTCCCAAGTGCATTGAGGATTCCAAAAGAACGCTTCTCTTCAACTGAGAACCATGAGAAGTACGTTTATGTACTTACGAAGAATGGGATCTATGTGCTGAGACGAGACGAGGGTATGACGGTTCAAGATGTCATCATGGTGATGGGACATCATTGTGGAATTCCCTGCGCACACCTTGTGGGATGTCTTGGTGAACGTCACCAAACACAAATGCTGTGCCCAGATGCAGTGATTTGCAGAGACATAGAATCAGCCAGTGACGATTTGAGGGTCTTGGATTATGTCATAGCGCATGTCAACGACCATGACTTCAGTTTCGTTGCGGGGCATGATGCATTGAGGGAATTTTCAGAAGTGATGGAGAGAACAGGAATGGATGAGACGGTCCAGGCATTTGGCTGGATGTTTGTCGTTGATGCTATGGCGTTGATTACACAGCAGGCCGGTTCCATACGTCTTGTCCAAAAACCAGGGTGTTTTTCCATTACGCATGAAGAGATGGCATTTTGCATGGCCCTGCATTTCTTTCTCCTGAAAATCAGGGCGTGGGAGACAAAAGGAAAAGATCCCACTGTGAGATGTCGTGTCAAAATCTGGCACACATGGATTTGGGATTCCATGGTTGACCGTGCAATCAAAATGGAGTGTTTCAGTGAGGCGTGGGAGGATGTGGCCGCCCTCTTTGAGATACAGAGGCCTTGGCGATATGTCATCAACAACAGAACCATCAACCCGGAGTGGCCTTTGGGAGGCTTCTTTGAAACAACAGATGATGGGAGCGATGTGCTGACAGTACATATGCTATTGGGTGTGAAAGGGGGAGGACCTGTCAAGTTGGTCTCCTCTGAGCAGGCCATCAACTCAGGTAACCTTTCGAACCTGGCAGAATTTGAGGCGCAGAATTTCAGTGCAGCGTTGAGTTTTGTGCTTCAGAAGGTGGTTGACAAAAACAGACAGAGACAGTCCTATGACATCTCCATTTTTTTGGAGCTTCAGGCGTCTTTTCGTGAAGGCTTTTTTGTCATCAATGGGGAATATGCTTTGCTTCAGAAATTTATGCAGACCATGAAAGAGACAGGAGTTGAGAAGATTATCGACTACTGTGGCTGGATTGTGGTGTGCAGATTTGTGCAGATTCTTGATCCCACAATTGCGTCAATTATGTTTGTGAGGAAACCTCTTGCCTCTGCAGTGACAATGGAATTTCTCAGGGCGATGCTTCGATCGTCATTCATCTTCTTGGGCTTGCCAGCACCTGTGGCAAGGACAGACAATGCAGTGCTCACAAAAGTGAAATTGTGGAATGTCATTGTCTTTCATGATTTTTGGGATCGAAATTTGCCTTTACAAGATTTGGTTGACACATGGGATCAGGCGTCCTCAATCCTCAATGATGTGATTCCGGTCAGATTGGTTGGTCCGGGTGGAAACATGAATCAAGACTTTCCATTACGTTACTTTACAAGGTGTGGACCGGATGGGACCACTGTTGCAACAATCAACTTTGTTGTGGGACTGCGAGGTGGGGGACCGGCGGAGAATGTTTCAGCCAACGAACACAAAGAAATGATGAAGCAGAGGAACCAGTTGGCCTCCTTCTTACTCACAGAAGGGATTGACTTGAAAGAATGTACAAGGTTTGTCGATTCCATGATCAAGAGTGCAGGACATGCGGCTATCGCCATGGTTTTGTCTCAGAAACAGGTCTCATCCAAATGGGATGGACTTACCAAGTTGGCGAACACCATGCATGTGAAACCTCCTGATATGACTGCCCGACAAATGAAAGTGCAAAAGAAATTGCAGAACAAGTTTGCTGGACCCAACAGAATTCTGGTGGATGACATTCGAGTTGAAGCTTTGGTTCTGCAAGAAGGTTGTGTCAGAAACTCAGATGGATCGGCTTGTACACAGGTACAAAAAGTCGTACCCAACTCATCGGGCATTGTTGTGATGAGATACAGGGATGCAAAGCCATGGATTGTCGCAGGTGAGGTGATTTCACAGGACGAGTTGGCAATTGCAGTGGTTGGGGCTTGCGGTGAAACTTCTGAAATGTGTCAGAAGGCTCAGATTCCAGTCACACATGGTGATGACCCTTTGATCATCCAAGTTTGCTTGCATAACCTTGGGGCAAAACATGTGTCCTTACAGTGTGACGAGCATGACAAGATTCCTGAACAGGAGTCACAAGTGATTTGCATGACGGCCCACAGAGAGGAATCGACGCTGAGGTGTGGAAAAGACTGATACAGGCACCAGTGAAGGTGATGCTTCAGCTCCTTTTTGGTGAACAGAATGAGGTCAACTTTTTGACCCCACCATGGGGAAGGTCTTTCCAGACTGGCGGGAAAAGATGTGAACCAAACCAGGCAACTACAGTGCAGTTTCATGGGCGAATTGCAAAAGAGCATGTGAGGAACACTTTGAGGGCATCAGGTACCTCTGGCATTTACACAACACCGAAAGGAGAGGATCGCAAGATTTCGGGAGATCACAGGATTGTTTGGTTACAACAAAGCCCTGTTGAGCTCACCATCAGTGTTTCCAAGTGTGACAACCACCTTGGGATTGTGAGGAGTGCAAGGGGAAGCCTACACAACAGGGGAATTCGTTTTCAAAAATGTGATTTTCCTGTGGCTTTTGGTTTACTTCGACCTGATGACCCTGTCCCAAACTTGGTGTCGGCCAATTTTCACTTCAAGGTGCAGCCGGTTCCTGTTGGAACCACATTTGAGCAGGTACAAGCCTGGCTGACAGCTCATGAGTGGAATGCAAAACCGGTTAAGGCATTGACTGGGAATGCATGGCTCTGTGCAGCTGAGGTGAAGTTTTCTGACACGTTTGCATCATGGAACACGAAGTCAGTGCTGATTACATGGATTCAACCAAAAGAGAACAGGGCTCCGGTGGTTTTGGCTGGTGAATTGCAGAGACCGCTGAAGGAGTTGTCACAGCAGCAGAGTGTCAGTGATGTTGGGAACAGTGGCGACGATCCATGGAAGAATTGGATTTCCAATCAGGGTGGTACAGGGCTACAGGCTTCATTCCCTGCAAAGCAGATGATGAATGGGCAGAATCACTCGCAACAGACCAGGAAAATTGAAGCTCCTATTGAGGATCGCTTTTCCAAACAGGCCGCAGAAATTTTGGATCTGCGTGAAAGAACCGACAGGGAGTTTGGTGCAATGAAGGAGTGTATGCAAAAGCTTGAGAAGTCCATTGCAGATCATGGAAGTCATTTACAATCCAATGCAGATCAGTGCAGGAACGAATTTGCGGCAATCCGTGCTGAAACACAGAATCAAATGGGTACGATGGCAAACATGTTCAATGAATCTCTGCAAAAGGCATTAGCCGGGCATGACAAGGAAATGAGCAATCAATTTGCGGAAATCAAAGAGTTGCTTGCTGGAAAGAAATCAGCATCGCCGGCTACAAAGAGGGCAAAGCAGAATGGTCGCAATCAAGAGGATGGTGATTTGTGACTATGTTACCTTTTTGGAAGCGGCAACATTTCTGTCATGTTGACAAAGGTTCATGCAGACATGGTTGAATGTGTGATGGATGCAGACAACAAAGATTGTGATGGTGGAATGCAGAACTATGATGGCATTTTGCCATGTTTTCACTTTTTTGTAATGGCCTGTCCGAGCTTCGTAGGGCTTGCAGGGCTATACCGAAGTACAGTTGGTCCGGCCTGGGTTGCCTCAATGGTTATTGACATTTGGTTTCTGAAATTGTGTACCCATTTGCTATTTTCCATGTTTTTCTCATGCAGGGTTGGTGAGGCCGGAAATCCAGGACCTACCGTGGACAATTTAATTAGGATTGCAATTGTGAACCCCACAGCAGTGCATCAGAAAATTGGCAAAATTATGAAGCTTGGTGCCCAGGTTGTTTCGCTTTCGGAGACAAGTGCAACACATGCGGTTCAAAGTCAGGTGAATCATGATTTGGTTGGAATTGGATACAAGGCATTTTGGTCGGCTACTGTTTCAGCAAAAAAAATTCTGCAGATAACAGACCTTCGCTTAGAGGTGAAGCACTTGGATCTGCTGTTGTGACATGTTTACCTTCACGTAAGCCTCGGTCAGGCTTTTCGGACATGTTATGGGAGACACAGCGGGTGTCAATGGCCATTATTAGAATTGGTGGTGTTGAGATTCTTTTCATCTCGATATATGGATTTGCCAACCGTTACCGGGAAGGAAAGCGTCCCAATGATTTATTATTGGCCAGCCTAATACCAGTTGTGACGGAAATTGGGTTACCTTTTTGCATTCTTGGAGATTTCAATGAACCACCATCCAAGATGCCATCTTTTCAATTTTTCCGCGATATGGGGGCACGTGAGGCGTTTGAATGGTACCATGCGATGTCTGGTATATTATTACCCGCTACATGTGCAGGTTCAACACGGAATGACACGGCAATTTTGCATCCCTGGTTATTGCAACATGTACATTCAATGAGCGTTTCTTCAGATGTTGTTTTTGAACCACATTCACCTTTGTGTATTGATTTGAAAATTAATGATGATTGTGAAAAACATGTCAGATGGAACCTTCCCAAATCATGGGCATCTTTTGCACCTGATGTGAATCTGATTCATGATACTTATACCCCGGTTGACTTTGAATCTATTGCACTGAAATTCCCAACTGATAGTTGCAAACAACTTGATGCTGCCTTTGCGACATGGTCGGATGCGGTGGAAAATGCCGTTGATAAGGCATTATATCTGGCACACTGTCATGATCCTGTCAGAAATGGCACTGCTTCTTTGCACTCCTCCTATAAGGGCAGGTGCTCTTTTGAGAAGAAGTTTCAAAAACCACAGAAACCATTCGTGAAGTCTGATAGACATGGTGGTTATATGCCACCAAGTGAAGTTTTCACTTTGAAATCTCGTCTCAAAGTTAGACAAGTTCGGCGGCTCAGATCTTTGATGAGGAGACTCAAAAGTTTGGAGTTCTTGTCACCTTCTTTACAGTCAGGACATCATGGGTATATCTCAGCGATGAAGGAGTGGAAGGCCATTTTGGCAGCAAAAGGTTATGGGAACAAATGGTCAAACTGGATTTTGGCATTTGAAGCAGTAGGTTATTTACCGACTGGGCTACCTGAAGCTGACATTTTGGAGTTGGTGACACAGATCACTGAGCATGATTGCAATTGCGCTTGCATTGAAGAGAGTCGATGCAGGAGAGATCGATTTCGGGCAACAATTCAGTTTGACAACGAGTTTGATTTTTCCAAGCTGAGTTACAGAATCGTTCGTGCCAAAAAAACCCCTGTATTGAGTGATGTCCCAGTGTGCAGAAAGACAACTGCCAGGCTGTTACGGTCCACGATTGGTGCCACCGCACTGCAGATGGATGAACTGATCCACATTCCCAAATATGCTGTCGTCATGTTCAATGACGCTAAGCTTGAATTCCTTAGGCAACATGAGAGGAAAGTATTTTTTCGACACATTGAAGGTCGATTGGAGTCCTCGGGTGAACTATGTGTAACCTTTCATGCTGTCACGGATGGTGAAGTGCTGAATGAATTTGAACGGTTCTGGAAACCTTTTTGGCAACGAGACAGACAGGAGGAACAATTCGAGTCAGATGCATGGCAAGAATTTTCCAATTTTCTGGAGTCTGGGCCTTTGCCCAAATTACCTGCAATCGCGATGGACTTGGATGATATTGACATGTGGATGAAGCTGATCAAGAAGTTACCATCCAACAAGGCTGTGGGGCCATGTGGATGGTCAAATGAGGAGTTAAAATGCTTGCCACGATGTTGTGTGAATGACTTGATCGTCATCTTTAGTTGGGTTTTGAAGAAAGGTTTTACACCTTCGATGATGATGGCCAAGACGATTCTATTGTCCAAAAAGGATGTTCCACTGTCAATGCATGACGCCAGACCTGTGACGATTTTGAGCTGTCTTTATCGGCTGTTTGGAAAGATGATTTTTAAACTGGTTTCCAGGACATGGATGGGTTTTTTTCCATCCCCGATTTCGGGTGGGCTTCCAGGTCGTGGTGTGAAGGAAATCGCATTTGTGCAGAAAAGACAGATTGAAGATGCACTTCAATTGGGTCTTACACGTGGAGGATACTCCTTGGATCTGGTCAAAGCATATAATACTTTTGGAAGATTTGCGGTGGCTTGCATCATGAAACACCTTGGCGTACCTGATATTATTGTGGATGCATGGATTCTCAGTCTTGACAGAATGGTCCGATATCCTACATTGAATGGCACAGTTGGTGATGCAATCACATCAACCACGGGAGTACCCGAAGGTTGTTCCATTAGTGTTATTGCGATGTTGGGTACATCGGCTTTCTATTATTACAACCTTTACAATCAGCATGTGCAGCCATTTGCCTATGCCGACAACTGGAGCTGGTTGACACAGAATCAAAGGGCACATCTGGTGGCCATTGATATGGTGAAAAGAGTGACACATCTCCTACGGCTACAGATTGATCATGCCAAAAGTTGGCACTGGGGAACCACCAGAGAATTTCGAAAATTTTGTATTGAGGGCATTCCACCTGACGGACATGAGATCATTGTGAAAACTATGGTAAAAGACTTGGGTGAGATTGTTCACTACAACAAATCCATGTCGCTTGGATTTGTCAAAGAGAAAATTCAGGATGCCATTGCAAGGGCGAACAGAATTGAAAATCTGCCATGTTCACTTCAACGGAAGGCATTGATGATCCAGACTAGTGTTTTTCCGATGGCCTTTTACAGTGCTGATACAGTGTACATTGGACTGCATCACTTCACGGCAGTTAGACGTGCAATCACACATGCATTGGTGGGCAATTGGCATAGTGCTTCACCTTTTGTGGCTTGTTGTGGACTTGGCAAGTTCATGCAGGACCCTTTTGTTTTTGTCCTCTGTCATTGTGCAAGAATCATTCGTCGTTTAGCCAATGTGGACAGAGCAGTAGCACTATCTACAGTACAGTTTGCAGTGGAATTTACGGGACATCGGCCTTTTGGGCCAGCTGGAGCATTGAAGTGTTATCTCAATCAGGTTGGTTGGGAACTCAAGGCGTGTGGAACCATTTTGGGTCCAGAGCTGTTGTCGTGTAACATTTTGCAGGACTCTACCAGGAAAATCCGGTTGATTTTCATGGCGATGTGGGAACATCATGTCATTGCGACCATGACCAGAAAAGGAGTGGGTGATTTTTTAATTGATTTCAAACTACTCTCGAGCGTTTTCTCAGGAAGGAGTGAATGTGAACAGCAATTACTCAAACTCAATGTTGTCGGTGGCTTTCAGACCCAACAGCAAAAGGCACTGTGGGATAGTGATATAACTCCGGCATGTCAATTGTGTGGTGAGCCTGACACGCGTGAACATAGATTTTTGCTGTGTGGTCACTTGGCAAATGTCAGACAGCAACATGGTGAAGCTTGTCGCATTCTCCAATGTCTTCGACCCGAGTGGTGCTATTTACCGCTACCTCGCTTATTTGATGAGGTTACAATCATCAGAGCTTTTGTTGCAACGATTAAACTACCGGACTTAGGTGCTCCTTTTGAAACGGGAAGTTCGCACATGCGTTTTTTTTACAGATGGTGGTGCAATACATCCATCGAAGCATTTCAGTAGGCTGGCGGCGTGGTCAGTGATTCAGGATCTGTCAACATCTGAAAGTGATCGAAGGGCATGCGTTGATTTTTTGTTTTTGCAGCCACCGCAGCTTCCACTTTTTCGTGTTGCTGCAATGGGGCTTGTGGCAGGTGAACAGACTGTTGCAAGAGGGGAGCTACAAGCTTTGGTTATCGCATGCAAAATCGCAATCATGTCACCGCAGATGAAAACAGTGGAATTTTTCACAGATGCCAGTTATGTTTGCATTATTGTGTACATTGTTGAGTCTGGGATGTTCTCAGCTTGTCTACATAAGATGCCGAATGCGGATTTGATATTGGAGCTCAATGAGCTTTGGCGTCCAGGAAATTTTTGTGTCACGAAAGTCAAGAGTCACAGGGCTTTTGATGAAGCAAAGGACATAGAAGATCTGTGGAGGATTGCAGGCAATTTTTGTGCTGACATGGTTGTCAATCTTGCGTTTCAAAAGGTGCCTTCATGTATTCGAGGGTGCGCAGAGGAGGCTGTACAATTTCACAAGGCAGAAAAGGCTCACTTGAACTGTTTTTGACTACATGGCTGAGCTGAACAGAACACGATGTGAGTTATTGAATCAGTCATCATCGACTGGAAAAGGACATTCAACGAAATTTCAGACACCTAAACCTCAAGAGGAGAGAGTTGTTGGGAACTTCGATTCACAGGCACATGGATATGAGGCAATGAAGTGGTTATGCGATTTCAAACCGGAAGATTATGTCAATTGGACACCGATTGAGACAGAGGTTGAAACATTTCAGATGGTTTTACAGGGTCCGAATTTGGGATTAGCAGTCAAAAAATGGGCTGAAACACTGCGGTGGCCGCAGAATCTTGATCAGAAGGATGTGAATGATTGGGGTATCTCATGGTTTGAGATGACTGTGTCATTCTATTTGTTTTCTGGTATGCTGTTCCCAATTCGTATTTCGGGATCGGGGGGACATTCCAAGTATGTACAGTATGACAGTGCTGAGGCGGTTCTTTTACCGCATACGAAAAGATCTGGGGCTCAACAGGCATTGTGTTTTCGCAATATCATGCAAAATCTCACAACGCTGTTGGGGGACAAGTTTTTTCCTGCTTTCGAATCATCCAGATGCAACTCTATGTATAGACTTGGATGGCGTAACGAGTGCGCTGGAATTCCGAGGAGACCAATTTTGCCTAACAATCAGATGACCATAACTTTCATTTGGGATTACTTACAACACTTGGGAGGAGTCAGGGCCCTTGCGAATCCTCTATTTCAAAGAAATCTGAGACCAATGTTTGAACTGGATGTGATACATGAAGATGAGATACCCATCAGGCACAAGAAATATCTGGCTTTCATGAAAAGAAGAAGACGTGGGGATTAATTCAAATTTGAGACGTTTGCTGCAGTGTGCAGATCAAAGCAACGTTGATAATTAAGAATTTCCTTCTGCTGTGCGCAGATTTCTGCAAGTTTCAACCTCGTATCTCCGCCACCTGTGCTTGGAGTATGAGACAGTGGTTGAGTCCGCATGCTTCCAGTCCAAAAATACGTCGTATTTTCCCATCTATTTTCCAATGGATTTTCCAACTTGGGGATGGTCATCCCATAGGGAATCTGATTGAAATAATCATGAAAATGCTGGCTGCCCCCCCCCGTTGCGCCCCCCCCAGAAAAATAAGAACATAAACGGGATGCAACCAGCAGTGAAGGTTAATAAGCCCTTAGTATCAGGTTATTAACCAGCTAATAGACCTCTATTTGTTGGGACACAAAACAAGTTATTAACCAGCTATCGACAGCTTATTAACAGAGATTTTGCCATTTGGAACTGCGCATTTTATCGGTTTCCCATTGAAATCAGTAATAGATGGCTATTAAGGATTTCAGGTGGGCAATGAGTTTGTGGTGCTGTCAAAATAATGCCACCTTCCACGAGTTGCTTGAAACCACTAATAGATTGTTATTAAATATTTTTGGTGGGAAACTATTTTTGGAAGCGGTCCCAATACCTCCACTTCCCACGAGCTGCTTGAAACCACTCATAGATGGTTATTGAGGTTTTGAGATGGGCAATGTCATAGTTTTGCAGGGTGGAAAAATCAGCTTCCAGCAAATGATAAATGCTGGCCAGCATTCATATTCCTTTATTGTGAGAAGCATTGTGGCAAGGCCGTGAGGCCCGTCTTCCGAATACATTTCCCAAAGCAACCCTAAACGTTTGTGGTGACAACTACCCCTTATGTAAAAACAAAGTTTTTGGGTGCGCAAGGGACACCCACTCACTGCTCATGAGTGACGACAAATAGTGATGACATTTTTGTTTTTCCAAGCTGCGAGGGGCTTTGTCCTGTCCACTTTGTGGCACTTGGCTGGCCGGTTTGAGCTCGTCCCTTTAGGATTCTAGCCAATTCTAGCCATTTGTGGGGATGGCAGGTTTGAGAGGACACACGGACAACCAAATCTCACTGCATAACAACCAACTATACTTTCATATATTTACAATGGAATTCCAATAAAAAAACTCTGGTTCTTACATTTCTATTGTTGACATTCACTGACCCCAGAAAAGTATTAGATGGATAATACCCATTTAATAGCCCATCCAATACCCCCTGAAACTCATGCATTGCGGTTTGAAGTTCCAACATTCATAGAGAGCTAACCCCCCCCCTAGCCCCCCCCTTCCCAGAAAACCACATTAAGGCCTTAATAAGGCCTTAATAAGGCCTTAACTAGGCCTTATTTTGGTGGAAAAAAATAAAGCCTAGTTAAGGCCAAATTAGCTTAATTCAGTCTTAATTTTGGTGACATTTGCCGTGTTTCATGTTTATTCAATTTCTCCAGTGTATTCCAAATTCTTTGGATGAAAATCCTTAATTTGGTCCTATTTGGTCCACTTCTCCCAATGTAGTCCGGTCTTTGGATGCATTTCATGACCTGGATGGGTGTAAGTTTGGTGGAAATATATTTCTTCATTTGGTGTACAATCCAGGCGGCGTATTTCCAGTGTCTATCATGTCAAATTGATTGGAATTACGCTTACTTAGGTCCTTCGCATTGTCTATGTATTTCAGAAATTTAAAATGTGCTTGTGCTTTTCCACCATTGGATCCTGAATTTGGTCTTAATATGGAAAATTGGATTTCCCATGGTTTTTTCCACCATTTGAGCCTTAATTAGGCCTTAATTAGGCCTTAATTGGGCCTTAATTAGTCCACCATTTGAGCCTTAATTAAACCTTAATTAGGCCTTAATTGGGCCTTAATTAGGCCTTAATTAGATGAAAAACATTGCAAAAATAATGAAAACCAATGAAAACTGATGAAAAACATTGCAAAAACAATGAAAAATTAATGAAATTTGATGAAAAACAATGCAAAAACAATGAAAAAATAATGAAAAGGTTTGGCTCGAGGACTTCGACCCTGGCTCGAGGACTTCGACCCTGGCTCGAGGACTTCGACCCGTAGTTAGCGGAAAGACTGGCCCGAGGACTTCGACCCATCCACCCGGGGTACTACAACGGGGAAACACAACGGGGAAACAAAAAGGGAACACAACGGGAAAAAAATGGAAAAATGAAAAAATCGAATGAAAAAAAACGAAAATTTCAGATTTTTTTTGGAAATATTTTTTCATTTTTTTGATTTAGTTTATGGTAAAAATATGTTTTAAAACATTTTGATACACTATTGCATTTAAATCAAATGAACAAATGAAAAAAATATTTCCAAAAAAAATCTGAAATTTTCGTTTTTTTTTCATTGGATTTATATACATACATTGTTTTAAAGCACTTAAATAAAATTAAAATTTATAGATATATTTTTTTTTCATTTTTCCATTTTTTTCCCGTTGTGTTCCCTTTTTGTTTCCCCGTTGTGTTTCCCCGTTGTAGTACCCCGGGTGGATGGGTCGAAGTCCTCGGGCCAGTCTTTCCGCTAACGCGCCGTGCGCGCGCGTTAGCGGAAAAACGACTTGTACGGGTCGAAGTCCTCGAGCCAGGGTCGAAGTCCTCGAGCCAAACCTTGTCATTAATTTTTCATTGTTTTTGCAATGTTTTTCATAAAATTGTGTTTTCCCTTTGTTTTTCACCATTTGAGCCTTAATTAGGCCTTAATTAGGCTCTAATTGGGCCTTAATTTAATTAGGCTTTAATTTGGTCTTAATTTGGAAAATTGTGTTTTCCCGGTGTTTTCCACCATTTGAGTCTTAATTAGGCCTTAATTTGGCCTTAATTAGGAAAATTGTGTTTTCCTTGTGTTTTCCACCATTTGAGCCTTAATTAGGCCTTAATTTGGTCTTAATTTTGAAATTTTGATTTTCCCTGTGTTTTTCCACCATTTGAAGCTTAATTGGCCCTTGATTTAGTCTTGGTTTGGAAAATTTGATTTTTCCTTGTGGTTTTTGTTCGTTGGGTTTAATTGGGTCTAATCTGGAAACTTGCGAACGTTGAAGCGTGAAAGTCAAAATAGTTGCTTGTTCGCTTCAGCGCAGTTCTTTATTCGTAACTTGGAAACGTTCAATTTCCTTTTTTTTGGTTAAAATCTTAATTTGATTTGGTGCGTTCCTCTGTTTGTTCAAAAATTCACTTGGGTCTTTGTTTGTACACATGTTTACTCTTTTGACCCAAGACAAAATTCTATGAATGTAGGAAAGACCCTTGAAAGCCAATTCAGTAATCCCATCAAAGAATTAAGGCCAAATTAAGCACTTTGAACCAAAAATTGGGGAAAACCACTCAACCCTTAATTTGGCCTTAATTAAGGCCTACTATAGGCGGGGGGGGCTAGGGGGCGGGAGGGGTTAGCCTTCTGTGAAACATTCATTGGGGATCCAAAAAATTTCAAAGTAAATGGATACGAATCGGAATTCTGGTTGCCTCCCCACGATGCGCCTCATAAAATAATGACAGGCCAAATCTTCAATTGCAAACCTTTTGCTCTCAAATCTTCCAAAGCAGAATCCCTTAATAACCAGCTAATAAGAAAGCATATGCCCATGTCTGTTTACGCACTGCGATTCCAACGCTCGAGCTCCAAAACGGAACTGAAACCCTTAATAAACAGCCAATAAAAAAACACCTGCCCGTGAGTGTTTGCGCGCTGTATTTCCAACGCGCGAGCTCCAAAATGGAAGAGAAACCTTTAATAACCATCTAATATCAAAACCACATGCTTGTGATTATTTGCGCGCCTTGTCTTCAGTGCGCGCCTCCAAACCGGAACCAAAAAACTTAATAACCTGCTATTAATTTTTGGTGCCACCTTGCAATCCGGGGGGGGCGCAACTGGGGGGGGCAGCCAGCATTTTCATGAAATAAGTAGCCTCCGGTGAAGAGCCACATAACTATGGAAAATTACCATTTTTGATGGGTATTCATCAACTAATTCAACTATTCAACTATAAATTAAATGGGATATTTTCAATCGCTATGTTAAGTTACCCTGTTTCTATGGGGTATTTTCAATAGCAAACTGTTATAAACTGTTAAGTTTTACCAGAAGGTAAGGGTTATATACTGTAATGCACCCATTGATATGGGGGGTTACATTCAATCCGCTGCCCAGTCAGAATGGTCAGAATGCTGGGATCACCAGGGATGACTAGTATTCCATACATGGCGAGGGATTGTATTTACGGCTGATACCCTCTGGTTATGTCAAAATAGCTATTGAAAATGGCCATTTATAGTTGATTTACCCATTAAAAATTGTGATTTTCCATAGCTATGTTAGTGTACCGGAGGGTATATCAAATTTCTTATCAAACAGTTAGACGGGATAGCGCAAATCAACTTACAAGTGCCTTTATCCAACATAATTATTCATCTTGTATTCCAATTATCCCAGTTACATGTATTACATATCAAATTATATGAATATGGTCCGTATGTTCCATAGAGAGAGAGAGAGACTACTCCAGATCTTCCCACATAGGGGTTTCCATAAATAAGGATACCCCCAAAATGGATAGTTAATATTGAAAAGTTAAAATGGATGATTTAGGAGTACAGTATCCCCATGACTTAGGAAACCTTCAAATTTACATTTTATGGGGACTTAACCAACAACAATAGGGATTAAATGATATGTGGACTTAAAAACCAATAAAAATAGATAATGAAGTCCAAACTGTTTATTCATTTTTTCTCCGCAGGTCTCAGGTCGAGTGTCCATCTTGACACCGACCACTGCGTCCAGAGTGCCTGGGTGAAGTGGTTCGATGACCGGTGATGGAGTGGTTTTCAGCATTTGTTTTGACATGGAAATATATATATATACACGACATATACGGATTTATACATATACACCTTGTATATTTACAAATATAAATAACTCGAGGTATATATATATATATATTGATTGACCACTAATAGTCCCAAGCCAATGCGTGCCAATGTGTGCGTGCCCCAAAGGTGATGTCTTAAGGATCTTGCTATGATGCTATGATGCAAAAGTTGAGTATGGCTGTGACCACTTTTTAAGTGGGATTTTACCGTCTGGTTGTTTAACATAGCCATGGAAAATGGCCCATTTATAGATGGTTTACCGTTCTTAAAAATGGTGGATCTTTCCATGGCTATGTTAAATAACCAGATGGTATTTGTGATGTTTTTGCTCAGACACCTCTTTGCATCACCAAACACCCAAACACGGTTCCAGACATGGTGTTTCAGTACCAGGAAAACAGTCCCTTGTCACTCGTCGTTGGTGCTGCGCTGAGGCGCGTTTTCATGAGCAACTGTGGCAGTGTTTCGTCGATCAATCCTGGCCAGACAAGGAGCTGTTGAGCATCCGATCCCGATAGCATGCTGGTTTCCCATGACGTCCTGGTTTCCCATAACATCATAACATCATATTATACTCTCTGGAAAACATACAAAAAACGAACTGGAAAGATCCACCATGCTAGAAATTAATGGGTATTCATCAACTATTTCGACTGGGCCATGGCTTCCATGTCGCTATGTTTGTCCATTTTTGACGGACCGGATGATGGGATCACCAGAGGACCACCATGGCATGGTGCCGATTGAAGTGCCGATGGTTTCCAGGAGCTGGTCGTAGTGGAGACCTACACCAAGAAGGAGAAACCCTCCGAGGTTTTTACCAAACTGCTCAAGGACCCACCGGGGAGCGAGGGAAAGGGACGAAGCTGTGCAAGTGGGGTTTTGTTCGGATGGTGGATGGTGGATGGTGGATGGTATCATGACCATCTTAGGTCATACCATTTGTGAAAAAAAAACGACGATTTTGTTGGGACATGGAATGACGATGTTTCACGACCCACATGAATCCAAATGATTGAACCGGCATGGCCTACGAAGGTAGAGACAGCAGCTTCAAATTGAGTCCCACGCTGGTAGGGATGTCCAGTTGATTAAGAAAGCAAACACACATGATCACACGCACAATATATGTATAATATGTATATATAGGGGGAGAGAGAGAGAGAGAGAACTAAATACTATGTATACTATATGTCATTACCAGTAGTTCTTGTTCATGGGCTGAAACACTTCGTTGCCATCATACTATCCAGCCACATCTTGATTTATAATTACAGCAACAGCTCCAAACTTACAGACACTGACTGGTTGGTGGTTTGGAACATTTTTTATTTTTACATATGGGAGCCGTCCGTAAAAGCAGGTCACAAATTTATGAATTGATGCGTTTACTTTGCTTTGCGCGATTGCTAAAACCTGCATCGCGATAGGCTGAGCGATTGGTTGGCGATTGGTTATACGGCTACCACCCTATTGCTACTACTACTACCAGTACTACTACCATTACTACTACCAGTACTACTACTACTACTACTACTACTACTAGTACTACTACTACTACTACTACTACTACTACTCGTACTACTTTTACTGCTAGTACTGCTAGTACTACTACTACTACTACTACTACTACTACTACTACTACTACTACTAGTACGAGTACGACTACTACTACTACTACTACTTCTACTTCTACTACTACTACTACTATCACTACTACTACTACTACTACTTCTACTACTACTACTACTACTACTACTACTTTCGAGACCAGAACCATGCCAATAATTGACATGGCCGCGCGGATTCCGCGCGCGCGGAATCCGCGCAGATGTTTTCAGGTCAGAAGGACATTCAAGCTAGCTCCAATTGAAAACAGGTCAGAAACAGGTCAGAAACAGGTCAGAAACACCAAAAAGGCAGCACTTGCCTAGCGTCCCATCCATCCATCCATCCATCCACCTCAGCTCTTATCATTGCTACTAATACTACTACTACTACTACTACTACTACTACTCCTGCTACTACTACTGCTACTACTACTGCTACTACTGCTACTACTACTACTACTCCTACTACTACTCCTGCTCCTACTCCTACTTCTACTCCTACTCCTACTCCTACTCCAAACGCAACCTCTCTCTCTCTCTCCCTTGCCTATTCCCTCACCCTCCCATCAGAACTCCTACGCCTACTCCTATTGCAATTTCCACTACCACTACTGCTAGTGCTACTGCTACTGCTAGTCCTGCTGGTACTACTGTGAGTTTTCCGGACCGTTTCCGGACCGCACAAGCTTATTTTGCTCCCAAATTTGAAATCGAATGCGTTCACGCATGGATCCTTACTCTCATTACTAGATTTGCTACTACCCCCAGCACTACCACCACACCCGCTGCTACTGCACCACCCTGCACCACCACTACCACTAGTACACCTAGGAATTTCTGCTCTTGCTTTTTAATCCAATTGCACTCGTGTGAAGGGTCAGAAACGAGTCAGAAACCAGTCAGAAACCAGTCAGAAACCCGTCAGAAACCGGCCAAACGCAATCTCTCTCTCTCTCTCTCCCTTGCCTATTCCCTCACCCTCCCATCAGAACTCCTACGCCTACTCCTATTGCAAATTCCACTACCACTACTGCTAGTGCTACTGCTACTGCTAGTCCTGCTGGTACTACTGTGAGTTTTCCGGACCGTTTCCGGACCGCGCAAGCTTATTTTGCTTCCAAATTTGAAATCAAATGCGTTCACGCATGGATCCTTACTCCCACTACTAGATTTGCTACTACTCTTAGTACTACCACCACCCCCGCTGCTACTGCACCACCACTACCACTAGTACACCTAGGAATTTCTGCTCTTGCTTTTAAATCCAATTGACACGAGTTCCGCTGAAGGGTCAGAAACGAGTCAGAAACCAATCAGAAACCAGTCAGAAACCCGTCAGAAACCCGTCAGAAACCGGTCAAACGCAACCATCTGTTTCCCCCTCCCTCCCTCTCTCTCTCTCTTTCTCTCTTTCCCTCCCTCTCCCTTTCTTCCCTTGCCCTGCTACTAGAACTCCTTCTCCTATTCCTACTCCTACTCCTACTCTTACCCCTCCTACTACTACTACTACGACTACGACTACGACTACGACTACGACTACGACTACGACTAGTACTACTAGTACTACTAGTACTACTAGTACTACTAGTACTACTGCTGCCGGTACTACTGTGAGTTTTCCGGACCGTTTCCGGACCGCACGAGCTTATTTTGTTCCCAAATTTGAAATCGAATACGTTCACGCATGGATCCTCATTATATAATACATAACTTATATTTTATGTAAATGATCTGATCAACGAAGAACAAACCCTTCCGCGATTGCTCACTGTGGTACCGCGGTTGCTACGCGATTGGCTGAGCGATTGAGGGCTGTCCGGGAAAAGGTATTTTGGACAACCCCCATATATTGGGAATAATCATCCCAACTGACTAATATTTTTCAGAGGGGTTGAAACCACCAACCAGCTGAAACAGACCCAACGTTTCCGATTCATCATTCGATCCTCCACAGTCTCACGTTTGCATTCCCTGGAAACCAACTTCAACAGCAACAGTTCAGTTCGCCGACTGATCACTTAAATCTCCTCGACAGGCAAAGGAGAAGCGGCTCAAATATCTTGGAATTCAAGTGGACGAGAACGATGACCTCACAGTAGGCGCCAAAAGTGTCTTTGGCGAAAAGTTGAAAACATCATCAAACCTGACATAACCATCATAACCTGACAACTCCGACTTGATAAGCAAAAACTATGGGATGCTTATCCATTCTGAAAAAACGTGTTTTTGATTGTCCAAGTCAAAGCCCTGGTGACCATGGTGGAATGTATTGGACCGGTGTTGCTCGATACGCAGGGTCGCTTTTGGTGAGTTTCATATTAGGGGAACGATAAAATATGGGGATGGGTCAAAACCCTGGTACCTAGTGAACCCCAAAATAGTTGGCAAATGGATGTTCATCCCACTAAAAATGTATCTATAGGTATTGACCCATACCCATATGATAAAATCTCTGCTGAATGGTCGGAAAGGTGTGAAATGCCATGGCATTGCAGACATTGCTTGGTCCTCTGCATGATTTTTGTGAAAAAAAGGCTCTTTTCTTGACAGGTTGTTATAAGAATCAAGAGCAGGAACAATGATAACAATGTTAGTTTGCTAAAAGCTACCCTCTGGTACTCAATTGGTAATCAATTGTGCAATACTATTTCTATACCCTTTCTATACCATACCATTTCTATAGTCAGTTCATACTGGAAATTCCCCAGCTATCGTACCATTTCCAGCTCGTCATCCCAGCTATCTCCAACATCTTTGGCCCTGGGTTGAGCCGCTCGACGGAGCGATGCGACCGAGGAAATATGACGGTGCTCATGTGCAGTGGACAGACGCTAAGCTGAAAAATGGTGGTTTAGACGCCCAGCTGATCAGAAAAAACGTGGCAATGGATGCAATATGATGCAATGGAACATGCCGAGCTTTTTTTTGGAGGTTGAAAATTGTGAACATCATTTGCAGATGGTGGATTTTCCATTGCTACGTTTGATGACCGGAGCTACGTTTGTTTTTCGGCACATGACTAAGCACCCTTTCCGCGTCCCATGGAGGTACTGTGTAAACTTTGATGATGATGACTTGTATGCCACAGTCTATGTGGAGCGCATGGTGAATGAACTTAGACAGAATCGTGGTTGCACCCAGCCGACATTTTGTGAGGTGTTGCTGCCTTAAAGCAGTTGAGCAGTGTTCAAAACCCCTGTTTTTTTTTTTGGGGGGGGGGAGTTGCACTATCCAAACTAACCAATATATTGGGGTTTGTCATAATCCATTGCTGACATCTGCAACCAGTATTTCATCGGATGACCGGTTCGGGGGGCACACTGCTCTTAGTTGAATCCCTCTGGGGAAAATCACTTCGAAGCACCTTGTCTTTTGTGAACGCCAGATTTGGTCTGTTAGATGGTGAAATGTCCCTGCCAAGTCCTGCCCCCCAGAAAGTTCAGGGGAATCTCTATAATTATGGTGAGTTTCTTGCATTTTCTTGCATCAGTTCTATGAACCCCCCGCAAAAATGACCCGAACGTCCGAGTTGGTGATGGAAAAAAATCCGCCATGACGGCGCCCAGGCAGTTTGTGTGCAGGTGATGTCCACTGCGTTGATATATCCTAATATCCCATTGTATATTATACATAAGTTATAACCATTATACCCCCTAGCCATGGCAATGATGACACAGGAGGGTCAATCATATATAATTAAATATAGTTATATAATATAATTATAATTAATCATTTTGTTGGTCAGCCAGTATATCCCAATATATTCCAATAACCATTGTCATCATGGTTGGTTAAATGCCCATTTTGGCTGGTGAAAAGTCCAAATTTTCATCCTTGGATGGTGGTTTTCTTTTTTTCGTTTTATCACCATAAACAGATCAACGGCAAAAAGATGAGTTGTTTTTTTTTGGGGTGGACTACCGGACTGATTGACCATGGTCCTGTGCAAACATCAAAAACACCAGGAGAAGTTTGGTCGCGCTGACCCTTTCTGCATGGCACAACTTCTTCGAGTCCAACTGTCGATGTGGATATTCCGTGCCTCGACATCCAACGCGGCAGCGAGCCAACATAGCCGCGACATAGCCGGTGAATTTAACATAGCTATCCGGACAATTATAACGACCTCACTGCGACGTCACTGGAATGATGTTTTGTGTATAGGGGATTATCCCAAAATTGCCTTATTTCAGGTCAGTGAGTTATTATAATTTACCCAGATAGCTATGGACAATCACCATTTTAAATAGGCAAATGATCTAAACACGGGGCACTTTCCATAGCTATGTTAAATTACCGGAGGGTAGCGAGCTAAACCATGATTATGGCCTTTAAGTTAACAACAAAATAGATATGACAACTCATAGTCAATAGTACGCTGCAATGCAATATGATTGATATATCGTGTGTGTATATATGATGTGTATATACATGATGTGGATGGGTTTTCGCTTGGAATATGATCTAAAAATGGTAGAGCCATGGTTCACGCATAGAAGAAAGTCATTCTGCCGAGGCAGTGCAGCGTTACAGAATGGTTTGTTAAAAAAATTGAAAGCAGCACCAGATTTGCTGGTCCGCATACTGAAATAACATGAAATAACATGGCACAAGCCAAAAGCTGGAGATCATGGGGTGATTGTTTCCAGCTTCCGTTGGTTCATGTCACTTGGATTCACATCATGTTCCACTGGACATGTCGTGAAGATCCTGGGAGCAAATGGGTCAACAGCCCCCGGTTTCGCTCAGACTCCGGCGTGCTGGGAGCCGGAGGAGGGGCAGCCAGGGTAGCCAGGTTGATGAAAACGGCTATTTTAAGGAATTTCAATGTGGAGAACGCTGCTGAAGCATTGGATTATATTGTTTTTTTTAATGAGGTACCAATTTTTCAGAGAAAGCCAATAGCGTCAATAAATCACAGGACATGTAAACTGAGTCGCAGCTGGAATCCGTGCGCTTCGTTTCTGCGACTCGAGCAGGATGAGGAAGAATACGAGGGCATCCTCTATGGCTATGGCTTTAGCTATGCCTCCTTGAATAACATGGGCAGTGGGATGCAGGGGCAGCCAGTGTCCATCTGGGGTCTCAAAAGATTCATGTGCCCCAGGGTGGTCTCCGAATTTTCTGCAAGTTCGAACCACTTCTGAGTTTTTTTTTCGGGTGCAAGTAAACTAAGTGAGCCAACAAATCTGAATAATTCAGTTCACAATTCTCAAAGATGACTTGCTGGACCCATCTGGACCCATCTGGACCCCCCCACGAAGATTTTTTTGGTGGATTTCCTGGCGGCAATGATGACACCGGGATACAAGGTGAGGCCCTCTAAATGACGGAGAACGTGGGTTTTTCCTAAGGTTTATGAAATTTTATGAAGGATATAACTATATAAAACTATATATACCCTCCGGTAATTTAACATAACTATGGAAAATCACCATGCTTTTAATGGGAAAATCCACTATTTCAATGGCCATTTTCCATAGTTATGTTAGTTTACCAGAGGGTATATATAATTATATATTTTAAAATGGGGTTTATAGACCAACTTATAACTGGGGGGCCTCACCCTGGTTAAAACAACAAGAAGCAATCATCCATGTTTCCGGGCTCCTGAGAACTACGGGTTGGGTGCATCTAAATCAGGATCGGTAGCACTTCCATGAGATTTACCCTCTGGTTGTGACTAACAGTTTGCCATGGTATAGATGGCCCATTTATAGATGGTTTACCGTTCTTAAAAATGGTGGATCTTTCCATGGCGAACTGTTAAATAACCAGATGGTATCTTCTTCAGGAAGGCTTCGGTTCGTTTAGGTTCGTTTCGGTTCGTGGAAACCTCAAATAGGGGCGGCTCGGTTCATCAGCAGGCCGGTTCGTTTCGGTTCGCGTGACATGGCGGTTCGGTTCGGTTCGGTTCGTGTGACATGGCGGTTCGGTTCGGTTCGGTTCGTGTTGTGTAGTGTTGCAGGACGAGAGGTCTTTGACAGAATGGGTTTGGATGAATAGCAAATAGTAATGTTATGTTGCAGCAGAGGGATTTGGTTTTTGAATGTTTGAAACTGGTGGTGGGGCCGAGTGTTTGCAGCATCTAAGTAAGCAGTGTCCAAAACCACGGTTTTTTGATGACTATAGTGCTTATGCTGTTTCTTGGATTGGGGATAATGATTATCATCATCAACTATTAGAATTCGTACATCTAACCAGTGTACAGTGAAATTGACAGATCCATTGCCAACGGCATTTTCATTTTGCGAAAATCACTTTCAGCTGTCGAAATCCAGTCGTGGCCGGCAGAGGTTCAATCAGCAGCCAAATGCCATTTTCATATGGCGAAAGTCGTTTTCAGGCATCGAAATTGAGGCAGTGCCTGCAAAACCCAAACATTAGCCAAACATCATTTTCATTGTGCGAAAATCAGTTTCGGAGTTGTTTTGGCAAAAAGTGGAAAAAAGTTGTAGTAGCAGCAGCAGCAGCAGTAGGAGTAGTAGTAGCAGGAGTAGTAGTAGTAGTAGTAGTAGTAGGAGTAGCAGTAGCAGTAGCAGTAGCAGTAGCAGTAGCAGTAGCAGTAGCAGTAGCAGTAGCAGCAATATAAGTAGAATGAGTAATAATAGCAATAAAGAAGTAATACTAGTTCTAGTAAGACTACGAGTAAGAAAAATAGTAGCCTCTCGTAAGCGGTTCCCCAGCAGGTATGGGTCCCGACCGGGCTTTGCCGGACAGGACCGGGCAGAGAGGCAAGTAATAGAGGTAGTAATATAATATACAACAGTAGGGGTGGTGATAGCAACAGTAATAGTAATAGTAGCAGCAGTAGTAGTCTAGCCGTACTAGGACGAATGCTATGAGATGTTTTCCTTAAATTGATTTTCACTGCGCGAAAATCATTTTCGGAGTTGTGTTGGCAAAAGGTGGAAAAAAGTGGAAAAAAGTTGTAGTAGTTGTAGTAGTTGTAGTAGTAGTAGTAGTAGTAGCAGTAGTAGCAGTAGCAGTAGCAGTAGCAGTAGCAGTAGCAGTAGCAGCAATAAAAGTAGAATGAGTAATAATAGTCGTAAAGAAGTAATACTAGTTCTAGTAAGACTACGAGCAAGAAAAATAGTAGCCTCTCGTAAGCGGTTCCCCAGCAGGTATGGGTCCCGACCGGGCTTTGCCGAACAGGAACGGGCAGAGAGGCTAGTAATAGAGGTAGCAATATAAGATACAACAGTATGGGTGGTGATAGCAACAGTAATAGTAATAGTCGCAGCAGTAGTAGTCTAGCCGTACGAGGACGAATAGTATTAGATGTTTTCCTTAACTTGATTTTCACTGCGCGAAAATCATTTTCGGAGTTGTTTTGGCAAAAAGTGGAAAAAAGTTGTAGTAGTTGTTGTAGTAGTAGTAGTAGTGGTAGTAGTGGTAGTAGTGGTAGTAGTAGTAGTAGGAGTAGTAGGAGTAGCAGCAGTAGCAGTAGCAGTAGCAGTAGCAGTAGCAGCAAGATAAGTAGAATTAGTAATAATAGTAGTAAAGAAGTAATACTAGTTCTAGTAAGACTACGAGGAAGAAAAATAGTAGCCTCTCGTAAGCGGTTCCCCAGCAGGTATGGGTCCCGACCGGGCTTTGCCGAACAGGAACGGGCAGAGAGGCTAGTAATAGAGGTAGTAATATAATATACAACAGTAGTGCTGGTGATAGCAACAGTAATAGTAATAGCAACAGTTCTTAGTAGCAGTAGTAGCAGTAGTAGCAGTAGTTTCAGTAGTTTCAGTAGTAGCAGTAGTAGCAGTAGTAGCAGTAGTAGCAGCCAGCACTGATCATTTGCAATTCCTGCAGCACTTTGGCAGATTATGTTGCGCAGGAATCCATTCATTACAGTTGATGCCTCTTTCCAATTTGATTTTCAATTCGCGAAAATCATTTTCGGAACCCCGGAAGCTGACAAAATAATTTTTTTGAGAATGTGGAACCGGTTCGGTTCCATTCGGTTTGCGTAAAAATAATTGGCGGTTCGGTTCGTGCCCATTCGGTTTGCGTAAGAATAATTGGCGGTTCGGTTCGTGCCGGTTCTTAGCCTGCCGGTTCCTGAACGGTTCGGTTCCCGGTTCACGGTTCGTTTCCTAAGCCATACTGTTAGAAAAAGGACGCATGTCTACACTTCCTCAAAGATTTTCCATGATGCATTTGACCACCGATTGTGTCCTGGGCATCATAAGCATGCTCCAATTGCTGGCAAGATCTATCATTTGGGTCGGTGGATTTCTCTCTCGGAATATGCTGCAAGGTACACCTCCGGTTTTGGTAGGAATGTGGCAAGGTATGTTTCCTGTAGGTTTGATGAGAAGCCACTGGTTTTGGATGAGTTGCATGTTTGTGATGTTGATGAAGCTTTTGTTGCCGGAGTTGTCAAAAGAAAAAGAGTGTCCGCTGCAGCAGTTCCAGAGAGCTTAGAAGAGCCGGTTTCAGCAGAAGTGAAGCGTCCAAGGTATCACTGCAAACAGACACCAGCAGGTGACCACGGATGTGCAGCCGGTGAATATTGGGATGGCATTTTTAAGAAAATTGAAACCATGGTTCCACGGGTAGGCAAACGTGTTTTGGATGATGATGGGATTTTAGCTCAGATTCAGAAGGGGGCCCCAAACTTGAAGGTTCAGAGGGTTGAAGCCTGTAGGGGAACTGAGAGGTTGCGCCTTCCTGGAGCTGATGCGGACCCAGAAACCATCCCGTTGAGATTGACCGTGGTCAAAGACCGCATCACGGGTCAGTCAATGGTACTTGGCCCAGCTGAGGAATGGGCTGCTCTGCCAAAAAGGCAGCAAATTCGAAAGGGTCAATCTGCAAAGATGAGCCTCACCATTTTTGGAAGTTTTCCAAAGTCAGGGGAGCTTGAGACAATGGGGTCTGATAAGGAAGCAGGTACTGGGGATGATGGTGAAGATGTTGTTGTGGTAAGTAAAGACCCTCCCAAGAATGTTCCGGTTCATGGACCAGGATACATGTTGTTGAATGGTGATGAAAAGGCTCAGATTCGGAGGTTGCATCACAACTTAGGCCATCCACATCCACAGAAGTTTGCCTGGTTTTTGAAGGAAAGGCATGCGGAACCTCATTTGGTTCAAGGAGCTCTGGATTATCAGTGCGACAGTTGTGCGGAAACAAAAGCTGGTCCAGACTCCACCCGTCCTGGCACAATTCATGAGAATCTGGGATTCAATCAAGTGATTGGTATGGACACTGCTGTTTGGACTAATAGTGTTGGTAAGAACTTTCAGTTTTCTCATATCATTGATGAAGGGACTTTGTTTCATGTTGGTTCTCATGTTGTCAGTGCGGACACAGATTCTCAAATTCGAGTCTTTGAGAAATGTTGGATGTTATGGGCTGGCACTCCTCAAGTTGTGTATGTTGACCCTGGCACGGAATATACGGCAGAAGCATGGCAGGACAGAATGCAAAGGCATGACATCCATGTCAAAGTCAGTGCAAGTGAAGCTCACTGGCAACTGGGGAGAGTGGAAATTCACGGATCAGTTGTGAAGAAGATGTTGAGTCGCATGGATTTGGAGTCACCAATAAACTCGGTTGGGGAGTTTGAGCAGGCTTTGGTTCATGTGTTCAATGCCAAGAACAGTTTATCCAGAGTGAAGGGATACTCTCCCGAACAAGCTGTCCTTGGAATTGCCAAAAGATTGCCTGGGTCCGTTGTCTCTAGTCAGGGGGTAGGAAGTATAACTCTGGCTGAAGGGACTGGTCCCGAGAGCGAAGCCTTTCGAGCCAGTCTGGAAAGACGCAGCAGTGCACGCAGAGCTTTCATAGAAGCTGATAATTCATCCAGTCTTCATCGTGCGCTTTTGAGGCGGACTCGGCCAATGCGAGGACCCTTTGAAATAGGAGATCTTGTGTTGTATTGGCGTAGGAGGGGTGCCAATCTACGTAGAGATCGTGGTCGCTGGTATGGGCCAGCGAGTGTTGTTGCAGTCGAAGGGTCCAAGAATGTTTGGTTGAATCATGCTGGAAAGCTAGTGCGCACGAGCCCTGAGCAACTTCGTGCAGCCAGTTTTCGGGAGTGGAAGCAGGCCAAAGAGTTGCTCACAGAGTCTGGCCCAGGGAACTCAGATTTACAGAGAGCCCTCAATGATGGCAGTTTCATTGATGTAGATGGGGAGGATTTTCCTGACTGGGAAGCTGAAACAGAGGGATATGACCCATCAATTGGGGAGCCCGAAGGAGAGTTGTCAGTTCAGCCACCTGGGACACCTAATGGGGAGTTGAGCAATCAGAGAATGAACTCCCTGATTACGTGCGTGTGCCGGTTCCAGAAAGTGTCAGTGAGTCCGATGGTGATGCCTCACAGGCGGGCGTCAATCTTGAACCAACGGATGACCTTCTGTTTGGAGATGACATCACCATGTCTGCAGATGATAGGTGTTGCCAGTTCTGGGAGATTGAAATTCCTGTTGAAAACCATGAAGAGCATGCACTGTTTTGCGCTGGATCAGCAGATGAAAGTGTGTTGTTGGTGACTGGAGCAAAGAAGAAACGAGTTGAAGTCCGTTTGAGTGATTTAAGCAGTGCTGACCAACAGCGCAAGGCGGTGGCCAAGCACAAAGAAATAGGCGCCTGGCTCAAACATGGAACTGTGAGAAAAGCATCCAAAGGAAAAATTCCTGAGGAAGCAATCATGCGCTGCCGATGGCTGCTCACCTGGAAATCAGCCTCACCTGAGGATCACCCCAAGGATGTGAGTGAGGGTCGTAAGGCAAAGGCCCGGTTGATTGTTGTTGGGTACGAGGATCCTGGAGTTGGGGTGGTTCAAAATGATTCACCCACACTCACCAAAGATGGAAGACAGATGGTGGTGCAACAGGTGAGTAGTCATGGTTGGGAACTAGTTTCCTTCGATGTCTCAACTGCCTTTCTTCAAGGCGAAGGAGACGGCCGCTTGCTTGGTTTGTATCCCACCCCAGAGTTAACAGAAGCCCTTGGGTTGGAACCTGGTGATCAGTGTCAATTGGTAGGTAGTGCGTATGGTCGCGTTGATGCTCCTTATTTGTGGTATTGTAAGTTTCGTGACTCGTTGTTGCAAGAAGGTTTTAAACAGTGTCCTTTTGATCCTTGTGTTTTTACTCTTGTTTCTGTTGATGAAAAGGGGAAAGAAAGAGTTCATGGTTCCCTAGGGGTTCATGTCGATGATGGCATTGGGGGTGGGGACAACATGTTTATGGCAGCCTTGGAAAGAGTCAGAAAGCGTTTCAGTTTTGGATCATTTGAAAAAGGGTCCTTTGTCTTCACGGGCATAAGGTTTCAGCAGTGGGATGATGGCAGTGTGGAGTATGATCAGATTGACTATATAGAGAAGATTAGGCCAATTGAAATCCCAAAACAGAGACGTACCAATGCTGAAGCTGCGCTGAGCCCGAGTGAAGTGACGCAGTTGCGAAGTCTTGTTGGAGCTCTGCAATATGCAGCAGTCCATACCCGTCCCGACATTGCGGCCAAAGTTGGAGAGATCCAAAGTAGGGTGGCAAAGGCAACAGTCGATGACATGATTTTTGCAAATCGAGTGTTGCATGAGGCAAAGGTTCACCCAGTGACTTTAATGACATTGCCGATTGCCCCTGAACAAGTGACTTTCTGTGCCTTCTCCGATGCCTCGTTCCTTTCAGGAAAAGAGAAATATGCCCATCAGGGAGGTTTGATTTTTGTCACGACTCCAGAGTTGCTGGAGAACAAGAGATCAGTGGTAGCACCAGTAGCTTGGATGAGCAAGAAAATTCAACGGGTGACTAGGAGCACCTTGGGGGCTGAAGCAGTGGCATTGAGTGGGAATGTTGATCGTTTGTTGTGGTTGAGGATTTTGTGGCAGTGGTTGAATAACCCCTCGATTGAATGGCAGTCCCCCGAGAAAGTGTTGCACGAAGCCCGACAAGCTGCTCTTGTGACCGACTGTAAGAGTGCCTATGACCTTCTGACTCGCACGGCCGTTCCACAGTGTGAGGAGCATAGGACCACCATTGAGTGTTTGCTCATCAGAGAAAGATTGCAGGCCAATTGCGTAGTGAGATGGGTTACATCAAATGCTCAGCTTGCAGATTGTTTGACAAAGAGCATGGATGCAAGCGTTTTGCGACAGTGTTTGAAGAGTGGTCGGTATTCTTTGTTTGATGAAAATCGAGTGTTGCAACAGAGATCTGACAAGCGACAGCGTTTGAAATGGGCCAAAGAAGTGACGTCCAAGTCTCCAGAAAATGAGACAGTTTTGAAATGTACAGAAGAAGTCCGGCAGGACACATGGGAACAGGACTCAAGTGGCCAGGTTATCCGCGTACATCATGTCCCAAGATATCAGTTGTTTTCTCCTGTAGGAATTCTGGATTGTCCTGTTGATCTTAGAACCTTGGGGTTGGAGAGAGTAACTCATGGTTGTGATTCGAACGGGCATAGATGGTACAATAAGGATTTTTGGCCTGGCACGAGAGGACATGCAAAGATGTCAAACCTCTGGACAGGTAAGACCATTTTTAAAGTAAGGGGTGTGTGAAACTTCCACAGTTTATTGTCCTGGTGAGCTTGACGGTTGGACCTCAGCTGCCATCTTGGCAGTCCTTGTTTTCCCGTGGTCTTACATGTCAGGGAGGTTGTTTACCATTTGCACCTTGGCCGCAACTATTGGTTCACCTCCAGCGGTGGGCAGCGGTGCGGATTGAGCCATTGGTGGGAAAAGCAGCAGAGGCGTTGCTGCTGGTGGCTGCTGTTGAAGCGAGGCTGCTTCGCCTTTTTTTTTCTCTCTATATATATATATATGTATATATATATAATACTTTCTATATCATGTCACTAAATTATATATTTGCATAAGGTTTTCCCCAGCACTTTTCTAACCCCAAGATGTGATCATCTGCAGGAGGGAGCTTCCGCCGCACCTGCAGAGGCCCTGTTGAGTTCGATGAGATTAAAAAACCCAACAGAAACAGGATGGATTTCCATAGCAAAGTGGATGTAACACACTACCAGAGGGTATATTAATGAGTAATGTATTTTAGATATAGGGCAAAGTGGCAAAGTGGCAAAAAGTCTGATTATATCCCCACATTGGGGGATAGCCATCAATCTATTAGGGATTTATATACCCATTCCAAAGGATTCTATACCGTCACCCATGTTTATACCATGGCACATGTACACACATGATTTCCCCGATATTGCTGGTGTATTACAATGCAGTACAGTATCCCATTAATCTCCCATCAACAAAAAACACGACAGGCAGATGCGGAAAACTTTGATCCCAATTCCGGTGCCAAGGCATTTCGGTGGCCTTGGGGTGGCGACATTTTCATAGGAAAACATGTGGAAACATGGCGCGATGAACGATAGGATGGAAGAATTGATGGGCAAGACCTTCGCCACCAGGGTAATATTGGGGATGGTTTCTCAGTGGGTTTACGACATTGGGATACATGATGATTAAGCACGGAATGAAACGGGGGATTCCTTGGGATTCCTTCTGGTTGCCTCCCCATCGTTGTTCGGGTGTTTCCTGTCAACAACGGGGTGGGTTCAACTTGGGTACCCCCAAAATACCTGAACACGGGATGGCTCACTCTCAAAATGATTGCAATCCACCTTGTGATTCTCTGGGCCGACCAAAAACTATTGACCCATAGGCCCATAGGCTAGCTACTTGACTTGAATCCCCATTCTACATTTTTTGCTGCCTGGATTGCATGGGTCTTAAAGAACTCCACTTTGTTTTTTTTTGGTGAAAAATCACCACTTTGCGTGGTGGAATCTGGACACGTCCAAGCACTTTGCGGAGGCCCGTGGTGATGGAGATTTGCTGGGCTTGGGAGGGGCCGCCGGGGCCGCGCAGGGAATCCCAGTTCAAGCTGCTGATGGGTTACCCAGCAAGAATTGAATCTTGATCACCCAAAATACGGACATTCTCAACTAGATTGAAAAGCAAACATAGACATGCATAGGCAACCTACCATTAAGAGTTGAACATTGACCGCCAAAACCTATGAAGTCTCCCATGTGAACGGAAGAATGAGCATCCAGCTATGGTATGCCAGCTAGTTTGATGGTATTGCCCCACACCTACGTGAACTCAAACGTTTTTTTTGGCCAACCTGGGTAATCAACTCAGCTGTGAAAGTACATAGCCCCATTCATCCCCTATCCGTATCCCATCTCCCATTTAGTCCTAGAAACGTAGCCAAATCTCTCAAAACTCACCAACCTCACTGAGGGCTTCATCCTCGGCAGAGGTGCGCGAAAATGGCACCTCCAAGATGGAAACAATTGAGCATGCCACAGGTTTTGGGGATTTTTAGTATATTCATTTGGTAAACTTTGGCAAACTATCCACTTCGGGATGATTTTGAGTAGCGAACTGCTCAGTCTGGGATGCTTAAGTTTCATATAAAGAGCCATGTGTGAATGGTAGCAACCTTTGCAACCCTTCATCACCGGTCAGCGAGTGAAGGAGCCCGACAAGAAGATGATCTATGTGTACCACAAGGGCGAGAAGAACTGCGTTTGGACCTTGGAGTCAAACTTGTCGAGCAGTTGCACCCAAAAAACATCAAGTGAACAGGTGTAAAATGGTGTAAACACTAGAAAAAATGTTGAACTATTTTGAAGCCATGAACATTTTTGGGGTGCCTGAACAAATTGAAAAGTGCCGTAGTGTGGACATCTTGACATATTCTGACCGGTTGCAAAAATCGATCTGTGATCCGAGTCATCAGTGGAGTCCACTAAGGTCGGCTGGTATTCTGACATGCAGGCAGATGACATCAAGGAGGTGGGGCTAAAATCGATGCTGGAGCTGCCAATGATCCAACAGACACTTTTTTTATGAGTTTTTTTTGGGTTTAATATGGTTTAATTTTGTTGATCTTTGTTTTGGTACCCCCCAAAATCCATCCCAAATCCTAGTGATGGTTCAACATATGGCGCCGCACGGGCGCCCTGATGGGAGACACCAGGCGATCCTGTGCGCCTGCGATGCCATCATGGATGGAGGCTTCGTGCTGCGCGAGGTTCAGCTCGCAGGCCCTGCGAGACAGCACTACCCTCTGGTGAACTAACATAGCAATGGAAAATCACCATTTTTAATGGGAAGATCCACTATAAATGGCCGTTTTCAATAGCTATGTTAGTTCACCAGAGGGTATTTTGTTTTGGCATCAGCGAGACATTTTTGGGGGTACGAGACCAGTGGGGACATGTACTCAGCCGCTTGAAATTTCCTGATCAACTTTTGGCCCAAAACATGAAACCACTCAGTTTCTGTCGCCAGATGAAGAAGAAAAAGCGGAGCCAAAGGAGGACTGCAGTGGGTGGGGGGCTGGGGATGGCAGGGATAGGTGAAGGAATAGGGGTAAACCTGAACTCCAACAAGATTTCGGGAATTAGATGATTATATGATGAGATATGGTCATCTGAAAAAATATACCACAACATGATCATCTGAAAATTTATTCCAGATATTGGCAATTGGGTAACACCAATCCACAATTTATAGCCTCGTCTATTTCAATGTTCCCGGAACCCAGGGCCAACCTGCAGGATGGCCGTGTCTTTGAGTTCGAGGAATTTGATCAGCTGCAGAATGGACAGACCTACATCATCGAGGCACGCGGGTGTGGCCATGCAGTGTTGCAGGGTAGATCCGGTCATGTGTCAACACTAGGCACTAGGCGATTGATCTGGCGGACCGAAGTGGACATCCCACTGATATTTATTCCGTTGAGTCTTGGCGTTTAGCCGAAATTGGTATCCAACCTGACTATAGACTACAGGTTCAGTACCATATCCCCATTTTCTCAGTTATCATCTACTATAATCTCACGAGAATCTTACATATAGTGTATTTACTAATGTATTATATGTATATGATTGTATATATATTATATATATATTATCATACATACAATAGACTTGTGTATATTCCATGAGTTTTTGGACAGCAGTTTCTTTTTCAGTTGCCCGGTCTCCAGGCCGCTGGCGAGAGGGACGACCTGAAAAAGATTACAGGCGACACCGGAAAATGATGGACAAATTATGGAGAAATGGTGGGTTTTCCGCATCTATGTCAGTTTCTAGGAGGTTACACTTCCATTTATGGGGCATGATCACGTATCATGTTTGGAGACATCATGATGACAGTCAATGATCATAATCACCCGAATTTCACGTAAGAAACATATTTCATTATAAATCTTCATCATTGATCACAAACAGATCATCATGAATTAACCATGAATAGCCATTATTTACCACTATTTAACCATTATTGCCCTCTGGTAAACTAACATAGCTATGGAACATCACCATTTTATAGCTGGGTAAATCCGCTATTTCGACTGGGCCATTTTCAATAGCAAACTGTAAACGTTTACTAACCACTATTAACCATTATTTACCACTATTAGCAGGACTAAAACAACCCATGGATTGATCAGCTTTGTCCCTTCGTTAATCCTTCAGGTGATCGTTTCCGACGCTTGAAAGTGCAGATCGATCCCAAGTTGCACGTGGAGGCCGTAAAGGCCTGGCGCCGAAGAGCCGAATTCGCGATATGTTTGGCGATGGAAAATCCATCATTTGAATTGGGGAAAACCATATGGCAGTGTGTCAAAACCTTGTACCCCTGTAGTTCACATCAAAATAGCTGGTAAATGGATGTTCATTTGGGTATGGGTCAATACCTATTAATACCATTTTTAGTGGGATGAACATCCATAAATCCCAGCTATGACTTGGGGTTCACTAGGTACCAGGGTTTTGACCCATCCCCATTTGAATTGGGGAAAACCATATGAAATCATCGATTTCTATGGGCCATGATGTTCAATAGCTATTTTAAAAAAATCAGGGGTAGATTCATTTAGATGAGAATAGATTTGAATAGATGAATTAGGATGAAACAATATGAGGGAAAACTGGTTGAGTTGGTGATGAATTGAGATAGTTATGATTTACTCGTTGGTGGTTTGCAACTTTTTTTATTTTCCATAATATATGGGATAATCCTTCCCATTGACTAATATTTTTGAGAGGGGTTGAAACCACCAACTCGTTTAAGATATGTTAAGATCTTCTGGTGAACTACTTGAGGTATCTGGTAGGACTCGGGGGTGGATGGCGGTATTTTGAGCCGACCCAGCTGCTATGGTTGAGGCGATTGACAGAATGAGACGTGGCGCAAACCTTCTGATACTTGGTGGCAGGGCATATGGGTGTGTCTTGAAAACGGGGCATTTACGATATTTACGTTGATTCATGGCCATCAAACAATAAGGAAAACCCTATGAGTACCCAATTTTGAGACAAAACCAGATGTGCCCCTTGTTACTTGATATCCATGGACGCCTACGTACACCTGACGCTGGCCACAGCAGCGAAGCGGCGAGGAAACATACGCATTATGGCTTTCCTCATCTTCGACAGTTCCAGGCCCGTTGGAGCCGGAGAATACTGGCGACGGTATCAAGATACATCAACTTAATATATATATATACACATATGGTATATAACTTATGTAACATACATACATCAACATACTAATGGTATATCACTTAATACTATACCCGAAACCATCCAAGTTTGGACCCTGCCCAAGCCAGTCTTTTTTCACCAACTTCGCCCTGTCCAGTTGAGCGACGACACAAAGCGCCTCATTTGGTACTCGGGTGCCAAAAGGACTCCATTTGTGGACGGCTTTCACAAAACAACACATGGGTTTCCAAGTGAAAGTTGCTGGAGGCTGCTTTGAGAAAAAGGAAACAAGTAGAAGTGAGTTACATCATCTTACATCATAATGTAGTATTAATTATGTTACATCCCTTTCAGAAGTTGGCCCAGTCACTTCTGACATCGCCATCCAGGAAAGAGGACTCCATGGTGAACTTGGACGAGGCCAGGCTTCGGCTGGCTTTGGCTTCGGAAAACTGGAGGGTTTCTGTGGCTTTTAAGGCTTCACGCCAAGTTCATGGGGGACTCATCAGACAAGTTATATCAATTGGTTGGGATGGCTCAAGATGCAACCAGTGCAGATGTTCCCCCAATTCATGGCAATTGTTTATTGCGGAACATCATGATCCACCGCGACATTGAATATTATAGTTTCACCAAGGGTAGAAGGCTTTGACCCAGAGATGGGTCAATATTGAAGAATCTTTAGAACGGACTGCTCTTGTTTTGGTAGTAACATATTCAACAGTTGGGGTACTGTAGTATTGTACCCAATCTTGACCGATGTTGAAGAACTGGCCAACTGCAGCATTGTACTTTGAAAGGAACATCATGTTCCCACCGAACATTTCACTGCAGCTACAAGAGTCGCAAGCTTCGCAAGCTACACCCCAATGACATTTGGTAAACCCCCAAAAGATGGAATTTGGAGCATGACTTTCCTCAATCATTTCTAGCTGCCTGTGGTTCCAGGTGGTGGAGATTAAGCTTGGTCAGCAGACACCAGTCTTCCTTCACTACCGTCCCACCTGCATGGATGGGCGGGATTGGTGGGCGAGAAAAATGCTATCCCCGGCCGTATGGCCAATTTCGAGATGATGATCCCTGTGGGATTTGGATGATTTGAAGGTACCCCAAGTTTTTTTAATGAACCAAACCCCGGCACCAGGGACCACCATTGGAAATGGGAGAAGCCCTGAAATCTGGGTCGTAGGAATGTCTGGAACCTGAGTTCTCGAGCAAAGGTGTTGTTCGACCCGTCCCTGATGTTTAAACAATAAACATGGTATAGGATACGGTAGGATACATATGGCTACATGGATATATGTATTTGTACTGTATATGTGTATGTATATATATATATATACATGATTACATAAAATCTAATATATACACATACTTACCATAATCACTGTTGTTGCTCCATCTCCCCACTTTTACAGACTTACAATATCGTCTAATGAGGTATTCGCCCAGTTCTGCTTTTACATCCCACAAAAGGTGACCCTCCCCAAACCAATTGGACCAAAAATATTGCTTTGTCTGAAAATGGAGTAGCCCAAAATCCACAGAAATCCACTGGTTAATCATAGATTTTACAAATCAGTTTCCCCTTTCTTTGATGATTCTTTGGGGATTTTTTGTTTTGCTTGCGCCATTTTCAGATAGACCCAGCATGGCCAGGCTTGCCCATGCTGGAGCATTTGTCCTTCTCAATTATCTATGGGCCAAAAGGTTCAGCTCGAACCTCAGGGTTGGATGAAGGGAGGGGATGAGGAGATGATCCCGATCCCCCAAAAATTGAGAAACATGGGGGATAGAAGACGAGATGAGAATGATGGTGGTGTCTTGGGGGCTCTCAAACAATTTCTTGTGGGATTCATCACCAACATCGGCTTTTTTTCAAAACGGAGAGGAGTTGAAGAATTAATCCGCTGTTGGTCTCTGAAACGCTTTAATTCAGCTTCATACGGGTTTGTCTGAAAATAGTGTACCCCTACACCCAATGGTTAATGATCATTATCCCTACTAAATGGCTATAATTGGGGGTATACCCCATTTTCAGACATACCCATACTTGTATTAACAGACAATGCACCATTTCTCCAACCTCCGATATTGGGCAATTTCCTCAGAGACAAAACTTACATAAACCGCACATCCTTTTCACCATCCTTTTTCTCATGGGAGTTGACCTGTTGTGTCAGCAACCCGCCAGAAGACGTTGGATCTCACCTGCAAAGATGAATTTGAATTTGATCACTGGGTCACAGGCGCGGAATCAACCCAAGGAACAAAGGGGGTAGGGCAAGAACATAATACAAGATATACAATACAGTTTCTCTCCAGCAAAAAAACATGGCAAATATATGAGAAATCCCACCTTATCCGGAAAATCAAGAGACATAATTTGAACATGTAGATATGGATTCACTGGCATTGTTCATGGTCAGGTTTGATGGAGGGCACACTGTTTCTTGCCCGTTTTTGGGCCGCTGCACTTGGACAGGGCTGAAAGCCATCTTCTATTCCTCCAAGGCGTTGAAGGGTCAACTGGGGTGATGCCATGCCCAAGGTTTTTTTTGGTCGGAAACAAACTTCGTTTCACATAAGTACAAGATATACATACTATTGCTGTCATGACTATTTGTTAATTCCTTGTTCGTCTCCTTCTACTTCTGCTCCTTCTTCTTCTTCTTCTTACTTTGCTTAATTTTCTTCTTTCTTCTTCTTCTTCTTCTTCCTATTTATACATATATATATATTATACGTATATATATATATATATACACATGAGTGATCTCTCTCTCTCTCTCTCTCTGTGTCTCTCTTACATACGTACGTGCATACACATGCAAAAACAACCTCACCGTTGTTTATAGGGTAAACTCAGCTTCTTTCTTTTACACCGTCATTCCAAATGTTCCGATCCTGCCAATTCCGGATCTTAGGAAGGCTTTTTGGTTGTGAAATTTTTCCATTTCTCAGCAGTTTCCATCCACCAAAATAGGATCTAACTCTTTGGTAATCGAGCATGGCTTGCTGGAAATGCCACATTTACTGCAGTTCGAATCCATTTAGTTAGGGATTTCCCATGCCAGCCATGTTTGATGACACCGTTGCAGGTACTGATTACATATATATATATACATATATATATATAATATATATATATACATCTATAATATATATATATATAAATTCCCAGGTTTTGATGGTTAAAACATGTTCGCTGCAACCCTGACGTTGCGCCGCGTCTGACTTCAGGTGGCTATGAAGATAAAGTTGACGTTATTACCCCAATCAACATATTGTTCATAGGGGGTGGCGAATTTTGATCCCTTATGAAGATAAAGTTCATGTTATTACCCCAATCAACATATTGTTCATAGGGGGTGGCGAATTTTGATCCCTCATGAAGATAAAGTTGATGTTATTACCCCAACCAACATATTGTTCATAGGAGATGGCAAATTTTGATCCCTCATGGAGATATCGTTGATGTTATTACCCCAATCAGCATATTGTTCAAAGGGGGTGGCGAATTTGACCCCTCATGAAGATAAAGTTGATGTTATTACCCCAGTCAACATATTGTTCAGAGGGGGTGGTGAATTTTAATGTGATGATGATCATGATGTGATGCTGTGATGATGTGATGACGATGACGATGACGATGACGATGATGACGATGACGATGACGATGACGATGATGATGATGATGATGATGACGATGACGATGACGATGATGATGATGATGGTGATGATGATGATGATGATGGTGGTGGTGGTGGTGATGATGATGATGATTGCAAGTGTGGAGCAACATGCGGGTTGGGGCGAACATGTTAAAACCTCTACTTAGTTGATGAATCCATGGGTTAAATCACCAACAATGATCATTAATCACCAATTTTCCTTGACCCCAAATGAACACCATTTTTTTTAACAAGGTTCTCCTTAGCTCCATCTCGCACCGGCCAGAACAAGCAGATCTCCAAGGAGGTGCTACTGGCGCATTCCAAGCGCTTTCAAAAGGCCATGGAGAAGAACAACGTGGGGTGCCACACTCAGACTCTGAGTGCGTTGGATGGTGAAGAAATATGAAAAGATGCCGGGAAGCACCATTAAAATCATGAACTGTGGGATGAGATGGAGGTATTTGGGAGACATTTGATCATTGGGTAACCAATGAAAGGAATCCTGGTTGGCTTTCAGCATACATTTTTTTCTTGGGGTTCTGTTTTCCTGCAACATTTTCTCCGAGATCCAATCCAGAAAATGTCCTGGGATGTCCTGGGTGAGGCATGACATACCATGGGGGGCAGCCTGTCAACAGAACAGCAAAAAAACATGTTTAGTGTCAAGGTGATTCTAAATCCTGGCTGATGATTGACCAAGACGAACATTTTCTGTTGGTTGGGGCAGTTACATCCCAACCAAAATCTCAGTGGCCGAGGATCAAGCTGACGAAGTTGCCCGAAGTCAAGGAGAAGGCGTCCTGAAACCTGGGAGGCCTGGGACTGGAAAAGATGGAAAAACCACTGGGACTGACCGCCAGGGCCATGTGGGGCTTGATGACTGCATTGAGATTGTGACGCACACCCCGTCCGGCTGCCCAGTTTCCAAAAGGTGCCGTAGAGAGCTGCCAACTGAGTCCGCAACTTGCGGTTGGTCAACTTGGAGATGTGGAGAATCTAGAGGCCTTTTTCAAGCCTAGCCTAGCCTTGGAAGACTTCCCAGAGCTTCAGCCTCCCCAAATAATCTGGCATGGGACGAGTCAGTCTGCGGGTTCAGGCAGAATGGACTGCTCTTCACTTCTTCCACCCTTTTTGCTGCCCCAGGATTTACTCATTTTTTGCAGCTGTAGGCAGCAGTTGGACACCAAGATGGAAAGGTTGAGGGAAAGGTTGAAGACCATGAGTCAGCAGGCGGGGGTCCAGGGTCTAAGTAGCTGCTTTTCTGGGGACCAGAAGTCGTGAAGCAGTCCATAGCAGTCCGCCTTTGATGGTCATGGATGGTCATGGATGGTCATGGATGGTCATGACATGATTGATGGCAACATCATGGCAACATCATGCTAATTATTGTGGCAATTATCATGGCAATCATCATGGTAATATGTTGTATTGGGGATATAGTGGGAATACAATGGGGATGTAACCAGCCAATAACCAGCCACAATGGCGGGGATATATCACCAGCAATGCGCAAAAACCATCCAACCCCCCAACCATGCAACTTGAATGGGGGTAAAATGATGATAAAGCCCTGTGATTAGTACCGCCTACTGCGTGCTGACAATACACCATGCATATCTTTGTCCTGATTGAATGTGCATCCAGGTGAAAACTGTAGATACAGATGCGTTCTTCAATTCCGGTACATAATTTCACGCATTTTGTACCTGGATGATTATGTCATCCACATCCACACATGCCATACATGGATAAATTCAGATGTATCCATGTATGTGTTGTATTACATATATACATATATATGACATATTATGATATAATATATATATAAATACGCATGCACAACATATTTGGTAATACATAGATACATGGATATAACATGTAACATATCATGAAATACATTTCTGTATGTCCATACATAAAATATAACATATGAAATATATGAAATCCGCAGCAGACACGTCACTGCCAGGTGTCTCGATTAGATCACCACTCAGCTGCCGAGATGGAGGTCGGACTCTGCTGAGGAAACTGAACCTGGCTTTTCGGTGATTCCCCATGGCTTCTCGGTGATTTTTCATCGTGTTCTACCATTTTCCATGGAACATCCATGAGTTTCAAGATTTTTGCAGCATTTCTGTATGGTGATTCCCCATGCAGATCATGCAGAAATGCGAGGAAACCGCCGCTGACCTACGGGACAACATGTAGAAAAAGGATGAAATAGGATGTTTTTTTCACATGGGTTTTCAGCTTGTGACATCTTTGAGTCAAACGAGTTTTCGACTTCCGACGTGAGTTGTTCACCATTTCAGGGGATCCAGTGAGACCCCCGTGAAAATGCCAGGTGGATCTTTCATTGTTGACAGGTGGGGAGGGAGAAGGAATTTGTACCATGTGGATGTGGCTGCGTGGGGGATCCCCGAAAAATTTATGGATATTTATAGGGAACATGCTGACCAATGGATTTTAGAGCGCCATTTTCAAAGGCAGCTACAAACCTGGAACTCTTGAGCTCTGAAGCTTTTGGTGGTGCACCACTTTCCATTCCTGGTGAATCGCTTGCCGAAAGGGCGAACGGTGGAAGCACAAGGAACCTGCCAGGAACGTGCCTGGTTGAGCGGTGATCAAAAAGCTTCGGAATGGCCGAGATCACCGCGATGGGCCATGGACGGTCACCAGCATTGCTGGTTTCATTGGTTACATGGCTCTGAAAATAGGGCACCCCAATTCCGAAGGACTGTCATCATGTCTTATTTTTTCTACTCAAGTCGCCCATTTAATATTTAGGTATCCACCATTTTTGGACAAAACCATATTTTTGATTCCCATCCCAGTAAAATGGTACACATTTCTGACAATGATCCCAATTGACTCTGATATTCTATGTCTTTGGGCCTTTGGGATGGCTTTTCAACATGTTGAAATTTGCAGATCAGAGGACGGTTTTTCAGCAGTCCAAGTTCACAGAGCTTAGGGACCTCGGGATACCGGATACAGTGAGCATTGCCAGGAAGGTAACTGTCTGAGATACAGCATAAAACATATAATTACACGAGATTCACGAGATATCCTGAAACACGACTTGAACAAAGTTGATGCAATCCTTACACGGCTCAATGCGTACACATGCGTACACTAATTCATTCAGATTGTTGTTATATATATAAATATACATACATGGTTTCGATCATCTATGTATATATTGGTTCACCAGAGCAATGCATCACAAATGACACCCTTTCCATCTATTTATCGAACCATCTATCGGATTATCCGAGATTGTTTCACTTCACTGGGTCTGGGTTTGTCTGAAAACAGGGTACCTTTAAAGTAATTGCCATTTCCTTACTTTCATATTGTCAGATATTGGGGGAATAGCACGTTTGAAGACACCCCCAAATCATATTGCACATACTGTCGCTTGTGTATATATATATAACCTAGAACATATCCCTCTCCATATCAATATTCACCACTATATCCTACTCTACCCCCTACGATGTCATCCCATTTCAATGATTTATTGCTTAAGTCCCCATTGCTGATGGTCAAAGCATGTTACCCACCTTGAATTTGGCGGGTTAGCTCCTTTTTTCATATACTCCCCAAAAATATGGTTGGTTACATACCCCGTTATATTCCAGTTTAATACCATAAAACATCCCACATTGAAACGATGGTAAGTAGGGGTACCGGTCCCTTAAAATTACCTTGGCTCATCTTGGTGAAAGACTTTGTCATCCAGCCAGATCTATATGTGAAACCCTTCCCATTGTTGGAGATGTTCCATTACATCCCATTCTATCCTCATTTTTGTTGATGAGATAGCCAATTGTTGATTATATAAATAACAACATAGCTTCCAAATGGCCCAGCACAGCCTCCAAAAACCAACATTTTCGTTAGGTGAAAGCCAAAGCGGGTTAGATGTAAGGCCATCCGGTTAAATAGAAAGGGGTTTTCGTTAGATAAAACGGGTTTTCGGTTAGGTTGTTTGGTATCCGGTTAGAAAAATTATCTAATACATGGGCCGAGGGCGCGCTCTATAAGGGGGAAAAAAAGGGGGTTTATTTCTAAAACTAGTTTTGCTTGGGCGACCAAAAAGGCAGCTCCGTTTATAAGCTTGTCTTGGAAACTTCAGAACCTTGGGAACAAGCAGAGGCGATTGAGCCTCTCAGCTCTGGTGAGCTTGTTGGAAAGCATGCCGGAAGAAGCCCTCCAGCGCGCAGGGCTCGGACAAACGCTTCAGGCGCTTAGGAAGTTTACGCGAACACCACGCGAAGAAAAAGTTCGAGATCTGCTGTTGACGATGCAATCAGCAGCCCACAACGCCATGGCGCAGCACTGCTTGAAGGCGGAGACGCGCCAAGAGGAGGCCTCGAACGAGAAAACCAGTGAGGAGGATGCCCGAACTGCTGCGTTTACTACTTGGACACACTACGAAGTGCAAGTTTTCTGCGCCGAGGTCGAACGCACCATGCAAGAGGCGGGCGCCAACGAAGGAGGCAGATTCCCCGGCGGTGGTGTTAAGCGCCGCGGGGACCGTCCACACGGTCGGTTGCCATATATGCTGCTCCGAGCCACATTGGAGCCAGGCGGCGAGGTCCACCTCTGCCGCGCCAGTGTGCGCGAGCCGCCGGGCACCGAGCACCTTCTTTTCATCAACAAACCCGACACGTGCCGATTGGCCCATCAGGACCTCGGCTGCTTCTGGGTCGGAAACTCGGGTTTTGACGACGCCAGCGTGTGCGGCGTGTGTTGGAAGGGCTGGACCCCCGATATGAAGCGAAGATTTCAAGCCCTCCACTCACAAGCAGAAGGGACCGGCGAAGCAGAGCACTTGAGCTGAACTGAAGAGAATGGCGCGGAAAAAGAGCAGAGGGATCGCAAGAGTCAGGTAGGTTTGGGCATGCTTTCAAGTAGGTTTGGGCATGATTTCAAGTAGATTTGGGCATGATTTCAAGTCGGTTTGGGCATGCTTTCAATAGGTTTGGGCATGGTTTCAAGTAGGTTTGGGCATGATTTCAAGTAGGTCTGGGCTTGATTTCAAATAGGTTTGGGCATGATTTCAGGTAGGTCTGGGCATGATTTCAAGTAGGTTTGGGCATGATTTCATGTAGGTCTGGGCATGGTTTCAAGTAGGTTTGGGCATGATTTCAAGTAGGCCTGGGCATGGTTTCAAGTACGTTTGGGCTTGGTTTCAAGTAGGTTTGGGCATGGTTTAAATTAGGTTTGGGCATGATTTCAAGTAGGATTGGGTATAATGTTTTCAAGTAGGTTTGGGCAAGATTTCAGGTCGGTTTGGGCATGATTTCAGGTAGGTTTGGGCATGATTTCAAGTAGGTTTGGGCATGATTTCAAGTAGTTTGGGCAAGATTTCAGGTCGGTTTGGGCATGATTTCAGGTAGGTTTGGGCATGGTTTCAAGTAGGTTTGGGCATGATTTCAAGTAGGTTTGGGCATGATTTCAAGTAGGTCTGGGCATGATGTCAGGTAGGTCTGGGCATGCTTTCAAGTAGGTTTGGGCATGATTTCAGGTAGGTTTGGGCATGATTTCAGCTAGGTTTGGGCATGATTTCAGCTAGGTTTGGGCATGGTTTCAAGTAGGTTTGGGCATAATTTCAAATGGGTGTGGGCATGATTTCAAGTAGGATTGGGTATGATTTCAAGTAGGCCTGGGCATGATTTCAAGTAGGTTTGGGCATGATATCATGTAGGTCTGGGCATGGTTTCAAGTAGGTTTGTGCTTGATTTCAATGCAGCCTTTGGCCCCAATTTCTGATTGCTTAGATACCCCAGCGATATGAACAAAAAGGGGGACATCCCGATGGGCAAGCCTCGGGTGGGGGCAGCGGTGAGCGAGGCCACCTGGAAGAAATATTTGAAGAAGAAGAAGAAGAAGGAAGACAAGAAAGCGAGGGAGCAGCCGAAAACGATCCCAGCAAGAAACTTCGCAGCAGAGGCTGTTCGCAAAGCCGCTGAAGCACAGGGCAGCGGCCGAGCTTATCAGAATCCCTTCGCTTCTTCGTCTTTTGGCTCTTCGGAGGGGCTGTGAGTGGGTCGGCCGCGCGGGGCGAGACACCAAATAAGAGAAACAAAATAGTATAACATTTCAATTTAAAGAATATTATTTAAAAAAAACTATTGCCAAATTTTGGAACTTCGACCCCCAAAAAAATGCCCTACCCAGACTGGAAAATACCGTCGAAACGGAGGTTTGTAGCTGGGAAAACCATCGAAATCAATGAGGTAAGTATGGACATTTCCAAAATGGGGTTATTACCTCTACCAAGTCATGGATGACCATTATTTCAGTGGCGAAAGCCATGATAACTTGGGGATCCCCCCATGACTTGGGAACCGAATAAACATCATTGTTGATATAATATTAATATATTGTATATATATATATAATGTACATATATATATTTAATACATATATCTGTATAAATAACACACATATATATATATACATCTATCGATCTATCTTTATATATATTATATGATCACATATTATATATCCCATTCATATCCCATTCATATCCCACTCATATCCCATTCATATCCCAGCACCCCCAGGCTTCCAGCGCCCTTGCAGGTCAGGGTCCCGCCTATGCCAGCGTCTTCGTCCAGGATGAGGACGCCCAGGTGCCGACCGGGGAAGATGGGAACAATGGCGAGTTTCTAATGAGAACTGTGGATTTACATGGATTTATCATGGATTTATCCAGGAAAAACGGTCGTTTTTGTCCAAAACAGTTGTATCTTCGTCAGGAAACATTGGGCCATGCCGGAAGAATGATGGATCAGATGGATTCCACCAGAAAAAACCATGGATTTAAAACTGGGAGAAAACAGTGATTCACCCAGGATTCTTTTTGGGATCGAACAAGCATTCGGAACGTGATCAGTTGGACACGGGGAATCTGCCCAGGAAAAAGGGAGACTTGTGGATTTCACCAGAAACCCTGAGAACGGGGACCTGGAGAAGAAGTATCATATTGGCATACACAGAGAAATTGCCTTGTGCCAAACATGCAAAGCCTGCAAACATATTTTTCGTGCAATGTTTGGCCTTGACTTTGACTGTCCCATTTTCGGGAAATATGTGCATGTAGATACCGCCCTAATTGTGTGAGCAGTCAAAGGAAACAGCACTTATTCGGGCTAGTGGCATCTTGATTCCATTCGCTAGGAAATCATCAATTTCTGAACTACTCTATATACATGCACCGTGTATTTTCCAGCCGGCCATATTTGATTCCTGGAGAGTATCCGCAATTTTGGTTAGTCACAGTTAGATCCCCTATTTTTGCTTTGGAGAAATCTCTATGTTTGTTGAATTTCCATTCACTTGGAGGGCAGCTGATCCGTGATTGCCATGCCATGGCAGGATGAGGAAATGGAAATCCGCCGTATGCATGAGCTCGTTGAGCAGACCACGCAAGTTCTACAGCAGGCTGAGCCCCCTGGGGATGCAGATGATGTCCCAACTTGCAGTTGGTGGATGAATAGTGGGGTAAGTCGTAGCCCCATGGGTTGATAAAAATCCATTCAACAACCGGTAGGTATAAATTATGGTGAGTGCTACCTGGTATATCATGGTATACCTTGTCGACTCCTCTATTTTGTTTTCAAAAAGGATGTGGTGATGACTGTGCTGCACATAGATAAATAGATAAATAGATAAATAGATAAATAAATAGATAAATTCAATAAATAAATAGATAAATAAATATAAGTATAAATATAAATATAAATATATATATATATCTAAATATAAATATATATATATATATATAAATATTTGAATACATAAATAAAAATATATGAATACATAAATATAATTATAAATATAATTATAAATATAATTATAAATATAAATATAAATATATAATATAAATATAAATATAAATATAAATATAAATATAGATATAAATATAAATATAAATATAAATGTATAATATATATATATAAATAAATAAATATAAATATAAATATATAATATAAATATAATTATAAATATATAATATAAATATAAATATAAATATATAATATAAATATATAATATAAATATAATTATATAATATAATATAAATATAAATATAAATATATATATATAAATAAATAAATATAAATATAAATACATAATATAAATATAATTATAAATATATAATATAAATATAAATATATAATATAAATATAATTATAAAAAAATAATATAAATATAAATATATAATATAAATATAATTATAAATATATAATATAAATATAAATATAAATATAATTATAAATATATATATATATATAAATATAAATATAAATATATATATAAATAAATAAACAAATAAACAAATAAATAAATGCATAAATAAATATAGAGTCATCACAACAAGTAGAGACCAGAACAAGCAATGACTGGCCATTGCTATTGGGGGAGCCACGGAGCCAGGGTTGGCTGCCTCTAGAGCTGTAGTGGAGGGCCTAGTTACCTTTAATAGGGCCTCTATCCATTGACCCACCGCACTGTATGACCGAATTTTCGTTGGAGATCTACGGTTCGGCTCAACCAAATATGTGTCCTCAAAATGATCCAAACTTGTGAAACACCAAGAGTCTGTTAAGCACTTTCTCTATTCGTGAAGCCGCCGAAAATGCTGGTTTGACATCCCAAACTTCCCCAACTGATCATGCAATACATGTCCATGTCCGAAAAATGGTCTATATCCCCTTCAACATCACCATCTATTTCAACTGGGAAAAATGATAAAGCATGATGAAGAGCCCGTGGATTTTACCATTAAATAATCCGTTTTCCATGATTTCTTGCTGGAGAATCATTTGTTTTCTATGGTTTTCCACGATTTTCTATGGTTTTCCATGGTTTTCCACGATTTTCCACGATTTTCTATGGTTTTCCATGGTTTTCCACGATTTTCCACGATTTTCTATGGTTTTCCATGGTTTTCCACGTTTTCCACGATTTTCTATGGTTTTCCATGGTTTTCCACGATTTTCCACGATATTTTCTCCATTTTTGTCACCCCTGCAGGCGCGCAACGAGCTCATCGCGCTGAATCAGCGTCAACGATCTGAAAGCTCGGCCAGCACAGAGGTGCGGTCCGGCCGTCGGGGTAGCGTCTGGTGATTTTTCGAGGCGAAGTGGAAAATAGAGCCATTTTGTAGGTAAATCTATAGGATTCTATAGGTAAATCACAATTTTGAATAGGTAAACCATCATAGTTTTAATAGCTAAACCATCTATGGTGATTTAATGGTATTTAACCACTATAAATGGTGATTTAATGGTTCACAATGGTGAATAATTTTTAGGATTCTATAGGTAAATCACAATTTTTAACATAGCCATGGAAAAAACACCATTTTGTTGATAGGATTTTTATAGGTACCATCTGGTTATTTAATATTACTAAGCATGTTGGTGAATAATTCACCATTACTACTAACCACTATTAATATCACCATCATTAATTACTATTAACATCAGATGGTAAATCTATAGGTAAATCACAATTTTGAATAGGTAAACCATCATAGTTAAGTCTCATACACTGGGCTACATCAATAGATGTTTACCATCTGGTTATTTAACATAGCCCTGGAAAAACAGCATTTTTAATAGGTGAACCATCTATTTCTATGGGCCATTTTCCATGGCTATGTTAAATAACCAGATGGATCCAGATGGTAAATCTATAGGTAAATCACAATTTTGAATAGGTAAACCATCATAGTTTTAATAGCTAAATCATCATAGTGTCTGCATCTTCATGCTGTAGTAGGTTTCTAATTCATCATAAGTACTCATTTTTTATCTATGGATCTATAAATATGGAATGTTCATGGATTTTCCGTAGCTAAGTTAAATAACCAGAGGGTAAAGCATGAAACAATGGCCATTATTATCAAAACAATGGGGATTAGAATTTAGCCATCAATCAATGTCAACAATGGGTTCTTGTTACAATCTAACTACTGTATTGGGATTAGATTAAATAATAACTTCAGGATTTGCGAAGTGATAATGCAATCATTACTCCATGACAAAGTATGGATTCAAGCGATGGTTCTTGCACATTTGGGGGACTGAACCTAGTAAGATTGGGTTTTAACCATCAAACAATTTGACAAAGCTATGGAAGCAATGGCCCATTGAGTTTGATGATTTACCTATGAAGAAAGGGTCATTTCCCCTAGCTATGTGAAATTACCAGATTGTCAGAAATGGTGATTTTAACCATGAGAAATATGATCAAACATGGTTGATTTTGATATTTTCATGGGATATATGTCACCATTAAGATACCTTTTTGAAATTTAATGTGATTTCGACATGATTCCCATTTGTCACTGGTTGATTCGGGGCCCTCAAAAGTCAGATAGGGAGTTGGATCAGATATAAACTGATAGAATTACATCGCAATTAACCAACCACAAGGAAAGTAGAGTATGCGATTTTTGGATGGATAGGGATATGACCGACATCAACCGACAGTATTTCTGGAGAATCATATCGTTAGAGATTTTTAAGCTCAACATTGGATTTTTAAGCTTTCAACATGAGAATTCGACCAATGAATACTGTAAATGGAATTGTCCCCACATGTGGTGTATTCCAATTTATGGCAGTTTAGAAACCGAGGGATTTCGAGGTACCACATTTTCCAAGAACCGGGGTAGTTGGAGTCCTCGTCGAATTTTGCGGTAAAATGTGGAAGCCATGGAATAATCACGATTGTTTCATGTAGATCATGTTTGATCCCATTGATACTTGTTACATTGATATTTCATGTAGATATTCCATTCTGGTTGGTGGTTTGGAACATGAATTTCACTATTTTTCCCATCATATTGGGAAATAATCATCCCAACTGACAAACTCATATTTTTCAGAGGGGTAGGCTCAACCACCAACCAGCATTGATATTCCAATCATCAACGCTTCAATCACTGGTGAACCCCCGAGGAATTGGGCTAAATCCTCCATGTTTCAACGACGGGTCAGCCAATGATAAATGGGAATAAGATGGAATGATTTAGAAGTGATTCCAATTTTAATGGAATCACTTATCTATGATAAATGTAGATATTTCTAGCAATTTTAACTTTATAAATGGGATCTTAATGGTGTCAGAATGTGTCAGATATCCCATGTGTTTTTTCTGCACGGATCCAGCTCCGTGAGGCCAAAGCCAAGAAGAAGGAGACGGCGGCATGCAAGGCGCGGCCGACCTCCAGGAATGGTGGAGAATCTCAGGGGATATGAATAACATCTGGGCACAACAAAACTGGGATACATATGGGTAGTCAAAAATTCATACCCCCAATGAATATTTCATACATTTTTATACTAATCTGTGGTCCCCTCTGAAATTTTGACCCATCTTCATTCCCGCCATGGCTGACTCCGCGTTGACGTCGGCCAGCACATCGACCAGCTCCTTTGGAAAGCAGAGGTGGACCTGGAAAATGTGGAAGATATGTATTTGAGGCGTCCGTTTGTCGTCGGGGCAGTATACGGGGTGATGGATGTTGGATGTTTTATTTATACATTATAAACTATTGTTATATATTAAAAACATATAATTTATTGCTATATAAATTATTTTTGTATGTTTTAGCATCAAATCCATTGAACGATGCGCAATACGCATGTTGAAAATTCAACTAGCATCAGCCAAAAATAATGCATAGTGCCTATAGTAATGACGACAACAATAAACAGGTCAATGACGACGACGACGACAACCACAATGGCTATCACAATATATTTGTTTATTGTACAGACATGTTTTTCTTTTTCTTTTTGGTTATATACCATGTCCATCAGCGCTGCCCGGATGCAGGCACATTGACAACCAGAAGGAGACCTACTCCTTAGGTGGACACGGGGTGTTTTGCGCCTAAGTCTTCGAAGAGAAAACCATGTGTTTTTTTGACCGGTACCCTCTGGTAAACTAGCATAACTATATTAAGTATGGAAAATCACAATTCTTAATAGGTAAATCAACTATAAATGGCCATGTTCAATAGCTATGTGAGTTTACCAGAGGGTAAATGTTACCTTGAACTTATCCATTGAATAAGTGAAGAACCCATGTAGTTTAAAATGAGACAGATATTTTTTGTTGGATAAGCAGTGGAAGGTGGACTTTGCCAACATTTGTCAACAATATTGAGGTATTTATATACACACAACAATTTGGTGAATCCGAAGTCATTCACAATTTTATAGTGCTTTGGCTGCAGCAGTTCTGGACCCCCTTTGGCTGCGCCGAGCTGCTTCGCTGCTGGTTACACGATTCGCTAGGAACGAAGTTCTGTAGTTTGGCCCTGGGAAGATTCTCAAAGTCATTTTAAGTGCCTTTTCTGCTCACTTTTTGTGGGGCAGACCGACGCGTTTTTTTTTTTTTTACGGTGTCACTAAGTCACTAAGTGTTGAGCTGCCAGTTCACCACTGGAACTCCACAACCATCGCTGCCAGCTGACTTCAACCAGAGAGTGTCCAGAACCTTTTCGGACATCGAGGATGGGGCTGGGGCTGCAGCCGAATGTCAACCCAGGATTGATAAACATCCAGTTCACCAAGTATGGTGGCTACCATTTATGATTGGAATATAGTGGAATTAAAATTCCATGGGTACTATTTTGGGGACCATCCTTTTAAAGTGGAAGTTGTTTTCCCAGCTTTGGCATTGTTTCAGCTGCCAGGAGAGCATAAACAATCAGCTTGACTCCATCAAGTCATTCTTCCTCAGGTCAGATCAGCTGCCTCTTGCAGTGCTGCAATGCATGTACTTGTGACTGATCGTAGGACTGGAAGAACCGACTGCTGAAGCAGTGCAATTCGCATTGGCATGGATTTTGTGCGCAGAGTAGAGAAATCAGAAGATAAACAGATCTGCAAGTCAGTACTACTTTATGCAGAAGGCATGGAGTAACACATCGTTTTCAGCTTCAGGGTACCCGGCTATCTGAGTTTGCCCAAAAACGGGAGATTTACCCCAAGCTATGACCATGTTAGTGGGAAAACATTGAAAAACCGTTTTTCACATGTTTCAACATGCGTGACACGTGCATGAAATATTGAAGGTACCTGCCTCTTCTCGGTCAGGTGACGGCTGTAGGTCGTTGACTGATCCACTCTGCCGCTTGGACGAAACCATAGGTTTTTAATGGTTTCTACCCGTGGAGGGGGACCGGTGGTCCGCAGGTTTGTCTCAACACGTGGGGATGCAACAAGAAATCATGGCATTTATGATTTGGAAACAATTTCGGTTTCAACATGTTTCAAATCGGTTGCAAGGATTGTTGGATATATATGATATATATATATATTATATATACACATAATTATACATATATGTGGTGTATACACATAAACTGTATATTTTGCCCTATTGGTGAATGCAACCTCCAATAACACGATGCTACCGTCGGGCCTTTAGGTGCCAATGATCCAGTGACGAATAAACCTGAAGCCGACAGCTGACCGATCCTGTTGGCTGCTATGAGTCATCGCCGACCCCAACATGGGCGAAATACCATGGAAAAACATGGAATCAATGAGTCATATATTCTTATGGCATGCTTAGCTGCTTAAAGTGGTTTGGAACATTTTGTTTTATTTTTTTCCATATATTGGGAATAATCATCCCAACTGACTCATAAATTTTCAGAGGGGTTGAAAACACCAACCAGTTAGTAAATTGTGAACAGCATGGCCATATTCGCGAAGAAACGTGGGACTTAAGCACCAAATATGGGAATACAACAAACGTGGAGAGATGAGCCGCCTGCGAGGCCATGGAGATGTATTATGCAGCATCGAATATGCAAGATGGTGATGGTGTCTTTAATGGTATATTATATAATTATATATGATTATGTATATATATATGGCTCTATAATGGTAAATATATATATATATATGGTATTTATATATATATATGGTGTATATATATATATACAGATATTTACAACACATACATTGTTACATGGTGTTTACCAGTGAAATTGGATCAGTATCCTGACAGGGGATATGGAGCAGCATGGAACGTAGACGCTTTGGAACTGCTTCATCCACGAACTGGTCAGCCTCCGGTGTCATCCAAAACATAGCTGGTTGGGAAATCCACTATAATTGGGTATTTAAATTAAATTACTGTAATGGTTTCCCATTGCCATGTTTGAGTACCAGAGGATATTCATATCATTTGCACTTCCATATTCCTTGAATCCATGGCAGCTTTGGGCTGGCTTTCAGCTGATAGAGCTGTGAGTGAAGTCAGCTCTGACAATTCGCGCAAAACGTGACGCATCGTGACGCTATAACTTGTGCCGCACGACAACGCAATTCAGCCCAGCTGGGCAATAGTTGAAGTGAGAGCCGTGCCCGGTTTATTGTGTCTGGATCCTGTCACAGGTGGAAAGCAACCAGAGATGAATATGCCCATGTAGAAGTGCTGTCTTCATACTAGCCATCCGGAACATTCGTCAACATCCCACATAGCAAACAGAAAAGATCCAGGGGCCCATTGATGGATCTTCGCATCAATTACCGTGAAAGCATCTGGCAAGGTGGGGAGCGCTGGAGCCCCCGTCGATCTCAGGGAGCAACACAAACTCAGAAAGATAGTGTGGGAATCGTAGATTTCGCACATGTTTAGTACGTTTTAGTACTAATTGTGGCAATCCCTAAAAAGATAAAAAAACAACACTTCCAACTGAAGTAGTGGCAGGTGTTTTTTCTTGTTTTGGGGGTTCTATAATGTTCAACCAGCCCAGCCCTTTCTTGGATACCTATTCGCGAAATTTGTCGCCATCCTGGCACGGTCTCACGTTGATGAACAGACTAGGACGTACCTAATGAGGTCAGCAGAGCGGGTGTTGAAACATCAAGGAGAGTTGTGCACTTTGTTGATTTTAAGTTGATATTGTTGAACATTGTTTGGATCTCAGAAAACACTTATATTCTTGATTTTAGATATTTGGATTCGATTCTTGCTGGGTTTCACTTTGCTAAATTAATGATTTTTAGTCATTGACATTTTCCTATCGACAAACAGTAGGATTTCCGCCCGTGCAGTAAAATCTGTGACTGCTCGACCGACCTCCGCCTGACACGAGGAAACGTTGCAAAACATGGGGCACCTATAGGAGAGGTTGATGAGAGCGAGGAGGATCCTATTTTTCCCCAATAGAGGGGTTAAACATGGTTAAAATATAGTGAAACACCCATTTCAATCGGATAGAATACGATTTTTTTAAAACCAAAACGTGTTGTGAAGATATCTGGGCAAATTCAAAGGACCTGGTCGACCTCAGTTTTTATGGTTTGTAAGGAGGATGTACTTTCTCAGAGGGCTTCTTCCACGTTCGAGGATGATTGTAGTTTTCTGGGAAGTAAAAAAAGGGATGGGTCAAAATCGGTAGATGTGTTTTGGTGCTGATTTACATTGCAAGGCGATAAATCAGTTGGATTGCCTGGCGAAGAAAAAACAACTGGGAGGCCGGGAGGTTGCTCAGTTGAAGCAAGTCCTGAAGCCCCAAGGGCATCCTTTCATCTTTTTGGCTCGACGTTCTGGTAGCTGATTTTCAAGGCAGTCACTGCCTGAGTCGGTCGCAGGGACAATAAGGCTGTTCAACTTGATTTTTTGGGGACCCCAAAATCATCCGAAAGTTGTCATTTTTGAAAGGGAACCAAGGATTAGTAGGAATTCTCCTCATTGTGAGGAATGCCAAGTTGACTTTGGCTTTTCGGTTTGAAGATCAATAGCTGTCGCACCATCAATCTTTTGGTATTAGGAACTCTGAACTTTTGACTGGCTCAGTGTCTAGTTCTTATGAGGCTGCCCCAAGCTGAACACTTCACTTTGACTGTTGGATTGTCTGAGGTGGGTTCAGCCGGTGTCTTGGCATAGCTACACTGGGAGGTCCGTGTTTCAAGAATTTTGGGGAGAGACAAATGTGGCTTCCCCATGAAGCCACCGATAACCCCAAAGTGGATCGAGATGAAAAGAGGGTTTGACTCCCTGGGATTGCTGAAATAATCCTGAACGTGGCTGAAAATTCCTGTGCGGCCAGGGCTACTGTTCCTATTGGCTTCTAAGTGGCTTATATATTGATTACCTAGAATCCAAAGCCACTTACCAATGAGTTTAGTGTAGTAGGTTGCCAGCCAGTTCACGCTCTGCCAGTCCAAGATGGCAAACAGACAACATTCCCCCACGCTCCTGGAATTGCTGAAGGTTATATTTGTTTCCCTATTGGGCAATTTACCATTTGGTGATATCTATTTGGGAATATGTTTCAATTTTTTTGGGGGGCGGAGGCCTCTTAAGCAAATCCACATTTTTAAAGTCGACCATGCAGCTGATGCTATGTGATACCTATGTATCTATCTCATTCTATCTTTATCTATAATATATATATATATATGTATAGTATATACATTCACCGGCGAACAAACAAACTCAACATTCTACACAACATCCCCATTTTGAAGAAACACGAAACGAATTCTCGACATTTCCGGTGCTTGTGCAGCGATATTGAGGCCAGACGCGGCACAGCGCCATGCTGGAAGCCTCAGAGGGGATGGCCAGGGAATCATGCGGAGGATGGAGACATGATCTAGGTTGATTCAAGATGATTTAAGGGACAAATTTGTGGATATTTTTCACATCATCTTACCAGAAATATCGCGAACACAGCGGATTTGGATGGATTTTGACTAGTTGCCTGAGGCCGGTGAATGTCAGCTTCAAGGTGTCGGGCTCCGGTGGGACTTCGTCTCCCTGGCAGAGTTTGGAATCTGGATGAATCTGGTAATCCCCAAGTTACCCCAAGTTTTTGTATCGTTGAACGATGTTTAGAATAGTAGTTCCCCACTTCAAAGACGAGTTTCGTCGGATTCTATTTTTCTCAATCTGGTTGGGGTTGTCTCCTTTTATGTAATTGATTATCACCCTAGTCGGAAATGAAGTCTGAATTTTGTCCCAACTTATCATCCCAAGCCCCTTTTTGGCGCATGGGTTTGTTGGTTGATCACAACTTGGGTCCAAAAAATGGGGCCCGAAACGCTGCAAAAAGTGACTCTCCAGAAAGGTCCATATCGGTTGGCGCCGTGATAAATTCTCCCGGTTTGTTTTTTTGTTTCTATTTTTTCAGTTGCTATATGGTTGCTATATGTTTGCTATATGTTCGCTATTCAACAATCATCAACGACGGTGGTGTGCTTTTTTGGGGTGCCAGATTCTCACTGGATTTGGAGCCTTCGATGACCATCAAGGAAGTCAAGGAAAAGGCTCATGAACCGTCCGACATCCCAGGGACCAGGCCTGATTTACAGGTGTCACCATGTTTGGACACCCGTGAATTCACATGTGGTAATCATTGTGTGTATCTAATATGTGCTTATTTGTATAATTTTATATACACTATGCGCGTAGATAGATTATATTAGAATAGATTAGATGAGACTATATTAGATTAGATTTCAATAGTACATAGATCTGGGTAAATTATAACGACCTCACTGTGACCTCACTATAATCATTAGTTAGTAAGGGGAATCATCCCAAAATGGCCTTAATTCAGGTTAGTGAATTATTATAATTTACCCAGATAGATATAGGGTGATGTACCATGATATTCTGCACAGCAAAAATTGATGCGTCCGACGTCCTGTCAGGTCTGGAATAGAGCCGGGCCAGATGAAGCTGATCTTCAAGGGGCCCGGGGGCCCCGCCAGGGAGTGCTGGGGTGATCCCTTGAAGTTTGGATATTATCATATATATATATATGTGATCTATCCATTATGATTATTTGATCTATTGTTATCATCAGGTAATTATGGTGGATAGATCATATATATATATATATGTATATATATGTGATAGATTGATAGATAGGATATATGATAGTCACTTTGATCATCAGGTAAGAGTCTATATGTTTGATTGATGGACTTATATTGATTGAATAGATCAGAGTAGAGTATATAGATAACACTGTATGTATACTTAGAGATCAGATGTGATAAGATATGAGCAATAAGTGGATCATTACTGCACACATTTTCATGGCATCATGATTTGATGTCTATATCTGAGGAATTACTTTCCGATGGAGATCCTTAAGTTTAAGGGTTGTATCCCCGTTGCAGATCAAAGACACCCCGGGGATCAGCTGAGTGACACTGATGAAACCACTTCCGCTGGCTGGAAAGGATGGAAAATGCTTGGGGCATCTATTTCCATCTATTTCATTCCACCCCCATCAAAAAAAAGCATTATACAATAATAATGTCATATATATATATATATATCATTATATGTCCCCATGATAGCCCCATTATGTCCGCATCAAAAATATCCCTACAAGTCTTGAATTTCCCCATGTTTTCTTCATTCACATCCCCCATATTTCAGCCATTTTTCAGCATCCGTCACCTGACGGTGACACGTCCAAGGCGGATCCTAAAGGATGATGACACTTTGGAGTCCACCAAGGCGGATGGATCTTGAGAAGTGAGATATAGTTACTATATGGTTATAATCAAGACTATAATGGACTACAACTGGGATTATTTCATGGATTTTATAATGGTTTATTCACCCAGTTACTAACCAGGAATCGCTAATCCCATGGCCCATCGAAGTAGTATTCCCTTCGCAGGTGGAAAATGGCAATACGATGCACGTGGTGAAGTCAGCCCCAAGCGCCACCCCGGCTCCTACGCTTGGACGCCTGGTAAATGAGTGGTAAAGAAAAAAACAGTAAGGATCCCATGGCATCATTATTTGGGACATCTTGTGCATGTTTTCTTAAGTTTAACAGATTTCACGTTTTTTTTTGCGGTATCTCTGATTTTAAACCTAACGAGGGGAGGATGGTGCGTTTTTTTCTGAGTTTTGGATGGGATTTCAGCACCGGAAAATTGGAAGATGACCACCCATTGCAAAAAAAATGATGTTTACCAGAGAGGAGGGTATTGACTAAGGCCCAAAAATTGCAATTCCAGATTTGTTAGTCTAAACATATATATGTTCCTCATTCCCTCCCATGTTTTATCATCATTTGTCATCATTTGTCCCCTGAAAATTGCCATTTGGTGGAAAATCCTGAGCTTTCAAGGTCGACCCCTGCAGCCACTGATACCACGCCAGCCACGATGCCACCGGCTGCTGGGCTGGAGATTCGCATCCTTGGTATGTGGTTAAGGATCAACAGGTTATGATTGATGGATCAACCCTATCAACCCTAGCTATGTATACAGGATTACAATGGATTATATACATAGGTCATGAACCCATTGACCGACTGTTTAACTATTACATACTATTACTATGTGGGACATGGCAAGAAGATCTGAGTTCGGGAGCAATGGCTGGATCACAGTCCGAGGCTGCTGCACCCACCCCGGCCGCGAATCCAATGGCAGCTTTGTTGGGCGGCGTCTTGGCGGATTTTTGGCTGTAGCAACAGCCAGTGCCATGGAACAGGGATGGAAAATGGCTCCAGCAGGTGGAGCATCCCAGGATATCCCAGGTGCCAGGTGCCACCTCCAGCATGTCGGAAGAAAATCAGCCACGTCCCCATGGATTGCGTGGATTGTTGATGATCTACTCATATTATCTCATATTGATGTTGTTTAAATTATAAACATGCATAATAATTCATAGTTGTTGTGGGTGAGAATACTCTTGCGCTTGGAGTTTTGGTTTATAGCACCCCCGAAGAAGTCACTGAGAATCCAGTAAAACCCCATCCCAACCATTCCCAACCTAGAATCCAGTCAACACTCATTCTAAAAAATAGCGATATTAATGATGATGATGATGATGATGATGATGATGATGATGCCACAAGGCCGCCACACGTTTTTCATGATTTTCTGTATCTGTGGCTTCCCAGTGACCCCAGATTTCTCCAAGGTATGGGCGGAGCCGGTGGAGCTCCCGGAGCTGGTGGAGCTGGTGCGAACCCCATGGCAGCCATGATGAACGACCCTGCTGCCATGCAGGTGGGATGCCATGGCGGTGGCGTTTTTTGTTTTGGGCTCCGGGATGGTCCTCCGTTTTTGGGGATCTATTTACCAGGAATATCCATGAATAATCGTGAATTATTAATTTTTATGGGGATCTATATGAATCTATATGATCTATTTACCAGGAATTCCGAATGATTGTGAGATATTGTGAGATGCCCACGGAGCATGCGTATATACATCATATACATTCATGTACCGTGTTTTGACCATGGGGACACATTGCGAGGCCGCCATGCAGATGATGGGCGGCATGGGTGGTATGGGGGGTATGGGCGGCATGGGCGCCCCTGGATATGGCGGACCCGGTGCACCAGGTGCAGGCTGGACAATTGAAAGAGAATTGGAGTATATTTATATATGTATATTTCACTTTAACTGACACAAAAAGGCAAAAAAACATGTTACTGTAAAGAGTTTTGCTGTTTTGCTTGACTATACAATTATACAGTAACCATAGCACTTGAAAATCAGCAGTCGCTCAAGCACTCTCGATATATAGTGAATTGCCACTTACGAAAAATGGGGAAAGGGGTCAGTTTTGGTCTCCAGGTATGGGCGGTGGTTTCGATCCAAATATGGTTGTGACCTCAGTGATGGTTTTTTTGAGTGCAGATCCATCAGATTATCATCATATTTCTGTATATCTGTATATCTGTATATCTGTCTATCTATCTATCTATCTATATATATATATATGCACACATGTCCCATTATTTGATGGCAGGGCTCATTACCCATTGTTGGATATTTCCGGATACGTTTGGAAACACTCATACTTCTCTTGTGTCCAGTCTGTTCATCCCAAGCTCTCCGTTGGGACCCAATGAAGGTGGCAACCATGCTGCAGAATCCCGGGGTGCAGCAGATGATGCAAAATTTGGCCCGGGGCTGTGTAAAAGATCACCACTGAGCACACTGAGCACAGGATTCGATGAAATCGATCTTGATCCTCTAAACCTAAAGGCCTTAGAAAAAAACGCACCACCAAAAATGTGATCCCAAATATGGCCCAAATCCTTGTGGCATTGAGTTTTCGAAGCACTCTTGAGCCATTTTCCTGGCAAAATCTTCGAGTCTTCGTCAAAATACGTCAAAATGAGCCGCTCTAACGACGGTTGTTGTTTGCCTATCGCGATTGGTCAGACATGGTGAGGCGTCCAACCCTCAGCTGATGCAGCAGATGATCCAGAACAATCCTATGTTGCAGGTGGGCGATGATGGGCCTTTTGGGATTTTCACCTCAGAGTCTGTACCCTCTGGTAATGGCTGACATAGCTATTGAAAATGGTCATTTATAGTGGATTTTCCCATAATAAATAGTGATTTTCCATAGCTATGTTAAATTACCAGAGGGTACACCAAAAGAAATCGGGAAACGCTGGTGGTTTCGCATAAGAGGAAACTGTCTTTGTTTATTTTCCCAAGTGACTCATGTTTGAAAAAACACCAATGAAAAGAAATGACTTATATTTTTCGGCAGCTAGAATGGGAAAACTGATAGCCCAGCTGATGAGAGTTGTAACATTATCCCAGTACCCCAATCGATACCTGAGAGGTATAGACATATCCCAAGGAAAACCAGATAATCAGCATGTTTACGATTTATTACTTATTACTTATTACTATGATAACAATTAGTAGTCACTATATATGTATATATAATTATATAATGTATCATTATATTAGTATTACATCTATTGACATCTATATTTTCATATTTATTATATACATATCTTTATATTTAAATATCTTTATATTTACATATCAATTTCTATTTACATATCTTTATATTTACATATACATAAGTTCTTTTTCCTATATTACCAATTGGTAAATCCTGCATGGATCGTCCATAGACTCTGCGTGCCCGGCCCAGCAAATGTCGCAGCGCGACCCGATGTTCGCCCAGGCGGGAGGTGTGTGAGTTTGCTGTGGAAAAAGAACATTAAACATCTATAGGAAACCCAGCATAGGTTTTCCAAATAAGTTGTTTCCCTTCAAGCAAGACTGGGTGGGATGAACACCAGCTATACATAGCCATACCATATAAGATGTTCTGGCTATTTTGCTGTGAGCTACAGGGTACCAAGCTTTTGACATGGGGATTTCCACTTCAAGTCACTGGATGCAGGGCCGCTGTACTTGTCGACTTGGGGTATCTCTCACGCTTGGGGACCCTTGAGAGCTTTGGTTATCCTAGAGGCAAAACAGGTTATGAACTGTTTTTTTGAAGTTTCTAGATCAACTTTGACAGCACGGTGTAATCATGCCTGATTGATGTCGCTGTTACAGCCTTATCTAGACCTTTGGCTAATCTTAGTTTGGCCGTGTTTGGTTGTTTGCTGTTTCGAAAAATTGGGGTATTAAGTTTAGGACATACCCATTTGGATGGACAATGAAATAAAAAGTATCTCTTCATCAACTTGTAGCATTCGTAGCTGGCTGATCATATCCTATGACACCAAGAGCTTCGTCCCAATAGTAATGATCTGTTGCAGCAGGTCCAAATGTTGACAGGGAATGTCTCGTTGACTTTCTACGAAGCTTTTGGAAAAAAATGGCAAAAAACTGGCCATCCACATACCATCCTAACATAGCTCCAGTGGGACCACAGTGGGACCAACTGGCCATCTGATCCCTGGCAGATGATGCAAAACCCAGAGGCAAGGGGCACGTGGCATCCCGGGAGTGACCGATTTTTGAAAACATCTTGTTGATTATTGATTACTGATGCATCAATCTTGATTATAAAATATATTATATATTATCTGGTTGGTGGTTTGGAACATTTTTTATGTTTCCATATATTGAGGAAAATCCTTCCCATTGACTAATATTTTTCAGAGGGGTTGAAACCACCAACCAGTTATTGATGCATCCATTTTTTTTTGCAGGTCACCAAAGTCTCTGAAGTTTGCCCCCAAAACTGTGGATCCCCTCAGGGAACCCCCATCAACTTGAGGATATAGCTGGCGACGCTAGTAACCCCACAAAAGATAGACAGTTTGGCACCATTTTAGTATGACTTTACTGTTCTCTCCTTTTGGGGGTTGTGAATGTATTTTATATATATATATATACACCTCTCTCTCTCTCTATATATACATACAGAATGCATATATTGTATGGGTCTATAATCTAAACAGGTATACACATACGCGCAGACACACTCACACACACATTGTTTCTGAATATTCTGTATAGTCAATCATTTGTTGATCTGGAAATCACATCCCTGTGCACTATTCATTGTGAGAAGCCATCTACATATAGATGCGTGGTAGGGGGTTTTGGCGGCGGGGGGGTGGGTAGGGTGTATTCAATTATAGATACGCAGTGAGGGTTCATCACATAATTTTGAATATATAATACAAAATAGTAACAATAGTAATAATGTATCTATAATATATTCTATATTATATAAACATATATATGTATAATATAAGTATGTGTAAACATATATATATATGTATAATATAAGTGTATATATATATGTATTATATATTATATATTATATATATATTATTATATGTATTATATACAAATATTAGATTATATTATATGTATTATACGTAGTTTGTTTATGTTTGCATTTGATCCCTCACCGGAGATGCTTATCATCACACAATCTGCCCGGCCCAGCTCATGCGAACGATGCTCAACCCCCAGATGTTACAGGTGCAGCCGTGGCTGGTTCAGGGTTGTCCTTTCCCTTCTTCGAGAGTCAGCAGGTAATTACATCTTTCCAGGCATAGGCGACTCCGTTTCGACTTCCTGATTTCAACACTTGAAATAAAGGTGTAGATTACACAGCTGAGATTCCGAACCTTGCTGGGCATGGTATATGACATCCATGGAATGTCTCTGGCCAGGGCCTCCTGCAGATGCAGCAGGCCATGGGCAACGCTGGCATGGGCCCTGGTGCCCTGGGCGGTGGTGCCCTGGGCGGTGCCCTGGGCGCACCGGGCGCCACCCCGGGCGCGCCGACGGCGGGCGCCCCGGCGCGACGGCGGGCGCCCCGGGTGCGACGCCGACGCCGGGGATGCCGCCGGCGCCTGGAGCTGGGTGGGGGAGCCAAGGTCGCTGGGGATGGGAAACAACGTGGAACAATATGGAAGATAATTTGAGTCATTTTAAGTCTTTTTTTCTAGATTCTAGATGGTTTTATAGATTTTTGTACTTTCCAACATGTTTTTCGATTCTAAGTTTTTCTATTATGTTTATTCAAACTAAAGGATCAAGATGGTCCAGGTCCTTCACGATGAATTTGAGGATGATGCTCTTCGTCAGATCCCAGGGATGCTGGGACCTTTCGCAGCTTTTTCAGTGTGCTTCAGTGGCGAGCTCTTCTGAGGATGGATCCAAATGCCATGGCTGCTGCGATGCAGGCCAGGGCGGCAGTCACCAAGCAGCTTTTTGCTATTTTCCGAAGATATCCCAAACCCACCAGCCGTCACTAGCCCACTTTCTTTAACATTCCATGCCAGGAAGGATAGGTTCCCAAGCCGTGAGCTCAGCCGTTTGAGGCAATGATGGGAGGCATGGGTGGAGCTGGAGGCAAGGCGCTGAGTTTGGGTAAGCCTTGGATCCATGAATTTGCCATGTTTGGCTCCACTGCACATGAATCCAAATGGGAGAATCCCATTTGTTTTTTTTTTAAATGATTTTTTTGTCACCATTGAATCACCATTAAATCATTAAATCCCTATCTTAAGGATTAATTCACCATTAAATCATCATGAATATTCCAAACATTAGCAGTGGCCTGCAGCTCCATCGAGAATTTCATGCGGTAAATCCGATCATCGCCTCCAGTCTTAAAGGTTGAATGAAACCGGATGAGTAATTTTGTACAAAAAAACATCAAGGAATTTTCAGCCAGTATATACACAATTATTTACATGTTACAGATAGATAGATAGATAGATAGATAGATCAATATGCTTGATATGATATATATATATATTATACATACACATAATGTTGAATGACATTTAAGAAGTCAAAGAACAAACAAAGACCAATTAATCAGATTGGATTTGTCTGACCACAGGGTGCCCATTTTTTCCTGTGGTCTATCGCATTATCCCGTTATATCCTGCTATATGCCATCTACATCCCATTACACTTCCATCAGAACTCCATACCGATAATGGGATGGTATGACTAATTAATGAATTTAAGTAAGAGGATTTAAGATTAGTATCTAAGAGGATTTCAATCGACAAAACTGGTTAATGGTCATAAATCCATATAAATCCCATCCCCTAAGATTAAACACCCTCAAAATGATCCCTTAAATATGTGGTTTTATCCCCTACATCCACCATGGTTTCTGGGGAGTTTTTAATATTAGGGGAATGGATTAGTAATATTTAGTAATATTTCTACTAATATAGTAAATATTTCTAAATAAAAACTATATTAGTAATATTTAATTAGATTTCTGTTTATCATATTTCTACTTGGAGCGCAGGTATGCCAGGGCTGGGTGGCATGGGAGGACCCCTTGGTGGAGCAGCTGATGGAAGGTGGAGATGTCTGGGGCCAGTGGTGGATTCTGAAGACCCAACAAGACATTGATTAATCATTATTAATCAATGATTAATCATTATTAATCGATGATTAATCATTGATTCATGACTGATTATTGATTGATTAATCATTGATTAACCATTTTTTGGTGGAATAAAGTGGAGAAATTAACATATTTAGCCATCTAGCATGGGGTGATGGTGGGGATATTATGGATTTTATCTGGATATCCTGGGGATTTTAAAGGTGTATTTTACTGGATCAACTAGCTGGTTGGTGATCCACGATGGCTACGTTCTGGAGGGGGTGCGAAACCACCAAGCAGCAGGCCTGCGGAAGAGAGATTCGCCACACAGCCTGCGACCTCGGATACCAACACAAGACCTGGATGTCGTTTTTTTTTAAAAACATTTTGCGGGAGTTCTGGGACCAAAAAAGATCTGCGATCTGAGTTTCTGCATTTCAAGAACTCATCCCCCTTAAGATTTTCCAGAACTTTCATTGACAATTCTCCATGTTTGTGGGTGAAAAATGGTGAGAACCAAACTCCCGATGGATCCGATGGAAGCTGGGGACATCTGAGGTTGGAGCAGCTGACCAATATGGGCTTCCCAGATCGACCCTCCAACATCCAGGCTCTACAGATGGCCAACGGTGACGTGAACCAGGTGCCTATCAGCCCTATCAGCAGCCGAGTTTGGGGGAGATGGGAGGAGATGGAAGGAGATGGAAGGAACAAAAATCTGATGCAAAGAAACACTTGGAGATGGTTGAACAAAATGTCAGTGGTTGGATTCAGCTTCAGTTTTGACCTTCGGAGACTGCCAGGTGAAGTTCAATCATCTTGAAAATGTATTGTTGTCAACGGATTGCGTTGGAGACATCCTGCTTGGCTCGTTTCCAGAATGGAAGGCCATGGTGGAAGGCCATCTCACTTCATTTGTCTAACAAACAATCAGCCGCAAAGGCTAACAATCAGGATTTGAACGAGTAATTTCTGGATCAGAAACTATCGAGTCGAATCAGCGTCACCGAAATAAACATCCAAACGTTCGGATCAGCGTCGCAGAAACAGCGTCAAAGACGATCCTGGATCAACATCGTGTGTAAATGGTCGGGACGGTCGGGATGGTGGGGATGGTCGGGGCGGTCGGGGTAGCCCGCAAAGTTGCCATCTATACCGTCCCGATCCAACCAATGTGGATCCAGCCGCGCCGATCCAACCAATCTAGATTACGATCCAGCGACTTAAATATCCATATTTTGTTCCACATATATGGACCAAAATGCAGACATGCATAGATCATGTCTTGGAGGTTTTGAACGCCACTGAAGGCATGGGTTTTCCCAACTGATGTCCTCATCCGATTCACAGGCCATCAACTTTCTTTTGGGCGGCGATGCCCCCTGATTCGGAGAGTCCCTTGGAGTAAATTCAGCGATTGTGGTTCCAAGGTGTTGCTGGATAAACATCAAATTCATGTTTTCATTGATCCAGGTATATCATTGGTATCCCTTTTTTGGGAGCCCTACCTGAAACTTTCATAGAAACATCTGATCAAACTTTTGGGATGTCCGCTGAAGCCTGTCCTTTGGCGGGCACTTTTTTCCGCGCCCACTGAGCACAGGAAATGTTGGGCAACCAACAGGGAAACCGTACAAGTGGGGACCCTGGGATCCCCGAACTTCGTAGCCGATTGGTACTTGGGCTACACCCATCATGTACTGTACACATATGTATGTCCCAGTATAGTTTCTGGCATTTTTGTTGCTCAATCTTGCTACGGATAAGCAACACAACTAACTAGTCCAGTTGCTAACCAACTTTTTCTTTGAACTCTACCTTCAATTTCTCTCTGTTGATGTCCAATGTAGCATATGACGGTCCCTAATCAACCCATCTCTTGCAGCTTTGGATCTCCCAGCAGCGGGGGCCCGTCTGAACGTAGGCTACACATGGCATCTAGTGGTTGAGTATCATGATTAAATCCCCATGTTTCATGGTAAAACTCGGTAAAACATCCACTTTTACGGACAACCATTGTTGGTCAAATCATGCTAAATCCCTAAATCTCGCATTCTTGCTGGTGAAATCCACTACTGTCAGTTCATGTCGGTGAAATCCATCACTTTTGCTTCTTAATTTCACATTTTGGCCGCTTAAATCACAAGTTTTCATGGTTCAATCATGGTTTTTGCTGCTTCAATCGCCATTTTTGCTGCTTCAATCCTTCAAGAAAGCCGCCTCTTGAGGTGAAGTCGTTGCCTATTTTCTGCGTGCGAAAAGGCCCCCGAAGGAGAGGCGATCGCAGGACTGGAGCCAGGAAAACACAAAAAACTGGTTGGGGGTACCAAAAATTACCAAAATCATAGGATTTTTGGTGGTTGAACCGAAAATTATGGTGACAAAACATACAAAACTGAGAAATGAGGGTCGAAAGAGGCTTTTTAATCATGAACAAAATTGGACCTATTTTTCCTGTATACTGTCTACCCAATTTCAGACAGCAACAAAGGAAGATGCCCAATATATGAATAGAATAGATCTGATAGATATATGTGTATATCTAATCCGATCTCTCACAATCCAGTCGAATCGAAGCGTATCCAATCCAATCTAACCCAATCTAATTTATCTATCTAGCTATCTATCTATCAATATATTGTCAATCTTTGCTTTGCGGTTGTTAGTTGGGAACCTCCATGAAGTCTACCAGCTTTCTGCTCGAGAGCAGGAGAGGTTCTGATGCCCCACAGCCTTTGGAGCTTCGCCGGTTTTGACCGAGTGAGTCTGTCTGAAAATGGCCCAATATAGTCAACATATGGCAGTGTGTCAAAACCTTGTACCCCTGGTGAACATCAAAATAGCTGGTAAATGGATGTTCATCCCACTAAAAATGGTATTAATAGGTATTGATCCATACCCATATATAGTATGAATATGTGTGAATACAACAGGATAATAATCCGAATACAGCGCAGATATGCAACCAATAATATGCTATTTGAGCATGTCTGAAACTGCGGTATACCCTCCAAAATGGCAATTTTAATGGGGAGAATGATGATACACATTTACAAACCAGTGGATTTTTGGGGTACTCTATTTTCAGAGAAACGCACATCCTTGACTGACAAAATTCCATAAAACATATTCGGAAAACTGCTGGTTTCAAACCGGGGGATACTGCAATTAATTGGCAGCTTTTAGTGGGAGAAAAGGTGGTATAAGATTGATTCAAGGTATGTACCTGTCATATACGTACGTTCATATACTGCAATCCAATGTATACACAAAGGCAGTCCGCCAAATGTTCAACATGTTCTGGTTTGAGGCACTCCTTTGAGTTGTGGTAGCAGATTTTACGTTGGATCACTGCGATCATTTCTACCATTAACCATCCTATGTACTGTGTTTAACACATTGGACCCATCACAACTTCACCATTTTTGGATGGTTGCTGTAGCAGGGAGGTTGGATTCCCAAACCACTCGATCTCAGGACATCCCAAGTATGACAATTCATCACAATATAAAGGGGATGATATCCATCAATATCCATCAATATCATCAATCTTCTTCAGTTCAATGAACTCAATGAACTCTATCCCCAATTTTCAGGTGATTTTGTCACCTTGTGCAGCCTGGCAGATTGGCAGATACGGCAGGTCATGGCTGAAGCTGCTGAAGCTCCTTGGGTCCCGGATCTGAACAGCTCAGCTGGAGATCCATGGTTCCAAGCATGGGGAGTTTCTCCCCACTATCGAACCATAGCTGGGAACGTTTACAAAAAACGAACTGGAAAGATCTACCATTTTCAATGGGAAAATCATGGAAAATCCACTATTTCGACTGGGCCAGCTATTCAATAGCTATGTAAACGTTTACCAAAGGGTAACAAGCAACTAAACATTTGGATTGAAATGGTCTTCCAGCTGGCTTTCTCTGCTAGGGACACGCCGCATCGTTGGATCTGCGAGTGTGTCAAGGCATCAAGATGTACAGTACTCGTACATTGGAATTTAGCCACTGGCAATCCAGCACAGCAACAGTGACCCTCTGCACATCTTTGAACTAGGAAGATCATCTACGAACGTTTGAAGGATTTCTATGGATTGGACAGTAGATCCTTCGGATTTCAAGGACATCTTCGGAATTTCCTAAAATCCTGTACATGTTTTAGGGATATGTTTTCGGGTGAAAATCCAACATGTTTTTCCAAAGCATTTTCAGTTTCCCCAAAGATATACCAGGGATGTCCAGGTCAGCCTTCGAATCCAGCGATTTGGACTGGTCCTAGCACCACTCGCTTTGGCTCCAGCATGGAGAGTCGTACCTGTCTTCGAGCGGAAGGCGAACCGAAAAATGCTGGCTGAACATGGCTGAAGGGGGGGATAAAATGGTGAACAAAAATGAGAAATGGCTGATGGACAGACCCCCAGGGATCCCAGCTGGGCCTCGAAATGTGTTGATTGGCTTGTAACTTATGAATACCTATGACATTTATGACATTTTACTTTGCCCCACTGGGGTTTTCTGGACACGTGAAAGCCTGACCTCGCCATGCACATGGGCTCAAGACCGGCTCCGCAGCCCGGGATGATTTTGTTAGGAACATGTCTACGGTGGGGTTGTCGGCAGCAGCCGATTGCTAACTGCCTGGATGTCCCTGGGATGCAGCCTTCTCTGTGTCCGGATGTTCAATGTGGGCGCTACTTATAGCTGTTCCATTGATGAATGTTAGATTGTTAGTTGCACAGGTTGAAGTGTTTGCTCTCAATGATTGGTAGAAGTTGTTACTGTTTTGAATGAATGTTGGCACTCCATGCCTATGCCATCCACATGTCATTGCTGGTGGGATGACCGACCCCTCGCCCGAGGCTGAACCAATATTATGACCCGGAGGCAGATTCGAGGACAGCTGGGGTGCAGATTTTGAATGGATTTGTTGAGCATAATATGCAGATCAAGACAGTATCTATATTTGTATCTAAAACATTCTAAAACTATATCTGGTTTCAAAAGCATGTTCCTCATCATTGTTGGTTAATATGAGAAACATACAGTATGTAACATACTGTTTCATACTGACATATTATGTATCCGCATTGTGAACAGCGGGACTATACGTGGTTTCCAACTGTCTTTGGTTGGCTGAAGTCCATTTTTCCCTGATTGTCCGAAGATTATCAGGCAATTTGTGAGATCATGCAGTCAAAAATGGGATCCCCCCACAATAATTCATCGCTGGTGGCAACCCTGCATGTTTGGTGTTATATCACTGCCGCGATCATCAGGACATGTGTGCCAAAGGTGGGTGCTGCTGCAAGGGACTCTTCTCAGCCAGCCGTGACTGTGGCTTCCAGTGGCGACATTTCCACTGCAACCAACAGTGCGCCATGATTGGTGCCATGGGCAGGTCCCCGTTTCTGCACCACATCATAGCCTTGTATTAAACCCGGCACATATTTTGAGACAAACCAATAGCCAATATATATATACATAGCCTCAGTATATATATATATATATAATATTATATATATATATTATATATATATATTATATATATATCATAGTATACCAATAGCCAATACCAATATATAAGCCTCAGTTGAAAGTTGCTTGTCGCTCCACGCAGCATCTCTGGCGCAAAGCAACGAAAAAGTGCCCCGGTGGATCCTTTCCCTCTCGAGGCGGCGTTTTCGATGAGGATTTCGCGGCAGAGCACTTGAGCATTCCCCAACTTTTGATTTAGCAAAACTCAAACTGATATCAACTGATATCAACTGATATCAACTGATATCAACTGATATCAACTGATATCAACTGATATCAACTGATATCAACTGATATATATATATATATTATATATATATATATATCACTGATATCAACTGATAAAACCAGCAACTGATGTGTGAAACCACGTGAAACCCATCAACCTTGCCCCCAGGATCCACCTGCGCCCAGGTCATGGCCGCGCGCGTGCAGGCAGCAGTGGAGGTCGTGAAGAACAAGGCACTGAAAGTCGCAGAGGACACCAAGGCCTATGCGAAAGAGAAGACCTCCCAGGTAACATGGGAGAAGTTGATGGCAGCGATTTCTTTTCATTTTTTCTGGTGTTTTTTATATTTTTTATTGGGATTTTATGGTACTTGCATGTATAATACAGTTGCTTATCTTCAAACATTACTCAAACAGTCCTTGGTATCCTCTGGTGTCTTGTTTGTGTTTCCTTTTTTTAATGACAAATCATTTCTAACCGGTACTGCCCCTAGGCTTGGGCCATGTCAAGCGAACTGAAGTCGTATCACGTCAGTGTTTCGCCAAGAGGCGATGGAAATGTCCAACGCCGCCAAGCAGCGGGTGGTGACCATGGCTCAGCAGCGGATGTTGGCAGTTGCAGCATCAAAGGAGGCAATGAGGGGCTACCTGCAGAATGGACAAGTCTTGCTGCTGGATGCCTACAAGGAATGATTCATTTGGAAATTTGATGACTACTGAGTGACTGCTGTGTTTGGGATATTTTGGGATACTTCGGCCATTTTTGGATGTTCATTTGCAGTTTTCGACCTGATCCCAGATACCCCGAGGAGTTCAGAGCCACTGGAGTGAAGGAGTTTTCTCAAAAGTATGCGGCACTCCTGAAGCAACACACTGGAGAGCACGCGCTTTTGTTGAAGCAGTTGGCCATCAAACAATCCCAGCAGGCGCGATGGGTTAAAACATGTTAAAACCTGTCCAACATGCAGCTAAGGACACAGAGGAATTCACTTTAGGGAGCTTGATCATTTCGGCTGCTATCTTGTATTTGGGGTTGTTTGGAACTTGTTTTAAATATGATATGAATCAAATATGATTGATATGTCTAGAGTCTAGAATTGTTGAAGTAATTTTTCATACCTCAATCGTGTTCACCCCTCACACTTCACCCATCACACTTCACCGATTTTTGGTTGTTTTGTCCCCCTCTTGACCTCAAAATGTCCATCACATATCATCATCTATACATCATCTATCATCATTTCCATCCGATTTCCATCCGATTTCAGGTGAAGGCTTCCTCCTTGGCCGTGGTGGGCTCGGTGCAACGTCGCGTGACGACGACCTATGAGACGTGCCACTCCAAGGCGCAGCAGGCCGTGACGTCGGCAAAGGCCAAGACGGTGGAGATCTCCACCAAAGCCAAGAACGTTGCGAAGGCACGGCGCGGCGGCGATGGGTTCAGCGGAAGGCAGTGGAATAGCCTCTGGTGAACTAACATAGCAATGGAAAATGGCCCATTAATAGTGGATTTTCCCATTAAAAATGGTGATTTTCCATTGCTATGTTAGTTCATGATGATCAGGTGATATCAGGTGATATTGTTTCCTCATGAAGATAACTGTATGCGAGGTATCTTTCACATGCCACCGTGGCCTAATTTTCCCCCTTGGCCTTGCTTGGATTCGCAACTTCCCAGCAACACAGAATTGTCTCTGTTATGTCACAATGGTGAGTCTGGGCGAACGTTAAGGTTGCGGACAACATCTTCAAACTAACTCATCTAACTCTGTTTGTTACTGTACTTCCAATTTTTGAATTGAAGAGTTGGCCATGGACGTTTGACACATCCACTCCCATCCAGTGCCGACTTTGTTTCCGGTTTCAACCTCCAAGTGGTATAAGTGATGTAGCTTCACTTCATGGGTTGGTATATCCTGGTGTTTCAATGAAGGAATATAGAGGACCTTATGCCACTACTGTAGACAATGCACTAGCCAAATGGGTATAACTGGGTATGTTTCAAAATCGAAGGGGATCGGGACAGTATGTTCACGACTTCAGGGTGAATCCCCAATTGTTACGCATGACAACCGCATGCTTGCTGATTAAAATGCAAGTTTGATGACTTAACCCCATAGTTTCGTTGACACACACTAGACAAGAAATGGATCATTGAAGTGATCTGTTGGGAACTGAATCCCCTCACATGCAGTTAGATGAGAAACAATGACCTAAGGTCTGGTTCTTATTGGCTTAGCCGGTTGCCATTGACGATAAACTGGAAAATTGCAGGTACGTTTGCACGACGACATAGATGGGTCTTCGTTGGCCCGTGCCATCTATGCGTCCACGGCCCTCTGCAGAAGTTTTACATCTGTTCAGATGTTACACATACACACACACACACCCGGCCGGAGCCGGGTCAACCCTGAAAGGCAATAGGAAGAGAAAAAGCGGACACAAACGACGGGCAGAAGGCCAAAAACAGCGCAGGGGGGGGGAAGGGAACAAACGGACCTCCAGAACCAACTTGCACGGCGAAACGGACCTAGCCAGCACAGTGCAGACACCTAAACCCCACGACACATTACAGAGGGGCACGGGGAGAAATTAGGGACCGAATGGGGGACTAGTTGGTGACGAAAAAGGAACCAACAACATAAAATCAAGGGAACTCAGTTCACTCCTAAGTAATCGCGCGTTACTCCCAAAACGAGACCGTGGTCGATCAAGCCACATAGGCATAAACGGCTGTTCAAGTTCCAGCGAATTAGACGCACGAAATGCTTAACCTCACCAGAAAACCATCAAAAGAAAAGAATCACCACACCTGGAAGGCATGTACCTGCCTTGATCATCTGTCATGTTGCATGTTGCATCAGAAGCTTGAGCATCAGCAAAAAAAGAGGTTTCTGGCTGTTCGGATCGGCTTCACTAGAGTAGAGATGAAAGTTCCAAAGTGTCGCAAAGACAGCAGGAGCGGCGAGACATTGTAAAAAGTGGAGAACGGAATGGCCAACTGTTTCACTTTACGTAAACGAATTGCCAGATTAAAATGTGTTAATTCGGAAGTCAGGTCTGTCCTCATTCTCCCTAAAAAGGGATGCCTCAAATGGCTCCATGGCACCATGTCGGAGTTACCGTGGAAATCACACTAGACAAGAAATGGATCATTGAAGTGATCTGTTGGGAACTGAATCCCCTCACATGCAGTTAGATTAGAAACAATGACCTAAGGTCTGGTTCCTATTGGCTTAGCCGGTTGCCATTGACGATAAACTGGAAAATTGCAGGTACGTTTGCACGACGACATAGATGGGTCTTCGTTGGCCCGTGCCATCTATGCGTCCACGGCCCTCTGCAGAAGTTTTACATCTGTTCAGATGTTACAGTTACACACACACACACATTTCTGCAGGTTAAACCAACATTTTTTTCGGGCAACACCGAAAAATATAGAAGTAAAACTGCCATTGTTGCAAATAAAAACCAATAAAGACAAGCCAAAATCATCATGTTTCTAGGTCAACTCTGGACTTTTGCAGATTTTCCCAAGGTTTTCCCATGGTTTTCCCAGGATGGCCACGTCCAAGCGACCGCCGCGGGCGTCTGTGGCGGCGCCGCCGCCCTGGGCGCCACTGGTGGCGCCACCGGGCTGACGGCGGGCGTCGTGGTGGGCGCGGCGCTCGGCGTGGTGCCGGCCATCTTCACATTTGGGCTGTCCATCCCACTGGGCGCGGTCATTGGAGGTGGATTTGATTGGATTTCTTTGATGTTTTTTTTTTAAAAAATGACTTTTTGGATGACTTGTTTGTTTTTTGTTTTTGTTTTTTTTTGGTGTTTTTTTTTTAAAATAGACTTTTTGGATGATTTGTTTGGTGTTTTATATTAACATGGACTTTTTGGATGATTTGCTTGGTGATTTTTCAAAAGTTGACTTTTTTGATGATTTGTTTGGTGGTTCTTTAAACATGGACTTTTCGGATGATTTGTTTGGTGTTTTTATTTTATGTTTTTTTTTGTTAGGTGACGTTTTTTCTTTTAATGGACTTTTTGGATGATGTGTTTGTTTTTTTAAACGACTTTCTGGATGATTTGTTTGGTGATGTTTTTTAAAATGGACTTTTTGGATGATTTGTTTGGTGTTTTTTCCCCCAAATCCCATGAAACTATCTATTAAGCTATGGTTGATGGTTGATGACTATTTATGGTTTTGAGGGTGCATGATTTGTTTTCTTGTTTTCTGATGGTGTTGTTTTTTCATTTTTGAGGGTTGTGGTGGTTTTGTTTTTGACAACCTGAAGCTGAAGTTCTTTTTTTGGGGGGTGGTTGTGGGGTTTGATGGTTGTTTTTTTGAGGGCTGTGGCTGTGTTGGTTTTGTTGGGGATTATGGGGTTCATGGAGGAACGAGGATTCGGATGTGGGTAGCTGAATTCAAATCCATGTGTTCCCCAGTTTCCAATACTCACGACTTTTTGATAGTGACACTTCCATTGTTGTTGGCGGGTCCTTGATTTTTCCGGGAGTCCCCAACCGTCAAACCCCCATCCCCTTTTGGTGAACTTTTCAGAATTTTACTTTTCATAATCAAAGTTCTATTTCTGGTTAATCAACAAATATGGTTCACTTTTGATCTGGTTTAGTCAAGGTTTGATCATCATCAAAGCCCCCCTTTCTGACCGTCAAACCCATTCGATCATCACTGTTGATTGTGAATCAGCATGAATCAACTATAACAATCTCCAAAAGATAGAAAAGTTGGAAACTATGACAAACCATGAGGTAAATAAATGATAGTATAGTTTTTAATCCTGAAGCCTTGGGGTTACTATGTTGGTAGCCTTTTTCCCTGTTTAAACCCCATTGGCCAGGCGGTACCGGCTTGGCCGTTGGCACCACCGTGGGCGCCACCGCGGGCGCCGTCAGCGGCGGCGCGGCGAGCTATGGCGCCTATGCCCGGAAGGACGAGATCAACGAGATGCGAACGCGGGCCGTTTCCAGGGTCTCCTCAGGTGGGGCTGATGGAGTTTACCATCAATGACTAACAGTTTGCTATTGAAAATGGCCATAGACTATGTAGTAGTTGATTTAGGCATAAAAACATATTAAAACATATCTCCCATAGGATCCATGTATGGTATATATGGATATATATGGTATATATATAATTAATATATATATGGTATAACATTTGGGGTATATTGATGGTAAATGTTAGCATACCATACATGGATCCTATGGGTCTGGTAATGACTAACAGTTTGCTATTGAACATATTTGAACATGGCCATGGAAATAGTCGATTTAGCCATTAAACATATTAAAACATGGTGATTTTCCATAGTTACGTTAGTTTACCAGAGGGTACCCCTGATCATGTTGATCAACCAATGGATTTAGAGGTACCCTATTTTTCAGACAAAGCCACATGTCCCAAAAAAGGGGAAGTTGATGGTGAAAATTGGATGATTTCGCATGGTTTAGCTGTGAACATGTCATTTCTTTTGAGGGAAGATGGAGGAGATCGTATCGTGCCTTTTTGAACTTTCGAGTGGTAGAGTGTACACAATTTGAGGACCAGATCTTGTTATCAGAGAACATACATTTTGGAAACATATGAAACTATGTCACAACCACTTAACCAATCGCAGCCTGGGATCATTCTTGACTTACTTCTCGAATCATTCAGCCTCACTTCTCGAATGTTAGCAATTGCAATGCATGAAATTTCGTATCCCAACAGATATTCGCATATTTTACTGGGATTCGGAGCCTTCAGTGTTTGTTTTATTTTCCTGATGTCCCTTACAGTAGCTGATTACCTGGTCTGATGATTTCAATTGGTTACTGCAAACAGCTCCCATCTGGGCAAACCGATGAAATTAAATTCTGACTGTAACTCTGTATGTGTATGCAATGTATATATATATATATATTGCTGCATGTACGTATGCAACAAGAATGATGATGCCAACTATTATAGTTATGATTATGGAAAACATATTGATCATCAAATATCAAAGTTGATCAAATCAATTATAGTTGATCAGTAGTTATATCTAACATATAGTTATGGAAAACAAGTTGATCAAATCAATTAGATATATCTTTGCCTTTCTCCTCAATTTTTTATGGCTAAAAATCCCAGCTGGCGCTGAAAATCCCATGGTGCCCATCATAGAACCATTGATAAAGTCACTAGTAACCCATATTAATTACCACATATGTTCACTAAGCATAAATTAATAACCCTTCAGAACCATGAATAACCATTAACCATCAGTTTAACCCCTACTTTTCTCATCAAAATCACAGTTTTGAACACCCGAGGTGTGGATCTGGTTCGAGGAAAGGCGGTAGCCTCCGTGGACTATGTGAAGAGCCAAGCCACCTTGGTACGGGCCAGATTCGCCAAGGCCTGAGACCAACGGAGTGTGTTGTGATGGACGTGATGGACGAGCAGAAATTCTAAGAGTCTCATGACTTTGAAAAAGTGGGAGATATGAGAAGAATTGATAAGATGTGTATAGATTTGTATAGATTTGTAACCATCCACAATTTTGGGATAGAAACAATAGACATTGTTTCACGGGGATTTTCATGAGAGAGAGAGAGAGTGAAATTCTAATGGGGACTTTCATGAGTTCAAAAAATGTGGGGATCAGATGTACATATATATATATGTAACAATATTTAAGTTGTCATCCAATTTTTTTGGGGATAGACACATAGAAACAGGAAGATAGTTTGATGGCTAAAGAATGGCATATAATATAGTGGTAATAAGCGGCAATGAGTGGAGTGAATTGTGGGGGACAACAGTGGCTTTACATGGAGCGAACATCAGCTGAGTTCAAAACTTGACACATAAACAGGTGGAGTGGGTTTTAAAAGGGGGCACCCCACAGTGTAACATAGCATATAAATGCATATAATATATGTCAATAATTTTGGTGGATGACTTGCGGGTCTGCAGTGTTTTGGACACACTCCCCATGAAACGTGTTTCGACCAGCACTTTCCAAGTGTGCAAAAACTGCACCTTGCGTAGGGTGCCATGATTTTTCCATGACTTCCGGCCTTCTCGGAGCTTGGACCCAGGTGTTTTCCCCCCAGTTATCATGTTCGCATGGGCGAAAATCAGGATTTGTATTGGGGTGAACACCTGTCAGAAGGCCGTTTCGATTCACCGCAGGCGTGAGGTCTGCCTGTACAGAGTAAGTGAAGTCTAGGGACAGACCCTAGGAATCACGTGCCAATTCAACGTGACGTTGCTGGTTGCTGGGATGGTCTTGGTCAAGTTTTCTTGCTGAGCGTTGAGCAAATAATTAGGGGATACTGACTCCCCCTATGACCCCCATGATAGTCCATGTGGACCGATCCTTCCAGCAGTGAGAACAGAGCTGTCACTGCTTTGCAATCTTTTGCGGATCGAACAGAGCAGCTTTTCGCGCGAAAAATGTTGCATGGCACACAAAGATTGGTAGAGAAGGAGATTGGCAGATAGGTAATGGATGGCAATGGTACTGTAGGTAGGTCATGGATGGCTGCATATCTATGGATTCTCTTGTGCTGCGCGAGTGACAAGTTTTTCGACGAACAACCCATAAAATTACCCCGTTAGACCGTTGGCAACTATCAACTCAGGTCTGGAAATGGTCACTCAGAATGTGGTCACCTTGTCTATGTATGTCTATGTACATTTGATCAGTCGAGTGGCCCTGTATTCTTCCCAGTTCGTAGGTACTTCATCCACACCGCGGACATCCCTATTGCCATCCTCTGCACTACACCCAAGTCAAAGTGTCTTGGCTCCAGGCAGTAGAAAAAAACTCCGAGCTGATGGATTTGCCGTTGAATATTTCAAGAGTTCGCTGCAGTAAGCAATATTTTGAATGGGAGTGCCTAAAAACGCTCAACCTCATCGACAACCATCTGGTACCAGATATCGCAGTCTCAATCCACCCGATCCACCTCATTTCAGGCATGTATTTTCTTGCCTTTCATCCACTGAATCACCCAATGCCAACCCAAGTTGTTAAATGCCAAATGCCAGACTATCAATATGGCTAATAAGTTGTGGGAAATCTGTAAGAAGAATCACAATAAGAATCCCATTCAGAGTAATCCCAATGAAAATCAGTCTTGAAATTCTGGTTGATGAAGTAGCAAAGTTAGCTCTAAGTGATCATCTGCCAGGGGGGTTACTGGTCATCTCCTTGAATTTCTGATCTCCAGGTATTTGGAGCCACAGCATTAGCGCGCCACAGCTTCCTGTAAAGCCTCCGCTGGAGAACTCAGGATTTAAGCAAGAAGAATGGGGATAGAGTGGGTGTTACAGTATATACCGGACTATTTTTGAAAACCAACGTTGGGGGTTGTATACGCACGTGTACCGGGATATAACCAGGAACGCTGAAGTTCCGTGTGGTCAAGAACCGTTGGAATGTCCTTTTCTGCTAATAACTATTCCCATGATTCTTGGGATTTCTCGGGGGTACAAGTGGTGAATTGACCCATGGCCTGATGGCCCAAGCCTAGACAGCACCCAGATCTGTGTGGGTCCATTGGTCCCCTAAATTATGCAGCTCCAACCTGTTTTTAGGTAATTGATTCTCAGAAGGGAAAAAGACGTGGTGGAGATTAATATAGCTCTTTCTTTCCCAAAATGGTTGTCTGAAAATGGTGTACTCCACCATTTTATGGCAATTTCCCATAGGACAAATGATGATAAACCATAGGACAGACATAAATTTGGTTTGTTGTCATTTGATAAACCATGATGTCATGATGATAAACCATCTTTTCAGGTGATAGAATAATCTATCCACCATTTCTGTTTTTTTTTCTCAGCTGAGCAAATCTGCTGCGGTTCCAAGGCTACCGCGGCCGTGGCTTGGGCTGGACCAGGAAAATGACCAACAAAAAACTGGGGAGAAAGATGAAGTCTGTGAATGTCTATGGGGTTTGGAGCCCAATATATCTTAATGTCAACCCCGGATTAATAAACCATGGTTTATGAATTAGGGGTTACCCTCCAAATAGTCACAATATGGTACATAAATGGTACCCTCCCAATTAAACAGCCTAGGGATTTATTAATCCAGGGTTGACATTATAGATCTCCCAAATAATTACCAAACAATTAGATTTCCACTATCCATCCATTGACTTTGGGTTCTGACTTCACTGAATGGTTCTGATTTAAAAAAGGGAAGCCCATCATGGAGTGAACCATGATACCTCTGGGATCTGAGCCAGTGCCACCTTTTGGATGCAGCAAGACCTGTTGGATCTTCTGCAAGCAGAATCTGCAAAATCTGCAAGGTCTGATTCAGACACTAAAATTTGGAGATTTGCAATGAAATACAGTCAGAATCAGCCGCTAAAACACACTTCCCCCACAAGTTCAACTCTTCCTCATTGAGATGTACAACGACTGACCTCTTCCAGCTGCAAGTCCCCAGGCTTACAGCCCCATTTGACTGATTTCATAACCCCACTTGACTACCCATTTAATAAAGACTCATACATTGACATTTAAGATTATTACTGGTTGGTGGTTTCAAACACTTTTTATTTTCCATCATATGGGATAATCCTTCCCATTGACTAATATTTTTCAGAGGGATTGAAACCACCAACCAGATTATAATTACGTTGATACACACGCCCATTTGACTGTATCACTGTAGATATTCCCATTTCACTGCATCAAAAATATTGTACTTCCATTTCCGATATTTCCCAGAAATTGCTGGACATGTCGGAAAAAGACTATGTAATACTATAATACTATGCAATACTATAATACTATATAATACTATCTAATACTATCTAATACTATCTAATACTATATAATACTGTATAATACTATATAATACTATATAATACTATATAATACTATATAATACTATTTAATACTATATAATACGGGTACTCATATAATACTATATAATACTATATAATACTAATACTATATAATACTATATAATACTATATAATACTATATAATACTATATAATACTATATAATACTATATAATACTATATAATACTATATAATACTATATAATACTATCTAATACTATATAATACTATATACTACTATAGAATACTATATAATACTATATAATACTATATAATACTATATAATACTATATAATACTATATAATACTATATAATACTATATAATACTATATAATACTATATAATACTATATAATACTATATAATACTATATAATACTATATAATACTTTATAATACTATTTAATACTATATATATATTTGGAGGTAAAGACACACACGCACAGTTTGTTGTTCAACATATCCCCGCAATCCATTGATTTCCGCCTGGAGGTGTAGTGCTCAGTCTCTACCAACAACGGAGACGCCGGGTTCGACCAGGAGCACGGCGTGTGAAGGCTTAGAGAGGCCTAATTCTCTACATATTATATATGATATATATATATATATGTAATTGTAATCATATTATATAAATAGTGACTCTTTTTCATGATTCTTTCCTATTGTATGTCCAAGCTCTTTCTTCTTGACGGAATCCTGAAGGAATCTCGGTGCTCTCCTGCCAGTTTCATCCCTCTCCGCATTTCCTGAACGATTGCGGAGTGGCTCAGCTGCAACGGGCGGGTAACAAAAAAGGGGTCACAGGAGATATGCTATGTATATGGTTGATGAAATATGTCCCATTACATGGTTAGTTCCGTAATGTTGGCATCCCAAAAAAAAGTCAAATTATGTCAAAATTGGGTACCCGTTTGGCAAGCATTGCCACTCATTTTCCATTGCCAAGTTTGATTACCAGAGGCTTCCCAAACATGGGATGATCAACAAAAAACAAGCACGAAACTGACATGGGATGGTCAACCTTTTTGGCTCATTTCACATGACACTGACAGGATCAGCGCCTTTGGAACCAAGCCCTGGGTTCCCAGATTTCATTGGTGCTCTTAGTTGGGGTGATTTCATTGCCGCAATGACTCAACAGGCCCTAGTGGGTCGATGCTTGCATCGGCCCTGTCACCTGTGGAGGCCGAGTTGAAAAAAAAAGCCCTGGTGAAGTCGGAGATTTCATGGGGATTCAATGGGGATTTGATATGATTTAATGGATTCATTTGTAGATTCAGATTTATAGATATTCAGAAATTCGATGATATTTCCAAGGTTTCTTTTCTTCCTGTTTCACAGAATAGGATCCATGATTCCTAGCCAGAATACTAGATGTTTGCGGTTTTCTTTGGAGGCACCCCAAATATCTTCCGATACTCGGGTGATATCTCATGATGGGGCTCACAACTTCAGTCACCAAAGGTGATCAGAGAAGATTTCACTTCTGTCGCCAATGTATCTGCAGATATCATCATTCTGTTGCAACAGATTTACAAAGGGAGACTGAGGATAATGTGGCTAGGTATGTATGAACCAATCCCATTCATCACCATTATATGGGATAACCAATGACCATGAAATCTATCAATTTGACACTCCCACTTATCATGACTTATCCTTATTTTCCATTCATTAGGCCATGTATCAACCCTACACACTTCAAGCTTG